ACAAAATTTTCTTTACACCATTCACGGATAAAAAACGAAATTAATTTCTACACCATTTACGGGTGAATTACAAAATTTTTGACACGATTCACGGATGAATTAAGAAATGTTTGACACCATATACGGATGAAATACGAATTTTTTTATACGATTCATGGATGAAGTACAACATTTCTGACTCGATTTACTGATGAATTACAACATTTCTAACACCACGTATGAATTACAAAAATTCTAACACCACGGATGAATTACAAAATTTTTAACACCACGGATAAATTACAAAATTTTTAACACCACGGATGAAGTACGACAGTTTTAACATGAACATGTGTAAGTACACGCTCGCTATCAGCTGATCTAGAGCTGGTCGCTAGCTCCACCCCCTTTTTGAGCTGGCTGCTAGCTCCACCCCCATCTAGAGCTGGCTGCTAGCTCCACCCCCATCTAGAGCTGGCTGCTAGCTCCACCCCCATCTAGAGCTGGCTGCTAGCTCCACCCCCATTGATAATCCTATCAATGTCAATGAATCTTTTGAAAATGGTTACTTGCATATTTTATGTAAAATGTTCATGTTCATTTCTTCTAGAACATTAGGGTCCCCTACGTCATTTACTATGTAATCAACTATAGTCTAGAGATAATCGCTCATTTTTCAGAATGCATCTTAGAATTGACTTTTACATTATGACATGAATTATATGATAAGAAAAGTTCCAAATTCGTTTAACGTTTATTTGAAAATAAAATCATCAAATTTAACAATATTACCAGTATTATTATCCTTAGGTGCATAGTTATTGCAGATATTATTAACGTCAAATACATAGATATTGCAAATATTATTAACCGAAATATATCAATATAAAAATTATTATTAAACACAAATCTATCAGTATTGCAAATAATTATTTATCTTAAATACATCAATTTTTCAAATATTATTTACTTACCGCAAATATATCATTAGCTTTAATTACATAAAAAATCGCAAATATTAACCTAAAAAATATCCGTATTTCATATTCTGGAAACCTTAAATGCTCCAAGATGCAAAATATCTTAACCACAAATACATCGACTGCGATACGTTAATATACATTAAAAATTTTATGATATTAGATTTGTGATAAATCCGACAAAAATATTTGTTAAAATTAATTGGGGGAAAACATTTTAATTACAATCTTTTATAAAATAAAGCAGTTGCAGGAAATATTTAATGCATCAGTATTTCATAAACGAAAAAGAAAAGCGTGGATTGCTTATTAAACTCTAGTAAAAGGTATTCCATTATTATAACGTTTTTTTTAAAAATTATTTTGAATACTTAAAAATTAATATAAAAGAATTGCTAGCTAAAACTAATTGCGCACCAAATGAACGGAAAGTAATTAATTCTTAAACCAACTTATTAGATCACATGACATTGTACTCGGGTCTTGACCTAGGCACCGTTATGAAAGAAATCAAAGCCCGGCACAAAATGTATATAAATATATATATATACATATATATATATATATATATATATATATATATATATATATATATATATATATATATATGTATATATATATATATATATATATATATATATATATATATATATATATATATATATATATATATATATATATATATATATATATATATATATATATATATATATATATATATATATATATATATATTTATTTATTTATTTATTTATTTATTTATTTATATAGCCACTAAACTTGACATTTTCTCTACGTATAGGCTCAAACTTTTTGTCAAAACTCTTATATAACCCCTAGACTTGACATTTTCTCTGCATAAAAACACTAAACTTGACATTTTCTCTCTATAGAGCCACTAGACTTGTCATTTTCTCTCTATAGAGTCATAGAGCAACTACACTTTCTATACTACATAGCCACTAAACTTGATATTTTTCTCTCTACATAGCCACTAAACTTGACATTTTCTCTCTACATAGCCACTAAACTTGACATTTTCCCTATACATAGCCACTAAACTTGACATTTTCTCTATACATAGCCACTAAACGATATTTTCCTCTCTAGGAACACACCCCCACCCCCACATCCGCGGGTGTTGGCCAATGTTTACCGCCCCGCCCCCAGGTATCCCCTGTTTTAGAGCAAGTTTTTGCTTTGTGTTTGGGGCAAGTAGAAAACTTGTCTACAGCGGTGTAAATACAACGGCGCAGGTTCCCTCCCTTTAGAGGCGCCCTGGCTTATTTCCCTTCGGGGATCAAACCCTTTTTGTCGATTCAATTAGGAACGTTTACGCTAGTTCGTGTATACAAAAGCTCAGTTGTAATTATCTAACTTTCACGTGCACAGACCTGATGCACATCCTGTTTGACCGTCGGGAGTCACAGAACTCATCATTGCTCATCTTGTCCAGTTCATGGTCAGTCTCTCTAGGTGGTCAGTCTCTTTAGGTGGTCAGTCTCTCTAGGTGGTCAGTCTCTTTAGGTGGTCAGTCTTTCTAGGTGGTCAGTCTCTCTAGGTGGTCAGTCTCTCTAGGTGGTCAGTCTCTTTAGGTGGTCATGGCTGATCAGTCTTTGTAGGTGGTGAGTGGAGGTGGTTTTATGATAGCTTAAAATATATTTCAAAGTGTGTGCGTTTAACAAAGTTATTTGGAGCAGCTAAGAGCCAATCAGTAAAACGTTGAATCGATGAATGAACTATGTTCATTGATAACAGCAGATTGGAAATTTTACTAGTACAGTAGCTATATTTAGTAACAACTGCGTTTAAATTTAGCAACGGTTCAAGAATTCAGATTGTGGGTCAGATGTTTTTCATATTCTTCATAACTTTCATGCGATACTATGCATTACTTATTCAATGAGCTTGTAAAACGATATTCCTTTTTAGCGCAATTTCCATACTGACAATTGCGATTATTAACTCGTCAAGGATGGATGTGTGTCCGATGTGTGTCCGCAGCTTTAAGTCGTATCTCCTCCTCAACGAAGCAATATCGAGGACTAGTTCCAAAAGCAAATATGTTAAGCAAGTTCCGAGGATGATTGTGGACCAAAAAACTTCCCGGAATTCCTTCCTGAATTTCCCGGAAAAGCCAAAAAAACCTCGAAAAATGCAGTTTTTGGCCCATATCTCGGCAACTAGACCACTTAGCGACTTGAAACATTTACCAATCGATTCCTGCCATAATTTAGACCAATATTGCCGAAGAAAGTTTTCAAAAATATCCTTTCGTTTGGTCACAAAAAATTAATTAAGGAAATTGCGCTTAAATTGTCACTAGACTTTTTATTAACTTGTTTTTTCTATATCAAAATAAATTACTATAAAATAATTTTTTTTAATGTCTAGTATTTAGTCAACTTTATTGAACGTCTCGTATTTGGTTAATTTTTTGGGCCAACTTTATTAAACATCTAGTATAGGGTCAAGTTTATTAAACGTCTAGTATTGAATTAAGTTTATTAAAGTCTAATATTGCTTCAAGTTTACTAAACTTCTAGTATTAAATCAAGTTTATTAAATTCTAATATTGCGTCAAGTTTATTAAACGTCTAGCATTAATAAAACATGTCTACTCTTTGGTTATCTTTTTCTTTTAAAAAAAAACTGTTTTTTTTTGTTTTGTTTTTTAGAAATTGTTGTAGATGTAATGAGGAGTTGTGAGAACTTGTTGTAGATGTAGTGAGTTGTGAGAACTTGTTGTAGATGTAATGACGAGTTGGGAGAACTTGTTGTAGATGTAATGACGAGTTGTGAGAAACTGTTGTAGATGTAATGACGAGTTGTGAGAACTTGTTGTAGATGTAATGACGAGTTGTGAGAACTTGTTGTAGATTAATGTCGAGTTGGAGCGGAAATTGTCAGCCAGCGATAATATAAGCTGTTCACACTATATCGACGGCTCGTGCCAGACAGGTGATAGCCGTATTGGATATCCGAATGTGTCGGCCTTTCAGCTGTAAGATGGCGGGGATGGGATGATCAATATCAACAGATTTATCGGCTGTTGATCTACGTGAGAAGGCGATAATCTGACCATCAGATCAGCTTTCATTGAGTCGATAAAGACGATGGCTAAACCAAAGAACAGAGACATTGAAAGCGCTCTGTAATATTTAGTCATTAAAATTCTAGGAGACAACATGAAACGTTTCTGTAAAGAATGCCAAAATGTGTTCTGTCATCAACAAATGCTCATCCGTTTCTTACTTTGCGATTTCACACTTTTTTTAAATAGATATATATGTAACTTTTGATCTGTTTCAATATGTATTATCATCACTATCGTCATTACCATCATCATCACCATCTCTCAATACCCATTGGCGCACAAGGCATCAATAAGTAAACACCATTTCATCCTGTCTCTAGCTATAACCTCTGCCTGATGGAATGTTAGGCCTCTCTTCTTCAACTGTACTCCAATGTTTTTCTCTGTTTCTTTGACAACCCTCGTTTTCAACAAGCTTACACCTGTTTACATGACAACTTACAAATACATGTATGTAAATGACTTCTTGTGTGGGTCCCGCACCTATTTTATCTTCTACTTACGACCTAATGTTTCAGACCAACCAAGTGGTAATGAATGATTTACTCAGTTGTATAGTCTCTTGATCCCCTGTAAATGTAAGCTGTGAGTGTGAAACATTGAGGAGTACATTCGTGTGTGTTTGCTGTAAAGTTAAAACACAATGTGGCTAACACATGTGGCCAACACTATTTAGCCAGCACAATGTGGCCAACAAAATGTGGCCAGCATATTCACATATGCCGAAACAATGTGGCCAACACAATTTGACCAGCACAATGTGGCCAACAAAATGTGGCCAGCATATGTGGCCAAAACAATATGGTCAACACATGTGGCCAGCTCAATGTGGCCAACTCAATTTGGCCACCAAAACGTGGCCAACACAATTAGGCCAGCACAATTAGTTATTAGGCCAACATAATGTGGCCAGCCTGAGACTCAACTGTCCACTCTACTTTCAGATCCTAACACAGCCCCCTATGTTGACATCCCACTGGACGAATCTGCTCCAGACCTCTTGGAATCTGATTCTCCATCCTCGTCACCGGCTCGCGCCCACCACCACCACCAACAGCACCAACAGCAACAACAACACCAACAGCAGCAGCAGCATCTGACCAACCTCCACCGACACCACCTCCAACAGCAGCATCAGAACCGCCAGAACCTCGAGCCGTACGGCCAACAGCCGACAGCCTACAGCGGCCTACAGAGTTCAGAGATCGCCGGACACTATGAGTACCCCAGTGAAGGCTCCCAGCTGCTGATCCAGCCTCACTCCGACATGAGGACAGGTCCGGGGGTGAGGGGGGTGGGGCGGCTGATGGAGAGTGCCTCAGGGAAGAGAGGATGCAAGAGGAAGAGGGACGACAAGACCGATGACGCGGCGTCACGTCAACAGAGTAAGCTTGACGTCAGCCAGCGTTGTGACGTCTGCGGGGAACAAGCCAGTGGACACTACTTTGGCGCGCTGGTGTGTTTGCCCTGCAAGGTAGGTCAAAGCCCTTTAGGTCATAGCTCTTTAGGTCAAAGCCTTTTATGTCAAAGCCCTTTAGGTCAAAGCATTTTAGGTCAAAGCCCTTAAGGTCATAGCCCTTAAGGTCAAAGCTCTTTAGTTCAATCATCTTAGGGTCAAAACCTTTTAGGTAAAAGCCTTTAAGGCAAGTCCTTTAGGCCAAATTTCTTAAGGTAGATTTTGATCTTCATTCTTTGAGTCAGCGCTTACCAACTTCTCAACATCTGATGTTGTCCTTCATGTTAGTTTCTCCCTATATGCTGCTTCAATGGAATCGCTACTTCACTATAGGCCGTCCATTCAATATGAACGCTACTTCACTGTAGGCCGTCCATTCAATATGAATGCTACTTCACTCTAGGCCGTCCATTCAATACAATCCCTACTACACTGTAGGCCGTCCATTCAATATGAATGCTACTTCACTCTAGGCCGTCCATTCAATACAATCCCTACTACACTGTAGGCCGTCCATTCAATTGGATCGCTACTACACAGTCGGCCGTCCATTCAATATGAACGCTACTTCTCTGTCGGCCGTCCATTCAATATGAACGCTACTTCACTGTAGGCCGTCCATTCAATGGGATCGCTAATCTGTGTTTGAACGAACTATCGAGAAAAACCTGGCCAGTGACGACCGTTCAAATAAAGGTCGAAAATGATCCATCGACTTAAAGGAACATCTTCCGACGTCTGTCGCTCTACAGTGCCAGATTTTCTGCCGTCGTGGGCATTGTCTTCTATGTGTGAACCAATGCGGCAATATATGTCCAATATATGAACTAATGCGGCAATATATGTCGAATATATGAACTAATGCGGCAATATATGTCTAATATATTAACTAACGATCTCTGTATCTGCCAACTATCTAACCAACGATCTCTGTATCTGCCAACTATCTAACTAACGATCTCTGTATCTACCTGTATCTGTCAACTATCTAACTAACGATCTCTGTATCTGCCTGTATCTGCCAACTATCTAACCAACGACCTCTGTATCTACCATGTAACCTACGACCTCTGCATCAGCCAACGATCCTACCATACAGTCAACTACTCTACAATGGTCACATGTCATCATTTAACTAGGCTGGCCTATTACTACCTCTGTTCAATTTAAGACCAACTATCGATAATGAAACCCCTTAAATCGGAAACCCGTCTATGTTAGGCTAAAACCCTCTATCAGGCTAAACCCCTTTATCTTAGGCAAATCTTAAATTCTAATATTTCCTGTTGCAAATAACTGCCAAACAGGTACCGGACCCCACATCTTGACTTAGACCCCCTTCACGTTGACTTAGACCCCTCCACGACTCCTAAGGAATCGACCCCCACCCCATCAAATATATATCTTTCTTTCTGTCCTTATAGCCCTTCTATTCCCAGTAAATAAAAGCTAGACATTGGAGATCAAACAAGAAAAGAAACCAAACGTCAGCCATTCAATGCGGATTAGCTATTGGGACCGCTTTATCCTGCTCGATCCTGGGCTATCCTACCCTATCCCACCCTATCCCACCCTATCCTGCCCTAGCGTTGATCTATCTAGTGATGTACCACTTTGATGTCATCAGCCCGAGGGGTGGGGCGTGGCTCGAGTTTTGTTTGGCACACACTCAGCAGACATGCCTAGCAGTTTCTGCCCTGTTCGCTAGCTTTCCTCACACGTTTCCTTTGAGCAGCCCCGGCTTTGCAACATCAACAAATAATTGACACTTTCTTGTATGACTTTCAATACTTAAATACCAAACACATTACTCTGATCATAAATCAGAAGATTTTTTTTGAAAATTATAGATAAATCTGTAAAAATGATATATGGATAAGCTAGCTTAGTAATTATAGGCCCAACATTTTTAATAAACATCTCCAGATTAGGAAATCAAATAAAAATATTTTGATGAGTTTTGTGTTGCATGTCAGATTCATAGGGATCCTGATTTGGTTTTACTTAACGTTTTATTTATTAACATTGGAAAACTGGGCTTAGTTTGTTAGTTTTCTATGTGTTTCTTTTTGAAGTTCAAAGCTATTTTATAAAAATGAATTAGTGAAAAACGTGACCACTACCCAGAGTTTTCCCACTGGTCACTTGACTTGTCTACTCAGAGTTTTCGAACTGGTCACTTTTCTCCCCAGAGTTTTACCACTGGCCGCTTGACTTGTCTACCCAGAGTTTTCTAACTGGTCACTTTTCTCCCCAGAGTTTTTTCATCCGGTGCACCAAAGATGGCCGACCCAGCTTCAGCAACCAGTGCGGCGGCAAGTGTGACGTCCTGAAAGGGGGGCGGGTGCGGTGCCAGCATTGCCGGTTCCAGAAGTGTGTCAGTGCCGGCATGTACAGAAAAGGTTAGGGCAAGTTTGTTTTTTTATGCCGGCATGTACAGAAAAGGTTAGGGCAAGTTTTTTTTTTTATGCCGGCATGTACAGAAAAGGTTAGGGCAAGTTTGTTTTTTTATGCCGGCATGTACAGAAAAGGTTAGGGCAAGTTTTTTTTTTATGCCGGCATGTACAGAAAAGGTTAGGGCAAGTTTTTTTTTTTTATGCCGGCATGTATAGAAAAGGTTAGGGCAAGTTTTTTTTTTTTTATGCCGGCATGTATAGAAAAGGTTAGGGCAAGTTTGTTTTTTTATGCCGGCATGTACAGAAAAGGTTAGGGCAAGTTTTTTTTTTATGCCGGCATGTATAGAAAAGGTTAGGGCAAGTTTGTTTTTTTATGCCGGCATGTACAGAAAAGGTTAGGGCAAGTTTTTTTTTATGCCGGCATGTACAGAAAAGGTTAGGGCAAGTTTGTTTTTTTATGCCGGCATGTACAGAAAAGGTTAGGGCAAGTTTTTTTTTTATGCCGGCATGTATAGAAAAGGTTAGGGCAAGTTTTTTTTTTATGCCGGCATGTATAGAAAAGGTTAGGGCAAGTTTGTTTTTTTATGCCGGCATGTACAGAAAAGGTTAGGGCAAGTTTTTTTTTTATGCCGGCATGTATAGAAAAGGTTAGGGCAAGTTTGTTTTTTTATGCCGGCATGTACAGAAAAGGTTAGGGCAAGTTTTTTTTTTATAAGGGCATGTACAGAAAAGGTTAGGGCAAGTTTTTTTTTTATAAGGGCATGTACAGAAAAGGTTAGGGCAAGTTTGTTTTTATGCTGGCATGTACAGAAAAGGTTAGGGCAAGTTTTTTTTTTTTGCCGGCATGAAAAGAAAAGGTTAGGGCAAGTTTTTTTTTTTGCCGGCATGTAAAGAAAAGGTTAGGGCAAGATTGTTTTTTTATGCCGGCATGTACAGAAAAGGTTAGGGCAAGTTTTTTTTTTTGCCGGCATGTAAAGAAAAGGTTAGGGCAAGATTGTTTTTTATGCCGGCATGTACAGAAAAGGTTAGGGCAAGTGTTTTTTTTTATGCCGGCAGGTTTTTTTTATGCCGGCATGTACAGAAAAGGTTAGGACGAGATTTAACCCCAGACTTTTAACTCCATTTTAACTCCAGACTTTTGTTTCTCAGAAAAACCTGAAGCTGTTGAGCCGGCTGAAGGGCAGCTGCTATGTAAGGTGTGTGGTGACATCGCTAATGGTGTTCATTTTGGTGTCACCACATGCGAAGGTTGTAAGGTAGGTACTTTAATTAATTAGCTATCGCTCGCTTCATCTACTCTAGAAAAAACGAATGAGATGAGTTGTGGGGTGCTCCAGCATTGGTTTTTTTTGTGGGGGGGGGGGGGGGGGCGCTCAAAAGAAAAGATGAAAAGTATCTTCTCACACGCCAGACGGTCGGTGGGGCAGATGAAGTAGAGTTCGACCTTTTTTCACACTTTGGCACTTAACGATAAAGTGGTTAGGTGTGGTCATCTTACCTTTCCCGACTTAAGTCAGGTACCCAAAAGTGCTGAGTGAACTCAGGGATGTAGTATGGACTCACAACTCCCCGGTTAGTTACCTACCATGCTCTCTATCGTTCGACCACAGCGCCACACGTCTAAGCTGAGCATGTTCTGATATCCTAATTAATGTTTAGCAATGACTCTTGTTTGAACCGCTGATTAATTATGAACCGGTGATTAATTAAAAGCTCATTACCTTCCAGAAATTTTTCCGTCGCGGTCTGAAGGAAAACAAGACATACACATGCAAGGCTAGCAATCACTGCTCTATCAACCCGCGCATGCGCAACAACTGTCGCTACTGTCGGTACCAGAAGTGTCTGCACGAAGGCATGTCTAGAGAAGGTGAGTACGTTTGTTGAGTCAGTCCCAGCCCGGGTGTGGGGGGGGGGGGGGGGGATGAAGGCATGTCTAGAGAAGGTGAGTACATTTGTTGAGTCAGTCTCAGCCGGGGGGGGAGGCGGGATGAATGCATGTCTAGAGAAGGTGAGTACGTTTGTTTAGTCAATCCCAGCCCCTGGGGTAGGTGGGAGTGTGAGGGGGGGGTGGAGGCATGTCTAGAGTAGGTGAGTACGTTTGTTGAGTCAGTCCTAGCCCGGGGGTGGGGGGAGTGTGAGGGGGATGGGATGAAGGCATGTCTAGAGTAGGTGAGTACGTTTGTTTAGTCAATCCCAGCCCCTGGGGTAGGTGGGAGTGTGAGGGGGGGGGGGGGGGGGGTGGAGGCATGTCTAGAGTAGGTGAGTACGTTTGTTTAGTCAATCCCAGCCCCTGGGGTAGGTGGGAGTGTGAGGGGGGGGTGGAGGCATGTCTAGAGTAGGTGAGTACGTTTGTTGAGTCAGTCCTAGCCCGGGGGTGGGGGGAGTGTGAGGGGGATGGGATGAAGGCATGTCTAGAGTAGGTGAGTACGTTTGTTTAGTCAGTCCCAGCCCGGGGGTGGGGGGAGTGTGAGGGGGGGGGGGGTGAAGGCATGTCTAGAGAAGGTGAGTACGTTTGTTTAGTCAGTCCCAGCCCGGGGGTGGGGGGAGTGTGAGGGGGATGGGATGAAGGCATGTCTAGAGAAGGTGAGTACGTTTGTTTAGTCAGGCCCAGCCCGGGGGGGGGGGGGGGAGGCGGGATGAATGCATGTCTAGAGAAGGTGAGTACATTTGTTTAGTCAATCCCAGCCCGGGGTGGGGGTGAAGGCATGTCTAGAGAAGGTGAGTACGTTTGTTGAGTCAGTCCTAGCCCGGGGGGGGGGGATGAAGGCATGTCTAGAGAAGGTGAGTACGTTTGTTGAGTCAGTCCTAGCCCGGGGGGGGGGGGGGGAGAGTGTGAGGGGGGGGGATGAAGGCATGTCTAGAGAAGGTGAGTACGTTTGTTTAGTCAGTCCCAGCCCGGGGGTGGGGGGAGTGTGAGGGGGGGATGAAGGCATGTCTAGAGAAGGTGAGTACGTTTGTTTAGTCAGTCCCAGCCCGGGGGGGAGGGGATGAAGGCATGTCTAGAGAAGGTGAGTACGTTTGTTGAGTCAGTCCTAGCCCGGGGGGGGGGGGGGGAGGGGATGAAGGCATGTCTAGAGAAGGTGAGTACGTTTGTTGAGTCAGTCCTAGCCCGGGGGGGGGGGGAGGGGATGAAGGCATGTCTAGAGAAGGTGAGTACGTTTGTTGAGTCAGTCCTAGCCCGGGGGGGGGGGGGAGGGGATGAAGGCATGTCTAGAGAAGGTGAGCACGTTTGTTGAGTCAGTCCCAGCCCGGGGGGTAGGGGATGAAGGCATGTCTAGAGAAGGTGAGTACGTTTGTTGAGTCAGTCCTAGCCCGGGGGGGGGAGGAGATGAAGGCATGTCTAGAGAAGGTGAGTACGTTTGTTGAGTCAGTCCTAGCCCGGGGGGGGGGGAGGAGATGAAGGCATGTCTAGAGAAGGTGAGTACGTTTGTTTAGTCAGTCCCAGCTGGGGGGAGGGGATGAAGGCATGTCTAGAGAAGGTGAGTACGTTTGTTGAGTCAGTCCTAGCCCGGGGGGGGGGGAGGGGATGAAGGCATGTCTAGAGAAGGTGAGTACGCTTGTTTAGTCAGTCCCAGCTGGAGGAGGGGGTTAAGTTGGAGAAGGGGGTGGGGGTGATCTACGCATGTTATTTGGTCAGTTTAAGACTGAAGTGGGTGGGGAAGAGAGTCGTAGAAAGTATCTCTGTCTGTTATTTTGGTAGGTTCGGAGATTGAAATAAAAGACGGGGGATAGACAGTAGGACAGGAGGTATGTTAGGATCAGATGGGAGGATATCTGTAGTCGTTATATGATCAGTCCAAATGTGGCGTGGGGATAGTGTAGACGGGGAGGGTGGCCGAATGTATCGCAACAATTGTGTATGTTTTAAGACATTTTTTTTAAAGTTTAACAAGTAATATCGCCGACAAAAGAAGATATTTAAAAGCCCACGTGCGTGCTTCTTTCTCTCTATCAGCTAAATATTTTCAGAGGCTATGAGATCAGAATCTTCAGCGATATATGGAGGACTTAATGATACGGACTTTTGTTGAAAATAATCTGTTAGATGTATTAAATGTATCAACTAAATTTTATTTCAAGAAGAAAAATAAAAATAAAGGCATATTCGAACGAAAAAAAAACACATTTCTAACAGTGCAACCGCAAAAGTGTTTATAGTGTTGATAAGATCGCAGAAAAAAAAAAAAACACCAATGACGTCACATGTTTAAACTACGGAAAGTACACAACACTGATGGCGTCATCTTCCAATTTTAGAATATGAAGAAATTAACTATTTCATTCAAATTTGATGTAGATCAATAAATCTACCTATCAAGACGCACGCTATAAAATATGTATACAATTGTCTCGGCTAAAACTAATAAAAATTACTTTAAAAAACAACATAAATATCGTTGAGCAGCTGAGTTTTTAAAAGAATCATATAATTCTCTTAATCAGTGTGTGCCTGTGTTATGTTAAATGTGCCGGATTTTTAGCTATTTAGTTATTTCTTTGCTTTGTCACTAATATCTTTCAACGTGTAGTAAAGCACATTGCGTTTTGACCCATAACTATTTTATAAATTACTTTTCTCAAACAAGTACATTTTAAACTATATAGACCTATAATGGACACCAGCGAGAAAAGTCTCAAAGGTATTTGAGAGGTGTATAAATTCATTTAAAAATCATGCACAGCGTAGTTACAATTAATATAGTTATAAAATCCTGCCTGTCTGGTTTTTTTCGGACTTAACTAAAGATTGGATGTATTTGATGTTTATAATATTTTCGGTAACTAAATAAAAATTTAAAAAAAAGCAAAAACAATTTGGTTTTCACGTGTAATGGCGACATAAACAATGGCATCCTGCTATTGGATAGGCCGTCATAGATTTTATTGTACACATTGTAAGCTAAAAATAGAAAACTAGGTCATGGGGTTTTTAATTTGCATTGTTATTTAAAAACTTGATCTGCAAAGTTTTGTAAACAAATAGTTATCGATCACTAAGTTACTGTACAGCCAATCAATATTTGTCTTACGAAAGTGAAACATCCGGTTATAACTTAGGCTTGATGAAAATAAATAGAAATGTAGCCTTAAACTCAACAAATTATTTTCAAGTTCTCTGGATTTGCAACTTTTATAGCATTTATTCTAAAAATATAAAATTTCTAAATTAATTTTAGGCTTAAGTTTTTATTTTTTATTTTTTTTTACGGTCTAAATCTAAAAAGCACGTTTTTATTCCATGACAACAACATTATGGAAGGAATCTCGTCAACTCGCTCGCCTCCATTCACGCGAATCGGGTACCGATGGCTAGTGTATTTTATGTTGTGCTAAATGCGTTCACGTGATGGCGTCTTTGTGACAAGTGGTTTTTCTTTCTCTGATCCTTTTCCCGAATTATCGATAAGTTCTGATTATGGAGATGGGCACTTAGAAGAAAAAAAATTCTAAGAGTTTCCTCTTTCACATCGACGCTCTCGTCATAAAAGAAAGATTTGAAAGAGGACACTCCCAGTCGTGTCTGCTCTTTTCTCGCTGTAAGTGGGGGGGGGGGGGGGAGGGGGGAGATGGGGGGGGGGGGTCAAAGGTAGGCACAACTTAGACATATGTTGATGTGTGTGCATAGGGGGGGGGGGGTCAAAGCATTGATGTAGGTGGGCTTGACTAAGTCTTTTGTTGGCCTGTCTTTTGTTTGACTACGCATTATGTTTGACTATCTATAAAGGACATCACACACAAAAGATGGGGGATCGGAACTTCGTGACGATGTGTGACAAGGGGGGGGGGGAAGGAGCTATTTAAAAAATGTGATGACACAGTTTTGCATTTAAAAAAATAATGTTTGTAATGAAATTTTTTTTTAAATCTACATGTATTTATGTTAAATATTTTTTTTAAAGAAAGAAATTCGTTGTTTAAAAAAAAACAGCATTTTAGGGGAGTTGTAGGTTGAGGTGTGACGTCATGATAGGGGTGTTGGTCCGGCTTTTTTGTGACGATCTGTGTGTGTGGGGGGGGGGGGCGTCCTGAACATTCTCTTTCGACTGGTCTTTTATGTGTTTGTTTCTCGCGACACTTGGCCTGGCCACAACAGAATAGCCAACACACATACACACTTACACATACACACACAAGTACTTTTGTAATACACACCTTAATACACAGCTTAATATAAACTATTTAAGCTCAGCTATTTTAGCTCAGCTATTTGAACAACATTTCAACCCACCAGGCAACATTTCAACCCACTTGACAACTGAACTGTTTTTAAAAATGGAACAAAAGTTTCTAAGTTTGCGAATATTTTATTCATTGGTCCAATAGTGTATGATGACGCCGTTAATGGATTAACGGTCGGTCTATCTGGGCCGCTTCGTCATAAAACAAACAACTCCGGTCTGCACACTTTAAACAACGTTTAGTAGAGATCTATAGCCGATTTTTTAAAAGCGCTTTTAAAATCTTTTTTTTTTGCCGTTATTATATGCAGCCATTCACGAATTCACAGGCTTTTCATATAGAGGCTTCGTTTTTAATTATGTTCAACCGTCGGTTGTATTTGTAGAAATAAACATTGTAGACTTATATGTATTCCACCAAAAATGCGGGGTTTTTTAAGGCTAAAAACAAATACAACCACTAATTGCTAGAGGTTTTTTTTACCTTTAACTGTCTAGCTATAATATAGCAGGACGTTTTTTTAAAAAAAAAAAAAAGTTTTTTAACTTAATTACTCATTTTAAACCCTGAAATGGCCAAACGACCGAAGCTTGTCCTAAACTAAAATGGGAGGGGAAAATTCGAGACAAGACTTGTAATTCTATCATCCTATCTGGCCAGTCTGGTGTTTTATCAGCGGTTTTTAGCTGGGGGCATCGCCGGATCAATAGCAAACATCTGTCGATTCTCCCCACGCTGTGCAAATAGTCATTCTCATTGAGGACTGAAAAAATATGGTCTGTCTCCGTCTTAGTAACGGCTAACTTGATAGGGAAAAAAGCGATGGGTATTGATAGGCACGGTATTCAATTTTCTGACAGGAGAAATGGACAGATTTTCCTGGTAAGAAATGATAGAGATATTAATAGCCTATACCATTCATGAAAAATGTCGAAACTATAGCACCATTATGTCTATAGATGAGCTATAATTAGACCAACATAATTCAATATTAAGCTGCAGAAGTTTATGGGAAGTAAATATCATAGTGGCACTACCCTATAAAACCCATCGTATAAATCTGTAGTGACTCTAAGATATTTAATATGAACTACTTGTAAGACCTGATCAGGACAAGACGGCAATAGTTTGTCAGTGTTGTTTTATTTTACTAAATGTGTCAAAACGCTGAATGTTTTTGTTGTCAATTTTCATGTAAGAAATTAAGATTTGATATAGATCTGGGCTTCTTTGATTATTCTTTAGTTATCTTTGGATAGGAAGCATTTATACAAGTATTTCCCTACACTCTGTAAAAACGAATGATGATTTCAGTCATAATTGTGTTTACAGGTTATGTATGGAGCATGTCAATAAAATTGTGTTTAGTTATATTTTAGAACAAGATCTTACAATGTGAAAATGTGTTCTCCCATCCCCAGCCATCAAGATGGGCCGACCCAAGAAAGGAGAACTCCTGTACAGGAAGCCCGCCAAGAAGAACGGCATGAAGCAGCAGATGAAGCCGTACGACAAGCCCATGCTGGACTCCAACAGATCCTCCATGTCCAGCGAGTACGACCAGGACGACGTCTCCTCCTCTGGAGAAGTGTTTGATGTTGTGGCCTCCCAGCACATACACCAACAGCAGCATCAGATGCACCAACAGCAACAGCAGCAGCCTGTACTGACGCAGCAACAGCAGGGCAGTTTCAGCCTGGGTAGCATCCTGCACGACTGTATGACAGTCCAGGACTGGGACCAGAAGGTGCACATCTCAGAGCTGGAGCAGGACGCCCTCAGGGAGCCGGCACACACCATGGTGTCTGAGGGAGCCGGCGTGTCTGAGGAGAGCCAGCAGGTGAGCCCACACATCCGGCACGCCAGCCCAACCATGCACCACGAAATGGTCGCCCATCTACAGCGCCACCCTAAACCACTGCGGATGGTGGTGACTCAGCAGCAGTTGGAGCAGCTGCACAGAGACATGCACCAAGGGCACCACCAACTGGCTCCATACCACGATCACAACCAAAACCATGAAAACCTCCAGGTCTTGAGAAACATTGAATATTCCAGCGACCACAACGTGACAGACAGCCGCATCATTAAGGTTGAGAACATGTCGCTCCAGGAACCACCGGGGGCGTCTTATCCTGAAGGTGTTGTGATAGAAGACATGCAGAACCTTCAAGCTATAAACAAAGTGGAGTATCACTCCTACCAACTGCAGGGGGCAGACGGTGGCTCGGGGTACACCCTGGAGGATCAGAGAACAGCATCCATTCCATCAGGTCCCAGCAGCCAAATGGACCCTCTTGTGGCCATCAACATGAGCTCACAGAATGCCATCTACACTCCTCAAGGCCAGGAACTGATTATCATTCACAACCTGAACCAGCAGTCTGAGTTGCCTGGCAACCAGCCAGGTAACCAGGTACATGGCAGGATGGTGCAGGAGATGGAGCATCTGCCACCCAGCCATGACGCCGGACAGAGCCAGCACATCATGGACCTGGATGAAAGCCACCAGGTGATAGGCAGCCAGGAGCTGATCAGAAACAACCATCATGGCGCCCCTCATAGCTACCACAACCTTATGACCTCACGTACCACAACATACACGGACATCAACACTGGGATACAGTCCCACCATTACTTGATTGACAACAACGTTGAGTCGCCCGGCAACATCTCCACACACATCAACGACGGCTCACCTAGAGTTAGTGATTCAAACTTTTCCATGATACCCAAAGGCCAGCCCTCCGACCCTACATCTCCCTCTTTGTCTGTCTCCTCCCAGCAAAACCTCAACCCCCACCACAAATTTCAGCGGGTACGAAGCCCCATCGCCGCCATCTTGCAGCAGCACAGAGAAGACATCCAGGCTGGCAGACCGGTGCACCTGTCCTCTGAGGAGATCGAGGAGCTTCTCAACACGGTCAACTCAGACCAGGCCAGAGCACAAAGGTTCAACAGCGAGCAGGCGGCTGCACGAGCTATGGACCAAGATGTTGTTGATCTCAGGAGACAGCCTATGAATAACTTTATCTTAAATGATGACCAGCAGCTTGACGAGCCTGTCCACTATAATAGACAGTCTTCTCCTGGAGCTGTCCACTATAACAGACAGTCATCTCCTGGTGCTGTCCACTACAACAGACAGCCATCCCCCAGCGCTGTCAGACATTTCCTCAACAAAAGCCCTTACCAGAACCAATACATCCCCGGCAGCCCCATCAACCAGAACATCATCCGGGCACCAAGCAGACAGTACCAGAGCCAGACTTCTCCTGGGTCTGACTCCAGCACTGACAGACAGGACGTTCACAGGGGATTTAACAACAACAACAACACTCAGGTCTGCCACTACATCTCAGTACCCCAGGACCCCCAGGACTGCCAGGTGGCGCCAGACGCTGACACCTATGACGACAGCTTCAACAGCAGCCTGATCAGAGACTGCACACTCCTGCACGAGATCAACAGAATTTTTCTGGGCATTGACAACTCGTGTGAGACGTATGGCTGTAACTGTGCCAGGGACGGGCAGGACACTAGAGATGATGGCGCCATCGTCTCATCAATCTCCCCCGATGAATTTTCTCCAGAAATTTCCCACAAATACTGGCACAGTTTCCAGCCCAATACCTATGTGCCTATGACAGCTGAGCGCTCAAAGATCATTGAGGATGTGCTGGATGCTTTTGATAACTTGCAGAAAACTTACGTCACTAACGAACCAGAATATGTCAATGTAAGTAATTTTTAAAACAACTTTTAGCCTATTCACAGTAGTTAATCTTATTCTTTAAAGAAATTTCTTAAGTACTTTAATAATGCTAGTTCCATGTTTTTACAAATTCAGTAAATTCTCTGAAGAAACTTAGACATTTAAGGCTAAAAGCCATAAAATCATTAACAATTTTAAATTACATTTCAATTGAATGTTAAGGATTAAGAGTTAATTAAGAGTTAACATGTGAGCTTGATTGAATATTCAAAAGAAAATGTTACCAAACAGAGTGGATGGTTCCATAACTTCTAACTACAGAGAGGATGGAGGTTTTGAGTAAAGAATAATTTTATAACATTTTTTCTGTTCAAATATTTTCAAGGAGCAACAGTTGAAACAATTTAGTTTAGTGATACCAGAGGCGTAGCAACCCTTCCCAGCGTCCAGGGACAAATTTTCAATTTGGCCCCCCCCCCCTATATATTTTTTATATTTATAAAGCAAAACTGTAGCTTAAATGAGATTTAATTTGTTTTTCCAACCCATATGTACCCACCCCCTCGCTACGCCTCTGGTTGATACTATGAAAGCTGAAACAAATTATAAAAGTATCTATCTCTATAGTTTAAGATTTAAAAATCACAATGTTGTGCAATTGTGACGTAAAGCTATTTTATATTAGGGATGCCGGTCTCTGAAAATAGTAAATAATTTTGTATGGGGTAATGGGGGTGGGTGGGTCAAAAATGTCCTATTTTTGTATTATATAAAAAGAGTACAATACTTTTGCACAGATTTTTAAATAAATATACAAATATGCCTATATTTAACTCCAGGATAAGTGACAATAACCAAAACAAATCAATCTCAAACAACTTAACATTCTGATTTACCAGTTCATAATTGATCTAGTGTGCTGGCATATCATCAATGGCAACACTCGTAGTATATTTGAAATGTAATAATAAAAACAGTGTTGCCTGTTTGAATTGTTTACAAATATCGTTTCCTTGAGAACATTAAACTCACCCCTGCTCAACTTTAACCGTTTATAACCCTGCACCAGTTTAACCCTTTATAACCCTGCACCAGTTTAACCCTTTATAACCCTGCACCAGTTTAACCCTTTATAACCCTGCACCAGTTTAACCCTTTATAACCCTGCACCAGTTTAACCCTTTATAACCCTGCACCAGTTTAACCCTTTATAACCCTGCACCAGTTTAACCCTTTATAACCCTGCACCAGTTTAACCCTTTATAACCCTGCACCAGTTTAACCCTTTATAACCCTGCACCAGTTTAACCCTTTATAACCCTGCACCAGTTTAACCCTTTATAACCCAGCACCAGTTTAACCCTTTATAAATCTGCACCAGTTTAACCCTTTATAAATCTGTTTAAAGAAAAAGATGCCCCATGACCAGCTGGAACACTGGCACCACATACAGAGAAGAATTGCCAGACATGTGGTTGCAGGGCAGAGATTCTGCAGGAATATTCCAGGTAATTGAGTGAAAGGTTAAATGTGGAACTTGTGTAGGGTTCTTATCTGTTTCATCACCTTTGTTTTCTTGTCTCTGAGCTTTTTTGTTCTTCTTGTTTATAGCAGGTGTTTTATTTCGAGCAAGTTGTGTGAAACTGTTTTAGTGTTCTCTCCCGATCAAATTTTGTACATTTAGACAGGATGTGGAAGATTGAGAAGTGCTTACATTACATGTGTTGTTGTGAAACTAGTTAACTCACTCACTGTACATTTGTATGGGGATTTTTGCATTGAAAATATTTTACCAAAAAACTTTCCACTCCCTGCTGTATTTGTTTTTTCTTGGCCAATTGTTGGATTAACAAGAAACGTGTGTCTTGTGATCAATTGGTGGGTGGGGGAGGGTGGTAAGCTGTATCTTTGATTATACCTGTATTTTACTTAAGAAGTTATAGATTAATGTATTTATGTGTTGTTGTTTTTTAATAAATATATTTTTGAAAAATCATATTTTATGAAAAGGAATGTTGATGGTGGTTAAGTTAGTATGACATGGAAATGATAGATCAAATTCTGATTTGATGCATTCCTCTGGAGGCTTTTTTAAGCTGGAGATTATGACTTGATACTTTCTTCCACAGGCTACTTTAAGCTGGAGATTATGACTTGATACATTCTTCCACAGGCTACTTTAAACTGGAGATTATGACTTGATACATTCTTCCACAGGCTACTTTAAGCTGGAGATTATGACTTGATACATTTTTCCACAGGCTACTTTAAGCTAGAGATTATGACTTGATACATTTTTCCGCAGTCTTCTTTAAGCTGGGGATTATGACTTGATACATTTTTCCACAGGCTACTTTAAACTGGATATCCAAGATCGTATTTCACTGGGCAAGCATGTAGGCTTTGGCCTGATGGTCCTCATAGCATGTACAGAGTTCTACGATCCTGAGTTTAAACGCTTCAAGTATATCTGGAACTGGACTATGCCGATGCAGAATCCGCTGTTTTCCTACAAGGTGCATCTACTGTCTCTAGGCAACAGGATCCATGAGATTCAAGTGGATAAGACTGAAGCATCCATGATGTGTGCCATAAGCATGACAAGCATTGGTGTGTAGTGACATAGAGCTTTTCTCTTTTTTGTGTGTATAATAGGGTTATATGAAGGAGCGAGAAAGATTAGTTTACATTTTTTAAAGTGGGTCCATAGATTCACAGAAACTACCTTTTCTGCTAGTTATCATTTGATCTAAATTGATTAATAAATAGTTTAACCGGCAATAATTTTTTACCGCTTATAATAAAAAGTATCATTGATTAATGATGCTGCATTTCCTATTTCTGTTATTTCTCTGATATTTGTTTTTTGACTTCTAGATTGTCCTGGCCTAATCAAACCTGGCATAGTTTGTCTTGTCAGAAATGTCTTGATTGATGCATTGGAGGCTCACATAGCAGGTATGTACTGGACTTTTCAAATCATTTCCTCAAGGGCTTACTTAGGGCTGCAATTTTTAATAGATATAAATAAATGTCAGGCAGAGTAGTAAAGTATTTATAGAATTTGATTTTTAAATAAATATATACATATGTATAAATATGTAGCAGTGAACTAAAATTTATTTTATCACCAAATGTTCATAGAATTCAACATGTGCTGGATGTTTCAAGTTTTAAATTTATTATTGAAATTAGTGTTGGCATCTTTCATTTTAACACTTATCAAACAAAGGATGCTGCTTTAATCTTCCAACAACAGAAGGGATATTAACTTTTTTTATTGTAAATACAATGTTGTGACACTAAAGACAAACAAATAAAACATATTTTAATTTTATCTCTACTAGCCAAACCTGACTCTTCAGACCGTCTGCAAAAGCTCCTGAGTCTGATGCCCCAAGTTCGGCTGATGACAGTTTGGTACAACAACCTCATGAAGAAAATGTCATTGCCATCAGAGTTTATCAAGAGCAATAAAACAAGTGAAGGAACAGAGAACAGTGCAAACTTCAGCTGATAAAAAACTTGAACTGAATGATAACATTTATTGAAACAAAATATTTTTAGTGTGAGCAATGTCTTGATCAATATACAAATCACACTGTTTAAGAAATCACACAATTTAAGAAATCACACAATTTAAGAAATCACACAATTTAAGAAATCACACAATTTAAGAATCCCACATATAGTGTGAATTTTAAAAACATGTATGTTTTCTTATCATCATAACGGATAAGCTTCTTGTTGTAGCTGGAATAATGAATGTCAACTGAGTCTGACCAATTTATGCAACCATTTTTATAGATCACAGAAAGAAGCAGCTGCATTATTTATCACCACCAACACTGTGTGGCACTGGGTAATGTTTCAAACTTGAAAGAATATATTCAATTCTTGATGGAAAAGACAGTTTAAAGAGATGAATGTTGAATATAATTTCTAAACCGTGTGCCATAATGCTTACATCTAAGCTACTGTAGCTTGATACAACTTCTATGAAACAATACAAAGTTATTTTTAATTTAGTATTGTTTATATTTAAACCTTTATACTTGTTAGAATGACTGGTCACACAATTGGAGTTACACTTGAGAGAAATACATTTGGTAGTTCTATGTTGTGTTACATGTTCCATGTACATGTTTGTTATAGCAATAAATTCTTTTGTCCAGCAGATCTCAAGGTTAACCAGCAATAATATTTTACCACTTATTATAAAAAGTATCATTGATTAATGAGCTCCAGACCTATAATCTTGTGGTTAAAATTGATCTTAAATTTGATTTTTATATCTTCTATTATAACTTTAAAGCACCAAACTTCTGTGTTAACTCTTTGGCCATTTTCTTAACATCTTTTGTTTCATTAACAAACATAAAGATGTAAGAGTTCATAATCTTTTTAGTACAGTAAAAAAAGATAAACTGTTGTTTACAAATGCTTATGATCTATTTGATTTACTCCTTAAAACAATTAACCAGAATAAAGTCAAGTCCATACCCTGCAACCAATCTAACTCACTCATGATACCAAAGATCGAAATATTGGATTGATTTTGTTTGCAAAGTACGCAGCTTGTTTTAGGTTAGTCTGTAATCAGTCTTAATAGAATTACTCTATTGTTTTGAGCCCTTGATTAATTCAAAAGAAATAAAAAATATTTTAAACATAAGCGGCAGTCTAATTATCCAGTTAAATATAAATTTTTCTCTTTACAATTTGTATTAATTCCATGTTAAAACAATGACTGTAAACCTACATGGCATGGTGATCAGACTGAATAAACTTGTCAAAGGTGATAAATGCTATGTGATAAGAACCAACATAACAGAAGCAATTCTATCTGTTCATCTAATGTTTTACAGATTGTGTATTTCTGATTATTGTGAATGTACTAGATGATTCTATTTCAAGCTTCTACAGTAGATATGCAAATCAATGGATGTTTTTTGGCTAGCCATATTTTCTTTAGACAATAACAGTTTCTATTTATACATTAAGGCAAATATATTTCAAGCAATATTTTAAAATTAATTTTTTTTTTAAACTTTTGTTTTTTTTACTGATTTCAACTTGCTATACCAGTGCCATTGATTTGACTTATTTTATATCTTGCAAACATTGTGCCATAGTTCTCCCAGTTCAACTCTGGATGACTTTAATTTTTAAATTGTTTTTATTTTAATGACTGTATATAATTTATGTGGCCTTAAAATGTAAATGTATTATTTAAAACTATTTAACCAGTTTCATATAGCCTACAATTTAAAAGCTTTTTGTTTCATTTTTAAAATGAGAAATGTTCCATCTAAACCATGCTTATTCTTCAAACCATCCAACTCTATTTACAGTAAATGATTGCCATTGTGTGGAGTTAGAGAGAGCTGGTTGTGTTATGATTTGCTTGCTTGTTGACATTATTACACTGTAGTGGGCAGCAAACCTTATTTGTCAATTCAGGAAATATTGTACATACCTACAATGGAAACTTTGATTTAAATGCGAACATGAACACTAATACAAAAAACTTTATCAATTATTAATTACTTAGAACTTTTGTATAGATCTACTTGTTATATAATTCTTTTTTTTGAAAACTTGAGAAATTTTATTATGAAAATGTGTTTATATAAGGGTAAATTATGAGAATTATAATTATAAGAGTTTTTATTTTTTTTTAAATAAAGAGAAGTAAATATAAAAAAATCTTTATCCGTAGCCTATTCATGCAAAACTCAAATACCATGTTAGTTCATAAGAACAGTTTTAAGAGTACTTAAATAGCTTGCTAAAAATAATCTAAAACACTTTTACAACATTTTAAAATATTTAGTGTAAGACTATTCTACATCAGTAATTGGTATTTTTAAAAGACAAAAATGTGAAAGATTGATTTTACTTGTAAACTTTTTAACATGCAGGCCTATTCGGATAATAAAAGTGCTGACGTTTTTTGTCTTTTCACTGTAGTAGAGTTTTTTAATAAACTGAAGCCATTTTTGTTTTTATTGAAATGTTTCCATTTTTTAAACTGTGTGCCATAAAATTTGCTTGTTAACTTCCTTATTTTGTAAGATTTTGTCATTTGTGGAGACAGCGAATACTGGTGATGTTTTCTGTTGTCTTGAGATAGTGATTCTTTTATTGATCTTTTTTTTTTAAATATTTTATGTTTATTACAGTGATCTTTGTATCCTGTGTCAAGAATTTTTTATTTATTTTTGGCAGTAAATGACCTTGCACATTTCTTAACATTCTTCTAACAAATTTGTAAAGCTACAAGTATATCTGAAATACTTGTACTTAACAATTATATAAAGCTCCAAGTATATCTTATTTGCCTGTAGTTCACAATTGTATAAAGCTCCAAGTATATCTGATATGCCTGTACTTAACAATTGTATAAAGCTGCAAGTATATATGATATGCCTGTACTTAACAATTGTATAAAGCTCCAAGTATATCTGATATGCCTGTACTTAACAATTGTATAAAGCTGCAAGTATATCTGATATGCCTGTACTTAACAATTGTATAAAGCTCCAAGTATATCTGATATGCCTGTACTTAACAATTGTATAAAGCTGCAAGTATATCTGATATGCCTGTACTTCACAATTGTATAAAGCTCCAAGTATATCTTATTTGCCTGTAGTTCACAATTGTATAAAGCTCCAAGTATATCTGATATGCCTGTACTTAACAATTGTATAAAGCTGCAAGTATATCTGATATGCCTCTACTTAACAATTGTATAAAGCTCCAAGTATATCTGATATGCCTGTACTTAACAATTGTATAAAGCTCCAAGTATATCTTATTTGCCTGTAGTTCACAATTGTATAAAGCTCCAAGTATATCTGATATGCCTGTACTTAACAATTGCATAAAGCTGCAAGTATATCTGATATGCCTGTACTTAACAATTGTATAAAGCTGCAAGTATATCTTATTTGCCTGTAGTTCACAATTGTATAAAGCTCCAAGTATATCTGATATGCCTGTACTTAACAATTGCATAAAGCTGCAAGTATATCTGATATGCCTGTACTTAACAATTGTATAAAGCTGCAAGTATATCTGATATGCCTGTACTTCACAATTGTATAAAGCTCCAAGTATATCTGATATGCCTGTACTTAACAATTGTATAAAGCTCCAAGTATATCTGATATGCCTGTACTTCACAATTGTATAAAGCTGCAATGAATGTGTGTACTTGATGGAACTATTTTAGCACATTGACTTAAATAACCAATGTTTGCCCCATGTTTTGTTGATGTTGAATTTTTGTTGAGAAATATAATGGCCTATTGCTTACACTTTCAAAACTTAATATTATTACATTAGTAAAATTACAGTTTTGTTTCATTTTAAAACAGCAAAACCTGACATTTAGAAAACAGGATTAATTTTTTTTTTGACTAGATTACCTGCAAGACAAATTTGTTTTTTTCATTGCATATCCAGATAATGTCCCACACTATTTTGAAATGAAGTTTGGTTCATTTAAATTCCTGTCCCAACACTTGCATAATATTGATCCTATTTAACAACTGTCTAGCTAAATATACCAAGCCTGCATGCCTTGAACTTCAACTATTGTATGTGATAACAGGGCATAATCTTCATTCAATAATGTCAACTGCCAATTTGATTCTTTTGATTTTGAATGTTGAAAGTTTCTGTAGAGTTGTTATGACAACCTAGTTGGATTTGACTTCATCCATTTGTATGTGATAATTACCATTAATTCATATGTAAATTGCTGCAGTTTCCTACCAGAAACACTGTTACTAGTAGTGGTCCATATTGATGTTACAATCCAGTGGGGGGGGGGGGGGGAGAAAACTTAAGTAGTGATGGGGGTAAGGTTAAAAGTGTGATAAAATATTTGAATTATAGAAGGAAAGTTATTTTTAAACTGAATTTGCAGTTAATTTACAATGTTTTTAACACTATTACTTAATTGATAGTAAATCCTATAATGACTCAATTTGGGAAAATTGTTAGTATAAAGTCTTATCAATCTATCTAGCAAAGAGCAGCTAATGAACTGTTATTTTTTTTTTTTTTTGCAAAGAGAAACAACTCAATATTTTAGACAAAATTTACCTTGTCTGGTTACATCCCCTTATTTTACGGAACCAGTGACGTCATTTTAGTGGGAGGGGCGGGAAATTGACCAAAAAGGCGTGATGTCATTTACCCGACGTCCAGAAAATCCACGCTTAGGTAAATAATTCATGGTTGTAGGTCGAGTGAAACAAACTTAAATAATTCATCATTTATTTTATTGTATTTACATTTATTCATTAATTTGTTGTGCCATATCTGTATACAATATCTGGCCACCACGGTAAAAACCATAAAAAATGACATTTCCATGGGGTTGTCTATTTTTTTAATGCACCTTTTTTTTAAGAACAATAAATTATTTGCAAGAAACCCATTCAACTTTAATATTGGTCTAGAATCTACTAATCATTTTAGGTTTAAATGTATTCCTTGCATACAATATTAATATCTAAAGAGATTTTAAAATTATTTTTAAAAAGTTTTACAGTTCTTTGACTAAAATTTACTGTGTTGGTGTACAGAGGTTTTAAAAAAAGTTAACCTCATGTTTTTAATTGGTAGGCCCAGAAATCTTATTTTTATGGATGAAAATTAGACTTAACTATGTGCCACACAATTTCATTCAAGCCAAAAGACATCTCTTTCTTGTTTAAGAATGTGTGTAGCATTTATACACAAACATTTCTTAGCCGATTTGCTTGTATTCCATCAATGTTGTAGTTATTTCAGTGAGAAATCCAGTGTAAAATACTAATTTGTTTCATGTTATTTCTTATTAAGCTTTTTAAAAGTATCAGACTAAACATGACAGGCATTAAAATTATGAAGTTTGTGTGCCAAAACTGCATGTCAGATGAGGAATTAGAAGGTTTTGTAGAACTGTTGTGTACAGAATTTTTTTTTTTAATCTTCACGATAGAGTTATGTGGCAGCAGTAAAATTGTATATATTTTTCTCAATAATTCAATCCAGCTTTTTGAATGTTTTAAAGTTGTAATGACACATGAAAGTTATCAATTTAAACTGTAATTAATAAATGTATCTGATGAGGAATACTATACTTACAAGATGTAGTTTAATAAATATAAGATTAAAGTCCTGTGGTAAATAACAATCATAATGTCTGGTGGTTCATAATTAAATAGTGTAGGAAATTTTGCTTAAACAAAAATAATTGAATTTACCTCCAATGGTTAAAACTAATTTTGGATAGATCCAAATAATATAAAAGCTTTCAATAATTTCCTATCATTATAAAATTTAAAAAAAAAAGTATAATAATTATATTAAATTATCATCTATATGTAAACATGTCTTTTTTTATCCAGAGTTTATTATTATTGTTTAATTAAATTAAATCTATAACATTCAAATTAAATTGATCAGAATTAATGGATAATAGATAATACATATACATTATTAATTAAATTTTATAAGGCATGTTATACTTAAACGCCAGCACTTGATTGCATCTGTTGTGGAATATTTTCTCACTCGTTCTGACAGTGATTCAAGGTAAAAACTCCTGACTGCTAGAACTGCTGCACAGTGAAAATGTTTATATGCTGACAATCATCTTACCTTGTTATAGTTGTAACTAGTTCATGTGTTGATGCATTAACTATTAAGAGAATCTGAAGGGACAGTGAAAGAGACATTGTACAAAATGTGTTGCTGTCTCTTTTTTTCGTTAGAATGTTCTAGGTTAGTCTGTATATAGCTAGTGTTACAGAGATTGTATAAGACAATGTTCATCATTTCTATTTACTATTTTCATGCTTTTAATGAGAATGAGAGCATTTGAACGAGAGGCTGAAATACTTTGGATGACTATAAATTGACACATTTCTAGATTGAAGTAGTAAGATATTTTAGATTTTTTAATCTCAGCTGAACACTACCACTCCGGAACAAAAACTTTTTTTAGGATATGCTTTCTTTAAAAAAAAATTCAAGTTGAACATTAAAAATTAAAACATAAAATTAACGTGATTACTAAAAAAATAGAACAATCCCCTTTCGGAGAACTTTTCTGTTTTAAATTTACAAAAAGCATTTGGCAGAAAATGATCATTGAAAGCAATCATCCTGTTTGCTTGTTCTGTAGTTGTTGCCTGTGGAATGGTTTCTTCTATCTCTGCTAATGTACTTAGATGGCTGTGCTGATTGAGTTGTACATTCCATTCAAGCCTTCAGTCTTGCATACATACCATCATCTTTTTCAGTCTTACATACCATCATATTTTTGAGTCTTACAAACCATCATCTTTTTTAGTCTCTCAGCTCTTGTGTTATTGCAGATGGAGTCAAATAAAAATTTTAACTCAATTTGTGTTGTTTAGTTTCTGCACTTTGTGTTTAGTTTCTGCACTTTGTGTTCAGTTTCTGCACTTTGTGTTTAGTTTCTGCACTTTGTGTTGGTAAGTTTTGTACACTTTGTCAGTATTTGTCTTGTGCTTTTGAAAAATCTATTTTAGTTAAATACAAAAAGTTTTTTAAAAAGTTTTAACCATTTTTTATTTAGAATAATTTACATACCATTGAATGTACATACATTATTTAACAAATGTAAACTTTGAGCAACAAACTAACATATCACATAATGGACAACATTCTTAATTGACTTTGTTTTTGAAAACAAACAATAATAGTACCGCCAGATGAGTTTACAATTTTTTCTCATCATACCGATTAAAAATTACAGACAGGTCAATAAATATATAAACAATTACATTGACATTTCTACTTCATGTAGTTCAGTACAAGATATAATCTCACAGTATCCAATCTTACAGTAGTTTAACCCTGAAAGCATGCCAAGCCATGATCGTGGCTTGCTGTTACCTAACTTTTACGTAAGGCCACATGGCGAGAACTTTAAGGGTTAATATTTGTTCAAACCACTACATTTTTGTTGGTTCTAACAGTCATGTGACCTAGCAGCAGATTCAATCTAACATTGGATCATCATACAGCAAACTTTGGTTCAAACCCCTACCTGAACAATTGAAATTGAAAGGTAAAAAATCTGAAGGTGTTCAACTGTTATCTTTTAGAGTTGGGCATCATCTGTAGATCAAACTTGTGGTGCAGAAACTGGTGGATGGCTAGAGCAGAGCAAGATCTCATCTGCCCTCTGGCTTTAATCACATCTGGTGGGCTGGAAGCAAAGGCATTGGTTGATGACACAATAACAAAGGCATTGGTTGATTACACAATAACAAAGGCATTGGTTGATGACACAATAACAAAGGCATTGGTTGATTACACAATAACAAAGGCATTGGTTGATTACACAATAACAAAGGCATTGGTTGATTACACAATAACAAAGGCATTGGTTGATGACACAATAACAAAGGCATTGGTTGATCACACAATAACAAAGGCATTGGTTGATGACACAATAACAAAGGCATTGGTTGATGACACAATAACAAAGGCATTGGTTGATTACACAATAACAAAGGCATTGGTTGATCACACAATAACAAAGGCATTGGTTGATCACACAATAACAAAGGCATTGGTTGATCACACAATAACAAAGGCATTGGTTGATGACACAATAACAAAGGCATTGGTTGATGACACAATAACAAAGGCATTGGTTGATCACACAATAACAAAGGCATTGGTTGATCACACAATAACAAAGGCATTGGTTGATCACACAATAACAAAGGCATTGGTTGATGACACAATAACAAAGGCATTGGTTGATGACACAATAACAAAGGCATTGGTTGATCACACAATAACAAAGGCATTGGTTGATCACACAATAACAAAGGCATTGGTTGATCACACAATAACAAAGGCATTGGTTGATCACACAATAACAAAGGCATTGGTTGATGACACAATAACAAAGGCATTGGTTGATGACACAATAACAAAGGCATTGGTTACTTTAAATGTCATTGGTTGATCACACAATAACAAAGGCATTGGTTGATCACACAATAACAAAGGCATTGGTTGATCACACAATAACAAAGGCATGGGTTGATCACACAATAACAAAGGTATTGGTTGATCACACAATAACAAAGGCATTGGTTGATCACACAATAACAAAGGCATTGGTTGATCACACAATAACAAAGGCATTGGTTGATCACACAATAACAAAGGCATTGGTTGATCACACAATAACAAAGGCATTGGTTGATGACACAATAACAAAGGCATTGGTTGATCACACAATAACAAAGGCATTGGTTGATGACACAATAACAAAGGCATTGGTTGATCACACAATAACAAAGGCATTGGTTGATGACACAATAACAAAGGCATTGGTTGATGACACAATAACAAAGGCATTGGTTGATGACACAATAACAAAGGCATTGGTTGATTACACAATAACAAAGGCATTGGTTGATCACACAATAACAAAGGCATTGGTTGATGACACAATAACAAAGGCATTGGTTGATGACACAATAACAAAGGCATTGGTTGATCACACAATAACAAAGGCATTGGTTGATCACACAATAACAAAGGCATTGGTTGATCACACAATAACAAAGGCATTGGTTACTTTAAATGTCATTGGTTGATCACACCATAACAAAGGCATTGGTTGATCACACAATAACAAAGGCATTGGTTGATGACACAAATAACAAAGGCATTGGTTACTTTAAATGTCATTGGTTGATCACACCATAACAAAGGCTTTGGTTACTTTGGTTAATCATGCTGTAACAATGTGAATGGTTATTTTAATTCTTCAGTTAATAGTCATGTGTAGAGCAACAGAACACTGGCTCAATGATTGCTTTTAATAATGAGGGGATAAACACAACAACAAAGTGATTTAAAATATTTTTAAAGAATATTTGTTTCTCCTTTTAAACATTTTCACCCAGGAAAAGTAGAATGGTTGAACAGTTGAGTCCTCAACTGCTAACCCAAAAGTCTTGAGTTTATAACCTACGTTTCAGGCCTTAGGATGTCACTGAGCCAACCCAGCTCTCATGGGTACCTGACTCACGTTAGGGAAAGTAAAACCAGCAGGGCATATTGCTGAACATCACTTCCTATGCTAAGGTCATAGAAACAGGTGAACTCTACTTCAGCAGCCCCATGAACCATTGGGTTGGGAAGGGTAACTTTACTAAAAACTTAATAAGTTCACAAAAAAAATTAACGAATCTGTTAACTAATTATTTGAATAATCATAGCTTATGTTTGATGGAAAATAAAGCTGAACCAAAATGGTCATAAGAGATCTTGGCCACAATTCTTACCTGCGCACAAACTCAGCTAAAGTAGGAAACTTGTGGACAATGTTGAGTGCTTGTGGGACAGTTACTCGCGGTATGGACAACACAAACTTCAGCATCTGAAAGCAAAAATTTTTTAGAGAACAAAACAAACTTCAGCATCTGGAAAAAACTTTTTAAATTCTCAGACCCAACAGCAAGTAAGTTACTAAACTTCCTGCAAGTGCTTGCTACCGACCTCTTCTTGTTTAGAAGATAATAAAGTTGGGACACCAATAGCTCTTCCTTTCTTGAACTCAGCCACACACAATTCTGCTAACAATGTTGTGGTCTCCTCTAAAACAAACAAAAATATTTTACTTTAATCACATCTTGATATAAAAAATATATACAGAGGGCTTAACATAATATTGGAGAAAGAAGTATTCTAAGACCTAAATTATTAATGTGTTTTTCATAAATTTTTATAAATGATTAAAATAACCTTCAATAAATATAATTATTTATTCATGCTACAATGCAAATTCAAACAATACATTTGCAGCACTTTTTTAACTTCTAATTCTTTTAAGAAGTATTAGTAAGAAAACAGAAAAGTACTTGCCAACATTATCAGTAAAATACATTTTGATTCCAGTCTTAATTAGACTCGCCATTGTAACATCTAAATATTTGGTGTGATTTCTATTTGGAAACAAAAACATTATATTACAGGTAGACTGATATAACACAACCTAATATTACAAGCATAGACTAGTATAAAACTAATTAACAGCCATGTTTATAAAGTGTAAAACTATCGCACCTGGATTTTTTCACTTTCTCCTGGCCAGATTTGACCTTGTCCGTCTCCACAACTAAAACACAGGTGTCATACAAGGACTGCATCTCACTGAGGCGGGAGGTCATCTTGCTGCGGTTGCTGCTGTTGCTGAACACTGTGGGACAAACACAACAGCCATTAGAGGAACTTTGGTTGTCATGGTTACAGCATGTAAACCTTAAACTTCATCTATAAATAATCAATTCAAAAGTACCAAATTATTTTTTATACTTAAATAACATAGTCAAAAGGTGGGCACATCACAGGTTTCACAGGGAATGTTTAAATCAAGTTTACCTGACCAGGGTGTTAAACCTACCTGACCAGGGTGTTAAACCTACCTGACCAGGGTGTTAAACCTACCTGACCAGGGTGTTAAACCTACCTGACCAGGGTGTTAAACCTACCTGACCAGGGTGTTAAACCTACCTGACCAGTGTGTGTTAAACCTACCTGACCAGGGTGTTAAACCTACCTGACCAGTGTGTTAAACCTACCTGACCAGGGTGTTAAACCTACCTGACCAGGGTGTTAAACCTACCTGACCAGGGTGTTAAATCTACCTGACCAGTGTTAAACCTACCCAACCAGTGTGTTAAACCTACCTGCCAGGGTGTTAAACCTCCCTGACCAGTGTTAAACCTACCTGACCAGTGTGTTAAACCTACCTGACCAGGTTGTTAAACCTACCTGACTGTGTTAAACCTACCTGACTGTGTTAAACCTACCCAACCAGTGTGTTAAACCTACCTGCCAGGGTGTTAAACCTCCCTTACCAGTGTTAAACCTACCTGACCAGTGTGTTAAACCTACCTGACCAGTGTTAAACCTACCCGACCAGTGTGTTAAACCTACCAGTCAACCTACCTGACCAGCCTGTTAAACCTACCTACCTAGTGTGTTAAACCTACCTGACCAGTGCATCCTGTCAGCAGCCATATAATTACTGAGCATGTAGTCGCATGAAGACAGCTGTCTGGCCGTGACCTTGATGTTGTGTTTCTGGCGCAGGTTGGATATGATGTCCTGTGGAGGCATGTTGGATCACATCAATATAGGGTTACATGTAGCAGGAGGTTAACATGTAGCAGGTTAACATGTAGCAGCAGGTTAACATAACATGTAGCAGCAGGTTAACATGTAGCAGCAGGTTAACATGTAGCAGCAGGTTAACATAACATGTAGCAGCAGGTTAACATGTAGCAGCAGGTTAACATGTAGCAGCAGGTTAACATAACATGTAGCAGCAGGTTAACATAACATGTAGCAGCAGGTTAACATGTAGCAGCAGGTTAACATGTAGCATCAGGTTAACATAACATGTAGCAGCAGGTTAACATGTAGCAGCAGGTTAACATAACATGTAGCAGCAGGTTAACATGTAGCAGCAGGTTAACATGTAGCAGCAGGTTAACATGTAGCAGCAGGTTAACATGTAGCAGCAGGTTAACATGTAGCAGCAGGTTAACATAACATGTAACAGCAGGTTAACATAACATGTAGCAGCAGGTTAACATGTAGCAGCAGGTTAACATGTAGCAGCAGGTTAACATGTAGCAGCAGGTTAACATAACATGTAACAGCAGGTTAACATAGCATGTAGCAGCAGGTTAACATGTAGCAGCAGGTTAACATGTAGCAGCAGGTTAACATGTAGCAGCAGGATAACATGTAGCAGCAGGTTAACATGTAGCAGCAGGTTAACATGTAGCAGCAGGTTAACATAACATGTAGCAGCATGTTAACATGTAACAGCAGGTTAACATGTAGCAGCAGGTTAACATGTAGCAGCAGGTTAACATGTAGCAGCAGGTTAACATGTAACAGCAGGTTAACATGTAGCAGCAGGTTAACATGTAGCAGCAGGTTAACATAACATGTAACAGCAGGTTAACATAACATGTAGCAGCAGGTTAACATGTAGCAGCAGGTTAACATGTAGCAGCAGGTTAACATAACATGTAACAGCAGGTTAACATAACATGTAGCAGCAGGTTAACATGTAGCAGCAGGTTAACATGTAGCAGCAGGTTAACATGTAACAGCAGGTTAACATGTAGCAGCAGGTTAACATGTAGCAGCAGGTTAACATGTAGCAGCAGGTTAACATGTAGCAGCAGGTTAACATGTAGCAGCAGGTTAACATGTAGCAGCAGGTTAACATAACATGTAACAGCAGGTTAACATAACATGTAGCAGCAGGTTAACATGTAGCAGCAGGTTAACATGTAGCAGCAGGTTAACATAACATGTAACAGCAGGTTAACATAACATGTAGCAGCAGGTTAACATGTAGCAGCAGGTTAACATGTAGCAGCAGGTTAACATGTAGCAGCAGGTTAACATGTAGCAGCAGGTTAACATGTAGCAGCAGGTTAACATGTAGCAGCAGGTTAACATGTAGCAGCAGGTTAACATAACATGTAACAGCAGGTTAACATAACATGTAGCAGCAGGTTAACATGTAGCAGCAGGTTAACATGTAGCAGCAGGTTAACATGTAGCAGCAGGTTAACATAACATGTAACAGCAGGATAACATAGCATGTAGCAGCAGGTTAACATGTAGCAGCAGGTTAACATGTAGCAGCAGGTTAACATGTAGCAGCAGGTTAACATGTAGCAGCAGGATAACATGTAGCAGCAGGTTAACATGTAGCAGCAGGTTAACATGTAGCAGCAGGTTAACATAACATGTAGCAGCATGTTAACATGTAACAGCAGGTTAACATGTAGCAGCAGGTTAACATGTAGCAGCAGGTTAACATGTAGCAGCAGGTTAACATGTAGCAGCAGGTTAACATGTAACAGCAGGTTAACATGTAGCAGCAGGTTAACATGTAGCAGCAGGTTAACATAACATGTAACAGCAGGTTAACATAACATGTAGCAGCAGGTTAACATGTAGCAGCAGGTTAACATGTAGCAGCAGGTTAACATAACATGTAACAGCAGGTTAACATAACATGTAGCAGCAGTTTAACATGTAGCAGCAGGTTAACATGTAGCAGCAGGTTAACATGTAACAGCAGGTTAACATGTAGCAGCAGGTTAACATGTAGCAGCAGGTTAACATGTAGCAGCAGGTTAACATGTAGCAGCAGGTTAACATGTAGCAGCAGGTTAACATGTAGCAGCAGGTTAACATGTAGCAGCAGGTTAACATAACATGTAACAGCAGGTTAACATAACATGTAGCAGCAGGTTAACATGTAGCAGCAGGTTAACATGTAGCAGCAGGTTAACATAACATGTAACAGCAGGTTAACATAACATGTAGCAGCAGGTTAACATGTAGCAGCAGGTTAACATGTAGCAGCAGGTTAACATGTAGCAGCAGGTTAACATGTAGCAGCAGGTTAACATGTAGCAGCAGGTTAACATGTAGCAGCAGGTTAACATGTAGCAGCAGGTTAACATGTAGCAGCAGGTTAACATAACATGTAGCAGCATGTTAACATGTAACAGCAGGTTAACATGTAGCAGCAGGTTAACATGTAGCAGCAGGTTAACATAACATGTAGCAGCAGGTTAACATAACATGTAGCAGCAGGTTAACATGTAGCAGCAGGTTAACATGTAGCAGCAGGTTAACATGTAGCAGCAGGTTAACATAACATGTAACGGCAGGTTAACATAACATGTAGCAGCAGGTTAACATGTAGCAGCAGGTTAACATGTAGCAGCAGGTTAACATGTAGCAGCAGGTTAACATGTAACAGCAGGTTAACATGTAGCAGCAGGTTAACATGTAGCAGCAGGTTAACATGTAGCAGCAGGTTAACATGTAGCAGCAGGTTAACATGTAGCAGCAGGTTAACATGTAGCAGCAGGTTAACATGTAGCAGCAGGTTAACATAACATGTAACAGCAGGTTAACATAACATGTAGCAGCAGGTTAACATGTAGCAGCAGGTTAACATAACATGTAACAGCAGGTTAACATAACATGTAGCAGCAGGTTAACATGTAGCAGCAGGTTAACATGTAGCAGCAGGTTAACATGTAGCAGCAGGTTAACATGTAGCAGCAGGTTAACATGTAGCAGCAGGTTAACATGTAGCAGCAGGTTAACATGTAGCAGCAGGTTAACATGTAGCAGCAGGTTAACATGTAGCAGCAGGTTAACATAACATGTAGCAGCATGTTAACATGTAACAGCAGGTTAACATGTAGCAGCAGGTTAACATGTAGCAGCAGGTTAACATAACATGTAGCAGCAGGTTAACATAACATGTAGCAGCAGGTTAACATGTAGCAGCAGGTTAACATGTAGCAGCAGGTTAACATAACATGTAGCAGCAGGTTAACATAACATGTAACGGCAGGTTAACATAACATGTAGCAGCAGGTTAACATGTAGCAGCAGGTTAACATGTAGCAGCAGGTTAACATGTAGCAGCAGGTTAACATGTAGCAGCAGGTTAACATGTAGCAGCAGGTTAACATGTAGCAGCAGGTTAACATGTAGCAGCAGGTTAACATGTAGCAGCAGGTTAACATGTAGCAGCAGGTTAACATGTAGCAGCAGGTTAACATAACATGGAGCAGCAAGTTAACATGACATGTAGTAGCAGGCTACATCAGGTTAAGATGTCATGTAGCTATAGGCTACTTAGACATTACTATCCCCACAGCTCTAGGCTACATCAGTATAAAATTACCTGCAACACCATGCTATATTTACATTTGATTGCAACTAGCACTAGGCTACAATTAAATTATGAAACATTGGGTATTTTGACAACAGATAATGGACCCATTGAAATACTTTTAACATTCAACCATTTTAAAGTTAAAATAAAAGTTAACATTATGACACTTAAGTTTAATGGACTTTAATTAGAGGTAACCATTGAACAAAGCTGATTTTCTAAGCTATAATAAGTAGAAGTGCCGTCAAAATGTAAAGCTATTTAACATTGCTTAAAAAATAAGCATTGTTTTAATGAAACAAATCAAATGCCACAAGTTAATCAGACCTGACACAAACACCACAAACAATCTCTCACTGCAACCATTACCTGTGCTCCACTTATCTCCCTTGAGTCCACTAAGATCTGGAGTTGTTCTTCCACTCTTTTTGAAGCTACCTACGAGGTTAAAGAATATTGTACTCAACATAAAATACTCTTAAATTAGAAAAAAAACTACTGTAAATAAATATATAGATATTTTAAATTTTTATCACAAAAAATCAATGAATGGCAATAATGGCAATAAAAGAATATGAATAGTCACGGAAGATTATAAAACAATACCAAAGCTCTTAAGGGGGCAGTATCACCCAGACATTTGAAAATTGACGAAAAAATTTGCCAAAAAAAAAACTATTACACATACACACATAATTTTTTTACCATAATAGTAATTAATAAGGAGCTATAATACAGCACATAAAAGAAAGTTAACGTATGATGCAAACATTTTTTATAAATAATTTAACCAAAATTTTTTTACTAAGTAATTTGTGGCTGCGGTTTTCTAACATTTAGGCCCTTCCTACTGAAAATACACTGGGAGATGCATAACAGGATAGCCTATCGCTGGAACTAGAAGATATCCATTGTGACAAATTTTGAAATTTTTAGAATTTTTCAAAGTCAGACCAAAAAAATTGAACTTAGAAATTTTCTAAAAAATTTATCCCTCATTAGAATATTATGATTTTAGTTCCGACGATAGCCATTAACGCAACGAACGTTTATACCAAATTTTAAGTACTTAACTTATGGTTTCGGAAAATTGTTTGCAAAAAAATTCAAAATGTAATAAAATATAATTTTTTGCAAATATGTTGCTGTACATATACCCTACAATTTATATACTGTATTATAGCAGAAGACACTTTACTACTGCTGTACAATTTTGACATATGTATGTCGAATAGTTTTTTTTTGGTGAATATTTTTGTTTTCCTCCCTTAGTCTGGGTGATACTGCCCCTTTAACTTTGTAGACCTGTAGCGATTTTATATAAACATGCATCATAAGACTTACAAGTTTGGTGAAAGAGGTATCAGACAGGGACCCAACGTTTGGAGGGGAACTGTTGTCAGCTGTTGTGTTATGTGCTGTCTGATGTGCTGTCTGGTCTGTTGAGCTGAGGTTACCACAACTCTGCTGCACCTGCTTCAACTTCTGCCTAAATTTTTCTTGTTTTTCTTTCTGTTTTTTCAGTCTCTCCTCTCTGGTGAGCACACATGGAGGTTTTGTTTTCTCGCAGGAACTGCTTGACAAATCTGGTGCGCAAGAATCTGACCTGTCACCACAAGGTGTTGATGTGGTCGCAGAGGTGGATGCTGTAGTGGTGGATGAGGTAGATGTTGATGTGGTGGTTGCTGATGTGGTAGCTGAGTTAGATGATGTGGTGGTTGCTGATGTGGTAGCTGAGTTAGATGATGTGGTGGTTGCTGATCCATCTTTGTTACCAACAGGATTCACATTAAAACTTCTTCTGTCCAACAAACCAGGGGAGACAATGCCGTCTCCACTCTGATCTCCTCTACTTTTGTCATGCCCAATGTTGCCACCATCACCGCTGTCTTTCTTTATCTGACTGGATGAGGCTGGAGGGTTGTCAGAAACATCTGTTTTCAACTGGTTGTCATCCAAATCAGCAAACCAATCTTCCTCTTCAAACAGACTCCAATTCCCATTTATCAGCTGATTATCTTCATTACCACAGTTACCTGTGTCAACTTGGAATGAAGATTTTTCAAGCCCCTGGCATACTTCTGCTTGCAGTGCACTATTATTTTCACTTTGTATTGCCAAACTGGCATGAGAGTGTACCACTTTGGCAGAAGGAACAGAAAAATTAAAACTGTTGTTTGTGGTGACATCCCCAGCAGTGCTTTTGTTGTCCTCATCACTGCTGCTAAGTAGGGCCCGCCTGGCTCTCTTCTGGCCCACCACGCTGGCTCTCTTCTGTCCCACCACACTGGCTCTCTTATGGCCCACCACACTGAACTCTTGTGTGAGAGCAACACAGCTCTCAGACTCGTCCTCGCTAGAGGAGTTGACCACAACATGGATACGTCGTTTGCCTGGCAGCTTCCTTGCTTTCTTTGACTTGACTTTTTTGGATTTCTTGGGGTGAGATTCATCAGAGGAGAGATAGCTATCTGTTGAGAAAGTTTTATTTCAATTAATGCTAGCTAACTGCATAACTTTTCTACCAACTCATGGGAGAATATTTCAATTAATGCTAGCCTACTACATCACCTTTCTACCAACTCAAGGGAGAAAAGGTAAAAGGTACATGCAGTTTACTTATCTGTTCAAAACCATTATAAAATAACAACTGAAATGCACATCATCACTGCCAACTACCAACACTTACCCACATCATCACTACCAACACCTACCCACATCATCACTACCAACACTTACCCACATCATCACTACCAACACTTACCCACATCATCACTACCAACATTTACCCACATCATAACTACCAACACCTACCCACATCATCACTACCAACACTTACCCACATCATCACTACCAACATTTACCCACATCATCACTACCAACACTTACCCACATCATAACTACCAACACCTACCCACATCATCACTACCAACACTTACCCACATCATCACTACCAACACTTACCCACATCATCACTACCAACACTTACCCACATCATCACTACCAACACTTACCCACATCATCACTACCAACACTTACCCACATCATCACTACCAACACTTACCCACATCATCACTACCAACACTTACCCACATCATCACTACCAACACTTACCCACATCATCACTGCCAACACAAAAACTGTCCTCCTCATACTCTGACATGCCCTGATCCTCAGGTACAGCCTGACTGTAAATATCCACATCAACTTTCTTGTTGTATTGAAGCTTGAAGCGTCCAGCTATTCCATTCAATACTGGACTCTTGACTGACTTTAAGTACATAGCTCTCATATCTGTGTTACAAATATCAAGAAAACTTCAAAATATGGCATTTATATAAAACCATTACCTTACATAGTGTTTCCTGGAATAAAACATACTAATCTCTGAGAATTATTATTAAAGCTAAGCTCACCTGTGCTCTGAATATGGAATAAAGCTGATCTCGCTTATGTTCTAACTATGGATTAAAGCTGAGCTTACCTGTGTTCTAAAGATTTAAAGCTGAGCTTACCTGTATTCTAAAGATTTAAAGCTGAGCTTACCTGTATTCTAAAGATTTAAAGCTGAGCTCACCTGTGTTCTAAAGATTTAAAGCTGAGCTTACCTGTGTTCTAAAGATTTAAAGCTGAGTTTACCTGTGTTCTATAGATTTAAAGCTGAACTCACCTGTGCTCTGACTGTGCATTAGCTCTGTGTTGTTATCAATAAAACTGGCTTCATAAAAATCATCGCCTTCTTCCCTTTCATCAGAAGAGCCTGAGTCCCCAGACACCTCCGCCTCCTCTTCTATAAAACCTTTTTCCTAATTTTGTTTGGACACATTTTACATAGAGCTAAAATTGTTTGGATAGCATTTTGTCTAAAAAACGTAAATTGCTAAAACAAAAGGCTGTTAAGCATAAAATGTATCCAAAAATAAAAGTTAAGGTTGTATAATAAAAATTATTTTACCATTAGACCCTACTATTAAGTCATAAATATTAGTATAGTAAATCAAGCTTTCAAATATATACAATGCTTGAATATAAAAATGCCTCTTGAATTATGTTTTTAAAAATGGGCCTGATAGATAATTCCTTACCTTCAATTTTTTTCTTTCAATTTTAATTTTTTTTCTTGATGGCAGATTATAACTTGGTTTTTCTACAAGGGAGATAATGGAATTTATTTAAATAAATAGCTGCCACCTGATATTATTGACAGCCAGAATGACATTACAATACTGAATCTTATTTAATATTTTAATAGTTCATATCCCAATTTTTGTATCTTTCGACTGAATATTTTGCTACTTTAAAAAAAAAGCAAATAATAATTTTTAAAATAAACTGAGTACATGGTTTGTTGCCACTGACTAAACGAGTTAGATAAGAAGATACAATGGACGCCAGCGAGAAAAGTCTCAAAGGAATTTGAGAGGTCCATAAATTAATTTAAAAATCATGCAAGGCGTAGTTACAGTTAATATGGTTATAAAATCCTGTCTGTCTGGTTTTTTCGGACTTTACTAAAGATTGGATGTATTTGATGTTTTAATATTTTCGGTAACTAAATAAAAATAAAAAAAAAAAGCAAAAACAATTTGGTTTTCACGTGTTATGGCAACATAAACAATAGCATCCTGTTATTCGATAGGCCGCCATATATTTTATTGTACACATTGTAAGCTAAAAATAGAAAATTAGGTCATGGGGTTTTAATTTGCATTGTTATTTAAAAACTTGATCTGCAAAGTTTTGTAACCAAAAAAACTATAAAGTGGGGCTGTCAGAAATCGATCACGGAGGTCCTGTACAGCCAATCAATGTTTGTCTTACGAAAGTGAAACATCAGGTTATAACTTAGGCCTGATGAAAATAAATAGAAATGTAGCCTTAAACTCAACTAATTATTTTAAGTTCTCTGGATCTGCAACTTGTATAGCATTGATTCTAAAAATATTGAATTTCTGAATTAATTTTAGGCTTAAGTTTTTAATAAAATTTTATCTTTTATTATTTTTACTGTCCTAAATCTAAAAAAGCACATTTTTATTCCATGTCAACAACATTACGGAAGGATGTTCGTCAACTCACTGGTGCCCATTAGTATAAGGATTCATATAATATGCACTCTCTAAAAATACTAACTCATTTTTTACATCCTTTCATTGTATGTATTCAATATTAAAATAATTATTCACTTTAATACACTGACAAGTAAAAATTCTAATTATTTTATCAACAAAATCACTAAAACTACCTTACCTTCAAAGTCACTGAGATCATAAGCTGCAATATCTTCAAGTAATGGTTCCACTTTCTTTTTTGATGCTTTGATCCATGTCTGGTAAACATTAAATACATGGACATGGTATTAGGTCAAACCTAATTCAATAGTTAAATATCATTCAAGCCAACTATCTGTCAATAAACAATGCTGGTATAGAAAATTATCTTACATTGTGTGTTACTTCCCTTGTTTCATCATCTAGGAAAAAAGTTATGAACAGTAAATCATTAATAGAATCAGAAAACTTTAGGCTAACATAAAGAATTTTAAAAAGTTATTATCACATAGACTTAAAGAATTTGAAAGTGCTAAACTCACATTAAACTAAAAAAAAGTTTACCTAAAAAAAAGTTTACGAGCTAATATCACATTTATCTGTAGGATTTTAAAGATCTAAAAATCATATTTACCTTCATCTGTTGAGAAATTTATAACTGTTGTCTTCTTTTTTCTTCGTCTAATAAAACTTTCTTCGTCATCTTGTTTGTCTGTCCAGACGGGAAATAATAATTCTAAGAGAAACTCTACTTCACCTGTCCAGACCACTATCAGGTCCTAAATAGTTTACTTACTTAAGCCTACCTTAATTATATTCCATGTTGTTTAACCTACCTCTGGTCTGTGGCTTTTCAATGGGGGTCAGCTCTAGCTCACTACCTGAGCTGATTCTCAGGCTACCTAAGGGGCGTTTAGGTGTACTGGCCTTCAGCAGTCTGCTCTCACCTGGTGCCAGACTGAGCACAGATACACCTGGGCTGGCCTTGTGTTGCACCTCACCTGGTGCCAGACTGAGCACAGACACACCTGGGCTGGCCTTGTGTTGTTTAAACTTGGACTTTGAGAAAAACATTTCAGAATGTTTCTCCAGTTCATCCTCAGAGTTTGACAACACAGAAAGATGGTCACTGGTTACATTAGCAGTTTGGTGGCTAAGTGAGTGGCCGTCACTGGTTACATTAGCAGTTTGGTGGCTAAGTGAGTGGCCGTCACCGGTTGCATTGGTAGTTTGGTGGCTAAGTGAGTGGCCATCACTGGTTACATTGGTAGTTTGGTGGCTAAGTGAGTGGCCGTCACTGGAAGATGAGGCACTTTTATTGCTGGTGCTGTCTCTCTTCCTACCTAGCTGCAACTTCCTTGGTTTGCTGACACTAGACCTATGTGCACTAACCACACTCTCATCCGCTCCTGTAGGGTGTGACTGTTGTTTGTCGTAGCCTGTCCATTTGTCAGTCTTCTTGATGTCTAGTGACTTGTTGACATCTTGCTGTTCAGGAGATGACACACTTGTACTGTAAGTGTTGAAGGGCAGCTTCAGTTTAATGGGCGCTGTCTGGTTATCAGAGTGACAAGCACTGACAGCATCTAGCACAGCTGAGTCAACTGTCATGTCCTGCAACTGTCCACTGTTGACAAGCCGGGGTGGGGGAGAGTTTGACCCTGTCCACCCCACCGCAGGCTGGACTGTGGCAACAGGCCGAGTGTGTCCAGAGAAAGGTTTAGCACCAGCACCAATGAAAGAGTTCAACACAGGAGAGTCTGGAGAAGACTGGCAGCTGTCACCACCCAGAGAAAAGTTACACACACTGCTGAAACTTGGGGAAACTTTTTCAGGGAGTTCCTTTCTTTCTCTGGTGTAACTGGTATCATCGTCCTGCACACACAGCTCAAAGGCTGAGCTTTGGCTGTTTTGTTTGTTCTGGTAACTGTGTGCTGGCAGTTTTAATGCCTCGTCTTTTACATCAGCTGAGAGCACACAAGCAGAAGTCTGATATTTGAGAGAGAAAGTTGAGGTCTGGGAGAGATTCTTGTCAGGTGTGGGTGGGATGATGTCATCATCTAGGTCAAATCCTAAATCAAACTGGGGCATCTCCAGGTTGTCACTGCCAGGGGTGGGAGGGGAGGCTTTCTGGTTTATTGGGGTTGTTTCCTGTTTAGTGGGGGTTGTTTCCTGTTTAGTGGGGGTTGTCTCCTGTTTAGTGGGGGTTGTTTCTGTAGAAAACAGACAAGGCTCATCATAGTCCTGACAAAGTTTCCTGTTCTCTGCCACACTGATTTTGTTGATGTATTTCTGCTCATGGCTAACAGTTTCCCACTGAGTGGAAGAATTTGAATCGGAATGAAAATATTTTGGTCTGTTAGGCAAACCAAAATATGATGGCATATCTTGTGATGGAGCTGGGCTGACCAGACCAGCGATGTTGGTGGTCACTGGGCCAGGTGTACTTTGGCTACTGCAAGCAGAACTGGTCTCCAGACAGTCCATCACCTGGGTGAAGGTCAGGAAACTCTCAGAATGGGAGCTGTTGGCGCTTTTTGCCTTGCTGGTGCTTGAGGGGGTGTGGGTAGCAATTTTTGCCTTATGAGTACTGGAAGGTGTGTGGGAGGTTTTTGCCTGAGTACTGGAAGGTGTGTGAACTGTGTGAGCAGCAATTTTTGCCTGACATGAAGCAGGTGATGTCTGAGCTATGCCCCTACCAGCCTGTGTCCTGTTGCTCCCTACACAAACAGCGTCTAGTCTACCCCAGTCAATATCATCATCCTCCATGCTGAAGTCAAACAAATTAAAGTCTGCCTGAACCTTCTGCTCAACATCGTGGGTTATGGCTGGGGTGGTAGGCTCCACAAAATCAGCTATGTGTTCGTCCTCCTTTGGAAGTCTCAAGTTGAAGGTCACTTCTTTAGTCTCCGATTGGACATCTTCAGCAAACTTCAACCTTTTACTGACCAGTTTGCCAGCAGGAGCTGAGCACTGTCTCAAGCCTTTACCTGATGTTGCCTTAAGCCTTGAGTTGGGAGTGTTGCAGAGCTGAGGCAGCACAACTTTTTTCTCCTGGTCTGAATTAGTTGCCTTTCCCCTGCAGTGAGCACCTGAGTTAGTCTCTCTACAGCACACAGTTTGTACAATGTTTGTATGGTCATTCAACTTCAACTGTTTGCTCATCAAATGGCTCTCAAAAGATGTGTCAAGTCTGTAGGACTGGTTCAAACTTTTGGAAGAATTTTTCAAGATGCTTTTGGTCAAGATGGGACTGCGAGAGGGCAGGAACTCGTCATGGTTGGACTTCATTAACGCCAGACATTCTTCTCTCTCTGACCTCTGCCACTTTTCCACCAGCTCTTCAATGTCAAGGTCAGAAAACTCCAGCCCAGACTTGATCCCTTGAAATAATTTGGCCACGTGTGAGCAGTTAGGGGGTGGAGGGACATCTGATGGTACCACTGTGGCAGATGTGTCAGCAGGAACACAGGCATCTTTCCCATGTGTGTTGAAGGTTGGTGATACAGCTCCGTCACAAGGTGGGGCCCCTGTGTCCACAGGAGCATTGACATGGGGGTTCGAATCCTCTCTCACTGTCTGGCAGGCCTTCTTCAACAAAGTATAACAACAGCTTTGGTCTCTGGAGGTATCCTCAAAGTCTTCAATGTCAAGGTTGTTTGATATCCCAGGCAGCTCTGTCTCTAGTTTCTCTAGGATAGATCTTCTGCTGATCTTCCTCCGGTCAGCTGTCCAGTTATCCACTGCACTCTCTGACACAGATGCTTCAGATACAGATGTGCCAGATTTTTTTGGTTTGACCAACTTACCTTTGGATTTTAATTTAGCAGTGTTATTGGTCCTCATTTTAGAAACTTTGGATCTGAGTACAGGGCTTTTACTGGTCAGAGTTTTGCTAAAAGTTTTGGCCTTTGAACCAGTTCCATCTTTCATCTTCTGACGAGGTTGCTCATCCCCACTAGAGCCACTGCTGACCACAATGGACTCAGTGAGAGCTGCATCATCCACCTCCGCATCAAAACTTTCTTTTTTCCTAACTTTCTTCTTACACCTGACTTTATTGCCAGCTGTTCTCTCACTAGACTTAGGCCCAGGTCTGGTGGTCAGGAAGGACACAATGCTGCTCTGTCCAGCTTTAGAGATGTCTGTTGCCTCACTGTCCAGGTACTTGGACAGCTCATAGCCATAGCTATCATCATGGTCTCCAACAGCATCTGGGGAAACAAGCTCACTTTCATTGATTCGTATATACATCTTGTATTTAAAGCAGAGAATTTCCACAGAAATTCCAGAGAACAATAATATTTATAAAAGACAACTAAAGCACACTGAAGAATGTTTAGTAATATCAAAACAAGTAGCTAGAAATGTAAAACCTGTACAGATCTTTTGAATCAGCAATTCTTTACACTTAAAATATTTTTATTACATTTGTTTAATAGTTAATAACATGGACATACACTGTAGGTCTTTTGTCAATAGTTTTAGGGAGAGTTCTGGCATAAAAGTTAGTAAATTTGTAAAGTTTTAGGGAGAGTTCTGGCATTAATGTTAGTAAATTTGTAAAGTTTTAGGGAGAGTTCTGCCATTAATGTTAGTAAATTTGTAAAGTTTTAGGGAGAGTTCTGCCATTAATGTTAGTAAATTTGTAAAGTTTTAGGGACAGTTCTGGCATTAATGTTAGTAAAGTGGACTTACACTGCAGGTCGATGAACTCGACATCTTTTACCAAATGTTCACTCTGAATGGAATGGCCAACAAGAAAAGTTTTCTGGAGTCTGTTCTGCCATGGCATCCATTCAGCAAAGTCTATCACATTCACTTTCTCAGCTGCAAGAGGCTGTAACATAATCATCTTTGTACGCATTTAAATTGTAACTAACTAAACCTGGATATGGATTTTATAAAGGCATACACATACATTTCTATTTATCATGTATACAAATAAGATATACCCACACTTTAGATATAACATGTACAGTTGCTTACAAAGTTAAGGTGAAACACTTACCTTGGATTTAGTTAATGTAATACACTTAGGTCTTGGTATGTGCCTAGCAGTTGATGCCATTAAGGAAAATTCTTCTTTGATACTTTCAAACTCTTCAGCTAAAAGGTAGTCTTCAGAAGCATCTTTCTTCACTGATTTAATGAACAACAACATCCAATGATACAACATAAAGTAATAAACAACAACATCCAATCAAATATAACAGATGACTGATAATTGTTATGATGAGCTCTTATTCTAAATTAAAGGCACATGCCAAGGTGTCACTTGTTTTTAAGTAAATCCTGAAAATCAATCCCAAAATTTTAACCCATCATGTAACAAAAATTTGAAATTTTTTAAATCCTGAAAATGTCGCACAGAATTTTAAAATAAAATCATTTCTATCTTCAATACAGTCCTTTAATGGAATTACTATCTTTGTAAGAATCTTCAAACAAAAATTAATATTTAAACCATTGTGCTTATAACAAAATTTGTTTTAAAATGTAGGCCCATCTCTACCCCATTATGTGATTTTCTGTAATATTCTAAGACTGAACCACTTAAAATTTAAAACTTACTTCCACGGCTTCCAAACATGTCAGAGATTCGTTTACTTCTGTTAGCCACACTGGGTTTTGTTGCAGTTTTCTTTGTTTCTTTACTTTGTGAGGACGCTACAGTGATGTGCATTTGATGGCATTTGGGGTGAAGTGACGCAGGCAGCATCCGCGGGTTGCTGGGGTAAAAGTGAAGTGTTTTGGCCCCATTCAAAATGGCTTTGTGAATACTTTTCTTGGAGTACTGGCTCTGGTTGTAAATCTGAGGAGTGGGGATGTAGATACAGAGATATAATGAGAATATATAAAGGTTTGTATATAACACAACACTTCACTGAGGAGTGGGGATGTAGATACAGAGATATAATGAGAATACATTGAGTGTTGTACATAACACAACACTTCAATTCAGAATAATCTATGGCATACAAACATTTTAAAAAATGTATTTAAGCTTCTTAAGCAATTTTTTAAAATAGCTTTAACAGTACATTATGATTTATATAATTTATAAAAGGAACTTAAATATGTAAATAATTAGAAGCGAAAATAATTAATTTTCTTTGAAGTAGTATTTTTAGCCATTCAAGTCAAATGTAACAGCACAAAGAAGAAAACATTTTATGACACTTAGCAGTTGTACATTACAGCAAGTACTGGGTCATACACATAATTCTACAAATTGACATACACTAAGTTATTGGAAAGTGTGAAGGCTAATAATTTAAATATGTCAATTGTTTCTCATGTACTGTATAAAACTCAACACAAAATTCTATAAATTTCAACTACTTCCTAGTTTATTTTTCCTTTCACCACTGCAACCTTTAAATTAACTAATGACTAACTTTTCATTTTGTAATTTATTGAATGATCATCAGAAATACATGCACACGTACAAAACAATTGAAAGAAATGTGTCAAAATTGAGTAACGTGTAAGTATCTCACTTCAGAAAAATGCTTGTAAAAAATAATACTTCACTATTATAAAGCTACAACACAACATGTCACCATAAAATGTTTGGTATTTGCTAACCATATTAAATTAAAACTATTCAAAAGGAAATTAGTCTTTTGATAAAATCAATGTTTTTATTTAAAACAATTCAAACAATAACAGAGTATCTTCCCCTACCTGTTCTTCTTTCCCTTCAGTCACAAGCATGACAATCCTGCCTTGTCTTTTACGACCAGTTCTGCCCATACGTTGGACCAATCTGATTGGGCTTTTGTGGGCATCAAAACATACGATAAGATCAACATCCCCAATATCAAGACCTTCTTCCCCAACACATGTTGATACCAGTGTATTGTACCCGCCACTGCGAAACTGCTGCATTACCTGTAGTTTTTAAAATACTATTTAATTAAACCTTTTACTTGAAAACTCAACATTTTCATTATTCTAAAACTCTTTTGTTTCCAAACATCATTAAATTAGTATACATTTTTAGCTACTTCTTCAAAATTGATTTCTTTTCTTTAAATTTAGAAGTATATTCCACCATTAGTTTTATTAAAAATTAAAGAATAAATATTCTCATTTAAAGTACTCAATTATTGTGGTATAGGCGTACAGGAGTAGAAATTCTTTTTAACAAAAATAATGTAATTCTTTTTCAATCTTTAAATAACATTTTATTGTTCATTGTGAGATATTTTCTATACATGGAATTAATCAGTAAGTTTATTACCAACAGTTGCTCCTTTTGGGTGTAACCTTTTGTAACTTTCCCAGCAGAAGATTGGCCAATGAATGGCATGACTTTAACCAATGGCTGGTGTTGATTAAGGATGGCTGCTATTTCCTGGACGCTGTCACGGTACTGACTAAATATCATCACTCTTGTTTCCTCATTTTCTAGAGTAATCAAGTAATAAACAAAATAGGCATTGATTAAGAAAGATATACAAAGGCCTATAAATAAAAGAAAAAATTATATAAGGTATATATCTCAACAAAAATTGCAAACTTGCTAATTTAAATTAGTTAAAAGAAATATCTATAATTTAAGAAAAGATTACTTTTTTCAAATGTCTTGAAATGTTCAACAACTATTTCCTCAAGTCTCTGCATTTTTGGGTGTCCAACTGCAATTTTAACGTCAGTGGCTCCAGTTTTCCTACAACAATAAATGACCACAAAAAGTTTTAAGATTTTTTAAATCTTCACAGATTTATCTACTAAATTAAGAAGTTAATCTGACCCCAGCTCACCCTTTTTGGTCAGAAAATTTACTTCTCAGGGCGTCCATAATTTTGTTAAAATCTGCGTTTCTCAGCAGTTCAGTTTTTGTCTTGCCGTGACCTTTGACCCCAGTGATGATACTAGTCAGATAGTTGTACAAAGATCGCAGACCATGTTGATGAAGCAGTTCATAGCCATGGTATAAACTAATGGCCAGTCCAAAGTCTGCCTCTATTGTTCCATGTTGGGCAGGCTAAATTAGATTTGATCAAAATAATTATGAAAAACAAAGTTACATGTAGTGAAAATTAAATAACAGTAATGATTAGAAGTTAGAAAAACTTCAGAAATGTGCACAATTAGATGAATAATAATCAGCTGAAAAATGTTTATATTTCTTCCTTACAATTACTTATTTACTATATTTAAAAAGAAAGGATCCATTTACAGGTAGATTTGCTGGTGGGTTCTGCCTAAACTCCTCTCTACTTTTGAGTAGAAGAAACTTGGAGAGTTTGGTTGCCTCTCTGTTGTAGACCACTCTATTCCTTATCAGTCTCTGAATCACATGGTTCATTATCTGAAGAAAAATTGGAACATGACATCTACACAAATACTTTAAGGATCTGTAAACAACTATCTGTAAACACCTATCCAACTTTGTTGTATTCTGGTCTGATAAGTTTGGTTATAAAAAAACTAGACTTACCTGGATGTATAGATAGAAAATATCTCACCTGAATGTACTGTAGTCGAATGCCAGCCAACTCCTCTCCCAAAGATACAACCACCTTCTCCACCTTCCTCTCATGTGTGTAGGGTCGTATGTCGAGAGACTCCTCAGACCTGAGCTCAATGTGACTAATCAACAGATTGTTGATGACTTGCTGGACTGCCTAGTGTTGAAAACAATACATTATATTACATTTAGGGAAACTATTTCAAAAAGTGATCATGCACTGTTTACAAAAAAATAATTATATTATATTATAATTTTTTTGACCTGTTAGCTGACTACCCAAAGATAATTAATAATTTGTTAACATTACCTGAAAGTATGTGTATGTGTATGCAACCCTACAAAAGTTAATGTCCATACACTACCTTTATTGTGTGTGTGTTTATGTTGGTGATTCGTTTCACAAACAAATATAACCTGGAGTGCATTACCTGGGTGTGGGTGTATAAGCCAACTGTACCAAGACAACTAATTACCTTGAGATCACTATAACCTTGAGTGCTTTACCTGGGTGTGGGTGTATAAGCTAACTGTACCAAGACAACTAATTACCTTGAGATCACTATAACCTCGAGTGCTTTACCTGGGTGTGGGTGTATAAGCTAACTGTACCAAGACAACTAATTACATTGAGATCACTATAACCTTGAGTGCTTTACCTGGGTGTGGGTGTATAAGCTAACTGTACCAAGACAACTAATTACCTTGAATGCTTTACCTGGGTGTGGGTGTATAATCTAACTGTACCAAGACAACTAATTACCTTGAGATCACTATAACCTTGAGTGCTTTACCTGGGTGTGGGTGTATAAGCTAACTGTACCAAGACAACTAATTACATTGAGATCACTATAACCTTGAGTGCTTTACCTGGGTGTGGGTGTATAAGCTAACTGTACCAAGACAACTAATTACCTTGAATGCTTTACCTGGGTGTGGGTGTATAAGCTAACTGTACCAAGACAACTAATTACCTTGAATGCTTTACCTGGGTGTGGGTGTATAAGCTAACTGTACCAAGACAACTAATTACCTTGAGATCACTATAACCTTGAGTGCTTTACCTGGGTGTGGGTGTATAAGCTAACTGTACCAAGACAACTAATTACCTTGAATGCTTTACCTGGGTGTGGGTGTATAAGCTAACTGTACCAAGACAACTAATTACCTTGAGATCACTATACCCTTGAGTGCTTTACCTGGGTGTGGGTGTATAAGCTAACTGTACCAAGACAACTAATTACCTTGAGATCACTATACCCTTGAGTGCTTTACCTGGGTGTATAAGCTAACTGTACCAAGACAACTAATTACCTTGAATGCTTTACCTGGGTGTGGGTGTATAAGCTAACTGTACCAAGACAAATAATTACCTTGAGATCACTTCCTGGTGTGGCACTTAGTGCCAGTACCCTAAACTGTCTTGTAAACTTTACAAGTTCTTTCACAACCTAAAAAAATGAAAACTCTTTTAAAAACAACACAGTTTAACTTTTTTAGAAATAAGATAGCATATTTTTAAAACAAAATGTCTATGTTGATGGCAAACACAACATTTCAGTTTTACCTGGCAATAAGCATGATTTCCCAGAGCCTTGTGTGCCTCATCAATGACCAGACATTTTATGCTTTCAGCTACACAAGAGCCCCGACTCAAGTCATTGGTCATAACTTGTGGGGTAAGAAAGACAACTCTCTTCTCTTTCCAAGCTTTCTGTCTTATTGCAGGGGCCATTGTTCCTGTTATGTTGAACAATATTTTAGCAGTGCAAATCATTTTTATTACCTGTTTAACATGATAGCCATATCTTTAATATTTCTTTTTCTCTTCAACATTGTTATTAATTCAAAATTTTCCACTGAATAAAAGTGATGTTTATTTAAAAGTAGGACTGGTTAAAGAGGCGGCACAACACACCTGTCATCTCAACAGTATCACGTTTTGGTATGCCCATGATGTTGTAGCAGGCAGTGATCTGCTGGGCAACCAGAGGCTTTGTTGGCGCCATGAAGACAATCTTCCCTTGCGGGTACCAGCGGTAGAAGTTGTACATAACCACAGCTGCAATGAAGGTCTTGCCTAAACCAGTCGGGAGAACAGCCAGGGTGTTGTTGTACAGAGCCTGTTCAAAGTGAGGGGGGCAGGAGAATTCATACATTATTTTACTTACAGACAAGATATAACAGATTATCAGAAATCTGTATTAGTGAGTTAGCTTAAGTTATGGAAACTTTGTATTTTACTGGATGAGCTGGGAAGAGGATATCTTTGAAACCAATCCAGCTCTTTTGGGTGCCTGAGTCAAGGAAATGGTTACTAGACAAAGTGCTTACCACAATCTTCATCTACCCCCTATTAATATAAAAAAAAAAGTATTTAGGCTTTAGGTAGCTTGCTTTTTTAAAAATTTGAATATGCAGCTTAGTTTACTTATTTCATTTGTTTTTTCATTTCAAGAAGTATAAAAAATGCGTTATTTATAAATGTAACAACCAATTTTTTTTCACAATTTTTTCACACGATCAAATGAATGTATTTTAATTAGATAAATAAAAGAGAATTTTGCCTTCTGAACTATGTTGTATTGGTAATCCCTAATGGAGTAGTTGGTTGGGTATATCCACAGGTTTCCTGTGACTGGATCAAATCCATCTGTCACCTCACTTGTTGATGGCTCGATGCCAATGGAAATATTTCCTTCATCTTCCGCTGCCATTTCTTCATCAAAATCAATATCATCCAGTTGAATGGCACCATCTATCATTAAGAACAAAAATAAATTGCTATATAAATACACAAATAGGTCTTATAGCACAGATACAAATTATTTTTATTACATCTAATTATATTTGGTCATGAAAATAAACTGGTGTGTTAAAAAAGGAGTCAATAATTTCATTAACCAATGCTTATTGAATTGAGTACTTATATTACTTATCCAAAATAATTACTTTAAGGGAATGATACAAATTGAATCACCAAAGTATGTGTACAAATTACTAGCTAGCAATAGATTATATTAGATATATCACATACCTTCATGTGTATCCATTTGTCCTGCCTGTATACTGTCTTCAGCATTAGCCAAAATATCATCATCTTCATCCAACAGGTTAAAAACAGCAACTTCATCACCCTCATCCTCGTCTGATATGTTATAAACAGCTGCATCATCATATAGATCAGCTGACTGGGGTGGTAGCTTAGACATGGCTGACAAAATTACTCAAGTCTGATAAAACAAAAATAAAAGTATTAAATTGATTGATTAAAAACTATAATACAAGAATAATATATCTTAACACAGAATATCGCAGTATGATTTATTTCACTGATTTAACATCATTATTGTACATCTTAACATAAGTATAGCAAGAAAACCTTTTGCAAATGCATAAGTATTAATTTCAAAGTAAGTTCACTTTTTTAAAGGTGATTACTCAAAATCCAAGCTCAAAAAATGTATAAAGTCAAGTAACAGTAGTGCCTATACAAGCTACATTGGGCATTGTATGTTAGTAATAGAGGATTTTCAATACAATAATTCTCTTTTATTTTAAACTTCTATAATATGTCATAACTTAGGGCAGGGTTGGGAATTAAAGACTGTAAACTCAATACCCAAGTAAATTTTATTATTTTAACAAGCTGTTGCCACCTATTATTTTGGTTTATAAATGGTGCTTTTATCAGACAAGTATTATTCTCTTTTTCAATTGTCATTGTGGTATATGAGACTTGTAAGGAAACTATTGATTTTATAGTCTAATTTGAGGAATGAAAATGAACGCAACTTGACATTTTGCTGCAACCATATAAGCAAAAAGTGTAGCGGATAATGTACTTAATCCAACCTAGATCAAACTGGAAACTTTCCTAAGCAGCAAAGTTTAAATGCTGACATGACCCTACATTAATCAGGGGTTGAAAAAGTAAGTGGGCAAGGGTTCTTATAAAACTTGTGTTCAACAATAAAAAACTATATTGAGGTGTTTTTGGAAAGTATAGTGGCTAGGGTAAAAGATGGTTACAAGTTAGGGTCAGTGCTAGGGTAGCCATATTAGCTAAAACATAGTAAGCCTATTTATTAGTGTACATTAGCTGCATTAATGAGTCATGAATTTCACAAGTTTTATTTTTTTGCCATTCATTCACTTGTGAGGTGATTGCAAGCATATCAAGGCTATTCCCAGCCCACAGTAAGCAGCCTCGGCCTTTGAACTTTTACTTAGTAAGCCTGATGTGACATGGTCAGTGTCGCTCTTAATTAGTAGACTAATAATATTAAATCTACTAGACCTAATGGATGCAAATGAGTTTAACAAGATGGGGTTGATCATTATTGTTGATGTGGATGAAAAATGTGTTTTTATCTATTTGTTTAGCAGCAGTTATATTTGTATGAAAAACTAAAGCAGTTAAATATTTTAAGATCCAATGATATAAAAGTTGCAAATGCAGGGAACTAGAAATTTATTTATTTTTGCATTTAAGGCTACATTTCTATTCATTATCATCAAGCCACAATTTAACTAAATTATAACCTGAAGTTGTTCTTTAGTAAAAGAAACAATAATTGACTGCACAGAAATTTAATGTTCTGAAAACCCCTTTTGTAGTAATTTGAACTAAAAACTTTGCTAATAAAACTTAAAAATAATATTATAGGCCTACTTTTTTAAACCACATTTTAAGGAATAAAATGAGAAAAAAAACCTAAATTGTTTTTTGGTTTTTTAAATTTTTTTACCAAAAAAACTATAAACATAAAAACGCCAGTGACATCCCCAATCTTTAGTTAAGGTTTAAGTGTCCAACAAAAACCTCACAATAATAGGCCAATAATAGGCCTTATTTAAATGATTAAATTAGGCCCCCTCCTGCCTCTGCCAGACTGTTAATTTTTAATTAATAAGTCTAATCTCAAACAATGGCTCTACTACTTGATCTACTAATTAAACTATACTTATAGTCTATAAATATATATTATATATATCTAGTATTAGTAAGTTTACTAGTACTACAAATCTTTTAAAAAGTCTAAAAAAAAGTAGTAGAACTAGGACTGAGTGGGTAGGTACTAGTAACTAGCTACTTGCTAGTACTAGATCTACTACTTATTACTACTTAAGTACTAGATCTAGAATCTAGTAACAGTATCAGTAACTATGGACTATAGTATTTCCAAACTATGATCGATCATGATGAGTATGATGAAGTATTCAGAAGTATGATGAGGCTCATGAGGCGTCAGAGGTAGTGACAGGTTGAGGTCAGATCTAGTGATTTAGTAGAAGAAAGGCTAGGGCAGTTTACTAACTACTAGATCTAGATCTAGTACTAGGCACTAGGGCAGGGTTAGGGACACAACGACAAAGAATCCAAAGATTTGAAAGAAGAGAAGTAGAAACATTCACATTGGCAGTTCACTGAGTTCAGTAAGTACTTGAAGTAGTGTACTAGATTTAGATCTAAAAAATACTTATAGTTATAGTAAATACGTGATGACAGTTGAGTGAACTTTTACTTATAGTATAAGTATAAGTGTACATAGACCTACATGATTTACAATCAACATTATTATTAATATTATTCCTCAAAAGCACTTTTAAGACATAGATCTAGATCTAGATCTAATCTAGATCACTAGATCTAGAATCTAAGTAATAGTAAGTTTTGTTTATATTTTCGCAGCATTTTTTAGAAAAATGAGTTATTGAGTATTAACTAGATGTAAGCAGTTTAAAAATTAAAGTTGAGATTTTGTTTCTTAGATTCAACCATTTTAAGTTTATTCCCTATTCACACTTAGATAGACCTAATCATAATAATTAATAATGATAAAAAGTCTTGCGCAAAAATTCACGTTAAATTGCAGCTATTTGTTATTTGTTAAAGAATTTTTTAACAAGATTTGCTTTTTTAATTATTTTTAAATACCTAGATGTACATTTTTGTTTTACCATTCATGGTTCCGTTTTTTAATCTTAGGTTAACCTCGATTCCAGATTGTTGTTCTGTTGTCAAAGATGGCCGACAGTTGAAATTTGGTTTAAATGTTAACATGTTGACTAGACTTAGATATATGTTCTAGAATATCCAACAAAGCATATATATTTTCTTTATGTTCCAGATATAATGCCTGATGGTGCTATAATCATTTCCTCAAGTGTCTTAGTAATAGTATAGTAAATGTATAGTAATAATGCCGGGGCAAATTAGTATGACGACGATGGGCGATGCAGAAGTTTCTTTATTTTCACTTGAACTTGTTGTTGAAAAGGTGTACATTCCTCATGTGCCATGTCGTTTTCCTGCTATTGCGTTCAGATTGTTGGACTTTCCGACCATAGTTATAAAACATGTAGAGGATGATTTGGGAAAAGCTATTCGAAACAAAATTGCTATGGATCCATACTATAAAATACCTGAACAGTTTATTGAATTAAAAGATAAACATGGCAATTTCATGGTTAAAAAAGGAAAATCCTGCTTATTCAAAATTTCTGCAGAAGTATTAAAACAGCATCTTTCACAGACACCTTTATATGTTATGCTTATTGATCTTTTTCCTGAGGTACCAAAGCTAATTGGAAATAGTTCTGTACCTCTAAATACATTAATTGAATCTATTTGTGTGGATATTGTAAAGCTAGGATCAACAGTGCCTTCAGTACATGGAGATAAAGGTCTTTTCAAAGTTTATAATCTAATGGGTAAAGAAATAGGCTACTTTGTGCTTGGCTTTCGTCTACTTTGTTTAGGGCCAAGTTTGATTCCACATATTCCAGACTCTGTATTATTTCATCAGAAAAATACAGCACTTGAAAATATAGAAAATGAAAATCTTAAGCAACAAATTCATCTAACTGAAGAGAAAAATGATAATAAGCATGCACTGAAAGACCACAAGCATTCTTCATCCATGACAGAACCAATGCAAAGAGATGTACTTCTTCAAACTATTGAAATGGAAGACAAAGCTGTCCTTGTGTCTTTAGAAGATAACAAAACTAATGAAAAGAAAGATATACATATGATGCAGACCATTTCCACTCAAACTGATAAAGTTAAAAATAAGGAAGTAAAACAAATACAAAAGAAATGGCTTGAACATTTTGACCATCAAAATGATGATGATATAATTATAAACAACATAGTGTGTCCACCACCAATGTTTTATAACAGTGAAGCATCACCTATGATAAAAATTATGAAACAGACCCCAGTATCTCTTTTGCATAAAGATGACTCATCTGTCACAGACTTATCAGAGATTGAAAGTTTTGATGGTTATGGTTTACATATCGGAAAGCCCAAGAAGATAAATACTGTTGATACAGATCTTAAATTAGGTGTAAGTAACCCATCTCCACCAAAGTTGCTGATTCCTCAAGCAAGACCAGGGGAACACATACAAGGATTATCAGTAGCACCAACTGCTGGGTCCATTTTCCCTCTGTTAACAGCTCTAATTAATGAACTGTCATATATTCAAAATCCACAACTGCTACTAAATTTGCAAAACCAAATACAAGCAAGTGCCACCTTAAAAAATCTTAAACCTAAAGAACAGGTTGTTGTAACTAAACCACATGATGAGCCAAAGGGAGAAAAGCTGTCTCCTTCTGTTGTTTCAGCAGTAGCTGCAGCACTAACTAAAAAGTTAGAAAATTCTAAAGCAAATGTGGAAAAAGACAAAAAAGAACTTGTTCATGTTGGTAACAATCAAAACATAATCAGCGCAGAAGATAAAAGTACAAAATCAAAACAAAGCCTGATTAACAAAAACTTAAAAGGTAAACTTGTGTTTGGTATGACAAATACTCAACGATTGAGATTGCAAAAGACAAATCCTCAATGGTTGAAGCTTGCAGAGAAGGCAGCTGCTGATCTTAAAACTAAAAAAATTACCAGCTCACAAAAGCCACCAGAAATAGATGAAGTGAATGCAACCACTTTTTCTGACACTCTGACTGAAATTAGACGACTAGCTGAGAAAGAACTGCATAATACAGTAGGAGGAGACACTCTTTTAAATGTTGCCAGTGAAGTAGAAAGTTTAGAACCAAAAAAATATCCTTCAAAGAAAAGAGCGCAAAAGAAAAAATTAAATGAGACCAGTGTTCTAGGCAAAGCAAGAACACACAAAGTTGGTGGTAAAACAAGAAGTGAAATTTCTTTTAGTAAGAGCCAGGGAGAAAAACAAATATTTTCACCTTTGGAGAATAAGAGCCCTCAAACAAATGTGGATGCTACTGATGGTAACAGAAATTTGTACACTATAGTAGCTATAATACGTATCACTAAGTGTATTTTGTAAAATTTTAACTTACTGCTATAGTTTTGCTTAGAGTAACAGACAGATAAAAGAAAAATATACTAAAAGTTATACCATTTGGATATATAGTTTAGCTATATGTCTTACATTTACAAGATATTAGTATTTGTACATAAATTAAGTTAAACATATTTATCTATAATTTTTTTCTCATCTAGATAATGATGATCAAATCAGCACCCACAGTGATGTCTTGAGCTCTAGGAGTAGGTCCATAGAGGTTCGTCTTCCTTCAGCAGAACCAGACATCGATATTTCTTCTAGTGCTGATGAAAGTGATGAGGAAATACCTTTACCAGATGATAGTGTGCAAGAAAATAACAAAATACAAGTTTTGAATTTCCCTAGGTATTTGTCCCAAGAGAAATCTCTACCAGATTCCATTAATGGTGAGCCTAATGCTTCTTTAAATGTTAGTGGAGCTCTTGAAGAAAACTCTCCCCTTGAGTCAACTCGCCATTCTAAAAGCCTAACGTCTGACCAGAATGATTCAAGGGTGTTGCAGTCAACAGAATATGACACTCGCCAATATTTATCAACAGATGAACCTGAGCTACAAGGTTTAATGAGTGAAGATGGTAATGTTTCAGATGCCGCTGAGAGTGGCAGGAAGTCTGTCTCAATAGTGAGGACATCACAGAAATTTCCTGTAATTAACCCACAGTTGTCTGAAAATTCTCCTGTGCCGTCCATAAGAAGATCTGCAGCAAAGTTTGACCCGTCTGCTTACAGTTACATACCATCCATTGCTGACTCAAAGAATAGAATCTCACCCACCTCTCCCAGACCATCCCCTCCTAAGAGTAATGTTTCAAGTAGAACAAAGTCAGACCAAGCACCAAAAGCCCAGAACAATCTGGCAGCTAGCCCAAAGCTTCCCATAACACCCCGATCTTTAGTCGCCAGTCCAAAATATCCCATTCCTCGCCCACGAAAGCCTATTAGAGAGTCCATTCACACAGATTCTTTAAGTTCTTATATGCCTTCTGATCCTGACAATGTCATTGTATCATTATCAAGCAACTCTGGAAACTATTCAGATGATTTTCTACAGTTAGAAAGTGGAGAGAGTGCTGATCCATCTGTAGAGCAGTTCCCAAAGATTATTTCAAGTGCTAAGCTAGGATACACCATAACGTAAACATAAATCATTGAAACAGAAGAAAGAACTACAACACTTTTTTATTACCATTGATTAAAAAATATAGAGTAATTAAACTTTTAACACAATTTTTTTTTTCTAAATGTATTGTACTTATAATCCATCATAACATTGTATTAATATTAGCTCTAAACTTGAACCAATAGGTTCCTACTAAAGTTTATTACTTTCCTGTTCAGTGAAATATATAATAATTATAGACAAGCACCTTGATATTGTAAACAATTTGTAATATTTTAATATTTATATTTAAAATGTTAATGTCTTCATCTTACTTTTAGTTATTAAAGCATAGAATATTGTATTCATCTTTGTATCACAATAGTATATCACAACATTATATTTGACTTATTAGAACTAGTTTGAGGTCTAATCTATTATTTGTCATAATTCATATCTTTTTAAAATGTGCTTTTGTCTTCAAGTTTTTTTTATGTATAGTTATCCTGTTGTGTCAGTAAAAAAAAAAAGTATTTAGGTCTCCTTGCATTTGTATGTCACACTAAAATATATAATAACAGGCTCTGTACTGTAGAAATCTGGAAGCTTTTAAGACATTTTTCATTTTGTTATCTTTAGCATGCAATATATATAGAGCAAAAAACAAAATAAAGGTTACTTTGCCCTGTATGAACAGAAAAAAAATGGTCTGTCACATTATTTCCAAAGGTTTGTATTTGAATAAAAAAAATATTTTATCTATTCACCCTTTTTTCTTTTGTTATCGTCCAAATTCTAGTGGCTTTTATCTTTACTTTCATACACAATTGAAAATGTTTTATCAAACTGTTCTGGCCACAGAAAATTGCTGCAAACTGAGACTTAAGATTAGTAAGAAAACAATAATTGAAGGTGCAGTTGAGCACTAAATTTCTTTTTGCAAAACTAAAGATTTGCAATTACAATTACTCCATCTAAATAACAGCTGATAGCTATTTTCTAAAGAGGGGCGCATCACAATAAAAGTGTTGATAATATGCTGACCTAAAAATAAAACATATTAAAGCATAAAAAATTAAAGATCTAACACAGTTTTATTTGTTGTGTAACAGGAAATGTTAAGGGGGCCCAATAAAGCCCTAATGGTAGCCCATCCAGTAAATCACCCAAGATGCAAACTAGATTTAAATATATATATTTATTTTTATGTGTTAAAAGTTGTATTGTTTGTATAAGATTGCTGCAAATTTATAATTTTGACTGTTTTTTTGCTGTTTAGAAATTTAAAATTAGCTGCAAGACATTTCTACATATATCAAATACACATTGTGATTCAGCACTTAATTATCAAATGATCATAGCCCCTTTGTCTATGCCAGATGTCTTTTTTCTTGTTGGCCTTTTACCAATATTTGCCTAGATCAAGGACTATGAAATTGAATTGCACAATTTCGAGATCTTAGATATTACCATTTTATCACAAAACAAGCTTAATTAAGGGTTTGTTCTACCACTTTTTTTAGACAGTGTAGTCTGCACTAACCAATAAAGAAAGGAATCGTTTGACAAAATTTGTTCTGTGAGGGTTAAGATTTATCATGATTATTATTTTCACAAGCTTTTACTTAGTTCACGTCTGTTTAGGGATCATCAATTTATGACGTCCAAAAAAAATTCGGAACTTCCCCTCCCCCATGTCCACTTTTGACTGTCCCCACCCCCCCCCTTCATTACGGACGTCTACAAAAACTTAATAGGCCGCTCAAAACTTACTACCAATTTACTAGTTCAGTAACGTGTACTGTGTACCTATAAATATATTTTTTATTTATTTTAAGGATTGTCACTGTCTCCATTACCAACCAAACAACCAAAAACGCATGTAAAGTATTCAACCCTTTGTTGGAGGGGGGGGGGGGGAGCTGGGATTCTATCACAATATAATTTTCTGTACTCGTTACACAGTATTATTTTCTGCACTCGTTGAATGTTTTTTAATGCCTAATATTAGCATTTATGATATTAATTAGTCGCAAGGCCTTTAATTTACTTTAAAACAATTTCGAAGCTAATTGGAGGTGACAAGATTAAGTACTAGCGATCGCTTGATTAACTTGCGGTGAACTATTGGTCATTATTTAGTACTAGATTCTATGTCTAAGACTAAGTACTAAGTAGGTCCTGTTGACTATAGATAGTATCTACAATACTATTACTTATTTGTACAAAGTGTGCATCTCTATTTTTGCAATCAACAAACAAAGCATTTCAGTCAGTCTCTTTGTTGTTTTTATTCATTTGTTAAAACAAAAATACAAAACAAATAAATAAGTCGTGTTTTTTGAATATTCATTTTTATTCATTTATGAAAAACAACAATACAATACAAATATTAAATTCGTGTTTTCCTAATGTTTTGGTGTGTTTCGGTTATTATAATAAAATACGCTCAACTGGAGGTAAACAAGCAACGGAGAATAAAATACACTAAAATGGAGTTTTACCACTATGACCTAGATCTATAGGCATACTACTAATACTACTTTTAAGTGGGCCTACTTTATTGTTTGAGCCTATTAATTAATTATTATGGTGTAAAATTAGTCTTTTGTAGTCGACCTATTTATAATATTATTTTTCACTGATGCCGAAATTTAGATCAACCTTGATCCTTGACTGAGAAACAAAATCGGAGTTTCCCAAATAGAAATTCTGGTGAATCACGGAAGAAGGTAACAAAAACACGACCAGTCTAAATTCTAAATAGATCTAGATCTAGATCTAATACCTGACCACAATTAGATAGATTAGCCTAATAATTAGTATTAAACTACTAGATCTACCAATTTTTGATGGGAAGTGACTACTTATTACTTAAATATAATGAATGAATGTTATTGACGGTAATCTATCGGGTAATCTATCGTTTTGGGTACGTAAAATCGCCCGCGATTTGTAATGTGAAAAACAGGTGACTCCTTAAATTTTAATAATTATTTCACATTTTGAGGAGGATTTATGTTTTAAAAAATTCAAAAATGTTTCCTTGATTCATTTATGTACCTGTTTTTAAACAATTGAATTAAAACTTTTCCGTAATAAATGAAGACTAGCGATGTTTCCAACAGATGCAACCATGCTCATTTACTAAAGCAGCCATCTTGTCTTAAGTTTTATTTTTATAAGCTTTTAGCGCCAGATTCAGGGGGAAGCCACTCTATTTTACAAATGGCTGCTGTTTATATAGCAAATCTTGCTCTCAGACACTGCTGTTTAAAGTTAATTTCTAGCCTATATCGATATATTTAGCCATAGATTTAGGTTTATTATTCATTTATCTATAATATTTGACACAAAAGTATCACAATATACTTCTATTAAAGCCTTGACAATGAGGTAACGTTTTCGTACATAAATAGCCGCGGGCGATTTTACGTACCCAAAACGATAGATTACCATCTATCGTTTAGGTACGTAAAATCGCCCGCGACTAGTAATGTGAAAAACAGGTGACTCCTTAAATTTTAATAATTATTTCACATTTTGAGGAGGATTTATGTTTTGAAAAATACAAAAATGTTTCCTTGTTTCATTTATGTACCTGTTTTCAAACAATTGAATTAAAACTTTTCAATAATAAATGAAGACTAGCGATGTTTCCAACAGATGCAACCATGCTCATTTACTATACAGCCATCTTGTTTAACTTCTTTCTTTGTTGACTAATAGCGCAAGATTCAGGGGAAGGCAACTCTATTTTACAAATGGCTGCTGTTTATATAGGAAATACTGCTCACAAACACTGCTGTTAAAAGTTAATTTCTTGCCTATTTTGATATATTTAGCTATTGATTTAGGTTTATTATTCATTTATCTATAATATTTGACACAAATATATCAAAATATACTTCTTTAAAGCCTTGACAATGAGGTAACTTTTTCGTACATTACTAGCCGCGGGCGATTTTACGTACCCAAAACGATAGATTACTGTTATTGACAATAAATAACTTATTGTATTCGGACTAGTGACTAGGGTCCGAGTAGCCGTCTCAGGAGTCAGTGTAGTTGAGTGTAGCCACGGCCGCTAAAAATCCTTAATGTAACTGTAAGTGTAAGCCTTAATCGAGGGCCGCTATTAGTCTAGCTAATTGGTTCAGAAATCAGTAGGCTTATGCCCTCTATACTATACTCTATACATACTGTTAGAGTGTATAGCAATCATACGTCATAGAGAACATTTCTACTTCTACTTGAAATTCGATAGGCCTAATCAGCCTAATGGTTTGTTTTAAAGTTTGAACCCAGGACCCAGACCAAGCAAACTGAAAAACGTACTTGGGGTCATTGTCACCATTGTCACGGCATTGTGAGTTCACATAAGCATCTGTTACAACCTCCTACTACTATCACGCAAGTGAGATAAGCTTTCATTCAAGTGTTTATTTTTATGATTGGAACAACAAGAATAAATTTACGGATGATATTTAGAATCGACCCTTTGAATCCCGGACAGATTCTCTCCCCCCCCCCCCCCCCCCCTGACCTCAGTAAATTTTGTTTTTTATACTATGATGTGTTTTAAAATAAATTAACATAATTTACAATTACTTCTAAGAAATATTACATTCAAATTCTCATTTCAGAATGTACCCATAAAATTAGACAATTTTTTTCTTAACTTATAGCATTCATTGACTTAGTGTTTACTGTCTATTAAAAGCAGAACTGTAATTACATTAAATGAATTAGTTAAAATACACATTTGTTTTTCAGAATTTGTCATGGGATTTTGTGTTTATATCTTTTTATGCTAAAGAGGATATTTAATATCAATTATGGCAACAGGAAATAATAGCAAAGGTAAATTGATTAACAGCTTTACATACATCACAAAATGCTATTGCAATAGTAAATAAACATACGCTACATATTATAGTTGTCTTTAACAGTATTACTAAAACTTATAATAGAAATATAGTTAATCTAAGTCTTAAAGACCAATCTGTGTGCTCTGATTTGAATAGATTGAAAGTATTGTTGTGTGTGTTTGGTTTCAATTATTCTAAGCTAATACAGTTGCAGGTTCTTATGGCAGTGCCAGGAGCAGACAAGAAACTGCAGCAACTGCTATAGCTGAACTTACCAGCATTCAGAGAGAACCTACAGCTAGGCCTAACTATGATGCTGAAGCTACACCAGCAAAGTCGCTGGATCCAGAAGCTGCACTAAATGAAGCACCAGCTCTGTCGTCCTCATTTAACAGCACAGATCGACCAAATATTTCTGCAGGTATTAATTTGCATTAACCAACAAGTATTGTAATTTGATTTTTTTTTTGTGAAAGGGTAAAGTAATATCTAAATATGCTCATAAAAAAACTCAAGATATTATTATAATTATATTATAATTAAATAATTATACACTTCTCATACTCTTCTCTATATTAATCTATTTGCAGATGAAAGGCCTCATTCAGCATCTGATCTTGGCATTAATTCAAGGGATAATTTATTAGGTACTGACATGTATTTATCACTTACTGTGTAGTTGTTTTTTTTTTTTTCTGAAAGAATATTTTAATACTTAGTTTATGAATTTAAAATATGGAAAATGTTGTCAGACAAAAAAGACTACTCTAGATACTTCATAGTTCTCTAAGGATTAATTTGTTAGCTAGCTGCATATCACCAATATTTTAGATACAATACTATTTAACAGGAAATTACAAGGCTAGTCAGTAATTGCATCCAACAAACAGAACCATTCAAATTACCAGACTGGAACATGCAAAGTTACCAATAGTTTAACTCGACCTTCCCTTTAAGTAATGAAAATCAAAGTTTTTTCAATACTTCTTTTTGTATGCAGAAATACAAAATGCATGCTGCATTCTCTTAAAAGCCCTATATCTACATAGCACACAACACCCTTGAAAGTGATCTTTAAACAAAATACCAAAACGATGACTGCCTTCATGTTGCTGGGAATTTAAATTTTCCCCTTCCAAACCTTACTTCCTATGAGGCAAGTGAAGTAGAGTTCACCTGTTTCTGTGACCTTGGCATATGGAGGGATGATTTGGTCAGCACTATGCACCGCCGCCTTTACTTTCCATAACATGAATTAGGTACCCATCAGAGCTGGGTGGACTCAGGTACGGTCTACTGACTTTAACCTGAATTCAAACTCTAGACTTTCTAGCTCTTTACCGATAGGCAACTCTGTCCCTTAATCTTAATGTAGCCATTTGTAATGTGTAACTGATGTGTGGTGTTGACATAGTTTGCAATTATCCTAAGATAAGATTTTGATGTTCCAGTTACATCTAACACAACATATTTCATTTGGATATTTTAGCCATGACATGTGTTCATAATCCCTAATCATATCATTGTTTTTTATTGTACACTTTTTAATGAATATTTGGGTACAAATGTCCAAAATGTTATTGTCCTTACATTTTGTCTTTGCTAACTTTTTTTTTTTATATATTTAGATATATCTTTAAAATCTAAACGCTCAGACAGACAGAATGATCCTGAAAGAAGTACAGAAGCAACTGTAGAGAGTGCTTTCCAACAGCTGGCTTTGTAAGTTGTGCTGTTAAAGTATACACGTTTTTTAAATATTTCTTTTCATTTTCAGTATTGATAATTAAAAATGAAAGCAAAATAACTCAACTTTCATTGTTGTGTGCTTTTATAATAAAATTTATCTGATGTCGTTTTTAAGGAACATTCCAGTGTCATTAGATACAGATGTTGGTGCTATTGGCATAGCAGAGAATCAACCGTCTTTCCGCACAGTATCTTCCTTTGGTCTTAATGGAAGAAGCAATGAAAAAGGTGTACATCCACAGTGCCCAACAGACACTGGTGATTCAGCACTCTTCAGTCAAACAAGTTCATCAGACAAAAATAGCAACCGTTTAACTTCTTTAAGTTCTATTGAAGGTATTATATCTTAAAGTTCTTGTCGAGTATTTAGCTTCTTAATTTGGCCTTTGTAAAAATTACTATTAACAAATCTGATTGCATACATATGATACTAAATTTATTAAATGAGCACTAAATGTATAACAGTAAATTCTGTTTTTGATTATTTACTTCATTTTAGATATTTATTATTTTTACTGCAATGATATACCGGTACATTTCTTTCTTAGATAACACATTCAACATTTCGCTTACAAGTAATGTTTGCGATAGTCAAAGAAGACATCCTATTATACCGCCTAACCATCAGCAGGCTAACCATATACCAGTCTATGGTGGTGCTGCTGCTGCTCCAAGCCAAGGTACAATGTCAAAATATTTTTCCATTCGGAAATGGGGGGGAAACAAAATAAAATTCTGTTTTATATGGTTTGTATTAAATTGATTTAAAATGGGTGTGAACAAATTGTCAAAAGCTATTTTTTGTATTTGTTTCTTTAAATTTTAATGCTACTTTTTTACTTGTATTTTTTAATCACGTTTTTAATTAAACCGAGAGTGATCTCCCCTATCTTTCTCGAATATTCTTATATAACACTACAGGGGATGGCAACTCGAATATAGACAATATTTTTAATCCATTTTATTTACTTAAACTTTTTAAAATAGAATAGAATCTCGTAGAAAAAATAATTGCACACCAAGCAAACGCCAAACTATCTGTGTATAATAGTGCAGAATATCATTAGCACATGCTTTTTTTGAGAAATCAGAAAAAGCGTAAATTACTACTTCCGGTCAACGAAAATTACTCAAAATTTGATAGAAGGCGGAGAATTAGATCTTTTACTTACATGTGAAATTTCATTTATCTATCTGAAACAGTACTCGTTATAGGCTTTTGAAAAATTGAAAGTAGAATAAGTTCCACTTTCGTTTATCCGAAATTGCTGAAAAGTTATTACAGAACTACAACTTTGATATAATTCTTATATATGAAATTTCATCAACATAGCTGTAACGGTACTCATTTTATCGTGTTTACAGACACACATACACACACACAGACATACTGACAGAATTGCAAAATTAGAACGCTGAAATTTTGATAAATCTGCTTTTAGTATTTTTGCCCGATTAAAATAAGTCCCCTATACTCTGTATATGATGAAGTACTGAGGTGTAAAATTATGAAAACTGTCATAATTTCATGTGATTTTTGTGCACGATTACAAGACTTCCTCAATACTCTGTATATGAGAAAGTAAAAATATGTAAATTTAAATTTTCTCTATTTTGTTGAATAGTAATTTATTTAATTCTAGGTCCCCCAAGCAGTACTATATCTATGCGGTCAGAAATTCCAAATGACTGTCTAGTACGGAAGTTACCCAGAAAGATGATTCAGCTAGTTGCATCTCATCTTCAGTGTAAACTAATGCATGGAACATGGAAAGACCTGGTGGAACTCCATGACTGGAATTATGACCGGACCTTCATCTTTGAGCACCAACCACACCCTGAGGGAATATTTTTCTCACTACTTAGAGAGAACGAGTTCCAGAATTATACCTTAGATGAGCTTCGTAGAGACTTATTTAATATTCCCCGCAAGGACATTCTGCATGATTTAAATGAGATGATCCAACAGCATAATGAAGGAGCAGCCAATCAGGTGCACAGACTAAGCTCACGCACTTAGTTGTGCCCTATCAGTGACCATTTCACTCAAGAAAAAAACCTTTTAAATTGTGATTTACCCCGGTATGATGTGTTAAAGCTTGTTAAAATATGTAGGAAAACACCTATGTTATCAAGCATTGACAAAATGAGATTCACATTTTTATATATTTATCTTTCTTGTGTTTTGTGCCTTTTATAAAATGGTGGCCATCAAAGATATAGGCCTATACATGGAACATCTGCTTACTGATATGATTGCTATTGATCCTCATAAAAGTGATGTTGGTCTTCACATTGTCTATATGACTCTTACTTGAGTTGTCAAGGTGTTTTCTAGTAATTCTAGAGATGTTGGTGGGGACAGTATATATTTTCGTGAATTATGGTTAATTCTTTTAATTTGGACTTTAAAAATAAGATGCTGTACCCATAAAACTCGTGATTTTAATAACTTAAATATAACTTAAGCGTGGTCAATGGTAGAGCTTGAAGACTGCTAACCCAAAAGGTTTGGGTTTAGACCCCAGGCTCATGTCACGTAGGATGTCTCTTGAGTCAGTCTTTCTTGGATGAATACATGACTCATCTTTGGGAAAGTAAAGGCAAGTGGCTCCTTGGCTTAGTACTGCCCACAGTATCTTCATATGCTGAGGTCACACAGACAGGTGAACTATACTTCAAGTGCAAAAGGGTACTTAACCTGCCTACCATGTGCATTTAGGTTCTGGCATATGCTAGTTTGGCCAGGATAACCTCCCATAGCTGCTCTGACTGTTTTGTGCAACTGAAGTAATTTTTAACTTTTTATCTTATGCAAGGTTAAGAAAACAACCCTTGCATGTCACATCCAAATATTTGATCATATACCTGCCTATCCAGTCATAAAAAATAAAATTGTATTCTCTTGTTTCGAGTTGAAAAATCTTTTAATACTAATGTGTGTAATACTCATATTGAAAATAAAATTGGGATCGAAGAAGAAATAGGGATAAACACAGTATTCTTCACTAAGGAGCACATTGACACATCACTATTTCTTTATTTTGTCCAGATAAGCCCCCACCAAAAAGTTAACTTCTGCCACCCAAAAAAAGATTCTAAAAAAGAGGATATGAAACTTGCACTTTCACATTTTAATTGAAGAAGGTGAAATTGGGACATAGACCTATTTACATGGTTCTTTCCATGCATTTACATATTTCTAACTTAAGTCCTAGATCTGGAGTCTAGATGTTTATCTATAGTCTGTTAATTAAACAGTTTGATGTAGCATTGTTTTCTCTATACTTAGCACATTTATGTCATGGTGTCACCCCCACCCTCTTGTAGTAATTGTCGATTTGTACTTAAAAGACTATTTAACTTTACACATTAATGGCGCTGACAAAAAGCATTTTCTTCTTTACATTTTTCTATTTTTTGACTGTGTCTCCTGGTGCGGTCCGCACCCCCGCCCTTGCTACACCTCTGGAACTATGCACTCTTTTTTAGCTCACGTATCTATAGGACTAGTATAAACAGGGGCGTAGCGAGGGGGGGCGGGGGTGCGGAGCGCACCGGGTGACACCATTTAGGGGGTGACACCAAGGCAAAAAATAGCAAAATATATAGAGAAAAACTTGAGGGGGGGGGGGTGCAAATCGAAAGTATGAGGGGGGGTGCAAATCGAAAATTTGAAAGTTTGTTCCCGGGAAGGGTCGCTACGCCTCTGGGGGGTGACACCATTAAGTGCCGCGCCGGGTGACACCCGACCTCGCTACTCCACTGAGTATAAATAAGTTATTCTTATAATTCACAATCAAACTTGTGAGTTGTAGGCCTACACATCGTTTTTTTTTCCTCTCAACATATTAAGCGTAGCCTAGTCCTAAAGGTTAGATCCGAACTGAGTTTCCCTCTGTGTAGGTTTGATTTTTTTTTTTTATATAACCTAAATGTCAAAGGTGATAGATCTAGGTCTAACCTTTTAAGGTAGAAGTTTTCAAATTTGAGTCTGATCTGTTAAACTATATTCCTAATAGTATCAGATTTAGAAATCTTGACTATGTGGTCACCCATAAATGACGTAACGCTTTTTGACGATTTTTACCTCCCCTCCGTAATACATAGTTACGGAACGCCCCCCCCCCCTCCCCCCCTCCAAGATAACGTCACGGCTCATCATATGGACGACCCCCATTCTTTAATATTTAATCTTTTCAGTGAAAACAATTAAAATGGCTTTAAGGGGGCTGACGCTAAAGCATTATGGACTTTCTATATTATGTAATAATCAAAATGTTCACTGTGAATGTGTTTATGTATTTTTTAAAGTATTTTATTTTTAAGTAGGCATGTTCCTTCACTGTGCAGCCTATATATTATGTTTCACATAGACCTTTCCATGCATTTACATATTTCTAACTTAGGTCCTAGATCTAGATCGGGAGTCTACATGCTTACTTTCTAGGCCCTAGTTCGTAGGCTAACCTTTTTTTTTATGCCTCGCGGGCATAATGTCGTTTCAATGAGAGATCGAGTTGGCCTACTGGAATGAGTTGCCTAGGCTTTTTAAAAATGTATATGTAGTGGACTCTATAATTTATATTAAATTATATTAGTTTAACAAAACAACAGACGGAAGGTGAGTCTTTTATATTTTATATAGATCTAGGGTCTAGATCTATATAACATATTAAAATTATAAAATTTGTAAGGGGCTTAATTTTCAATAAATACTCGAATATGCCTAGTCGTAGATCAACTCTGAGATCTAACATAAAACAAAACATTACATAAATTACATGGCTTACTGAGCTAGCGTAGGGAAACACAGCACATTTTGGTTTTTTACTGTTAGCGGAAATAGATCTAGATCTAGCTCATTCAGCTAGATTCTATTATTAATCTATTTACTAACTCTAGTCTTTAGAGATCTCTAGACTAGATCTAGAATTAAGAATAGAGATTGCTAAATCTTCATCACAAATCATGACTGCGCCCTTCATTCATTGGTTACACTACACTACAATGTGACAATACATAGTAATTTATACATAATACAATATTATATATAATATTTATTATACATTATACATGTTATTGTTTACATCAGTAACAAACTAACTAACAAATTCAATCCATCTTCTTCCTAAACTATTCTTACTCATCTTAGTTCTTCTTCTTACTCCACCATACCACTGTTACATATCAATTATCATGATATCAGATAGATCTAGAAGTAGATCTATTAGTAATCTATACTAGATCTATATAGTAAATACTATAGTTACAGTATGATGTAACCAAAATACTGAAAATAAAGTAAAAAAAAAAAGTAAAATTTGAACACTATTCTATAGCTGTAGTCTGTAGTAATTACTAATTAGATCTAGTTGACTATAGCTGCACTATAGCTTGGTTTTTTTAATTTTTAAAAATTTTCACAGAAATGATCTCACCCCTTTAAAAAAGGATTATTCATGACTTTGTTTCGGCATAATGGCAGCTTTGTTAAGATCCTCATCCATCTCACGATGTCTACATATGTCGAATATATCAGGATGCTCTATGCAGTTGATTTCAGCATATTGCCATCAACCTTGGACATCTGGCTTAATTAAAACTAATTCTTTGACATCATTCAAAAATCTGATCTCTTCATTTCAACGCCCCAGAAGTTTCCATATATTAGCTAAACAAAAGGGTCAATCTAGCAATAAATCCACACCATTGATCTTGTTCAAGAGGATTTTTAGATCTTCATTGCAGTTGAACTGTAAAAAAGTAGGGGACAAAACATTAAAACCTAATGGAATAGAAAAAAGAAAACCAAAATGGAATGATCTTAGAAGATTGACTGGTCTTGCTAAACCTGAAAAATGGAACATTGCAGGTAATTATTTTCTTCTAACTTTTAGTCTATATTTAGTTATTATTTAGTGATTTATTTATTTAGAGGTCAGTGCTTTACCCAGTTTTATTTACACCCCCCCCCCCCTCCACATTTTAATGGTTTATTTTACTATTAACTTAAATTTCCTGTAATATTTATTTTCCAACATATAAATTAAGTTTTTGTTCTTTATTATTAAAAAAAATTTAAATTATGTTTGCAGGTGCAGTAGTTTGTATGTGTATATCAACTGCCGTAACCTTAAGTGTCCCATACTTCATTGGCAAAATTGTTGATCTTCTTTACACATCTGAAAAAGAAAAAGTGGTATCCAATCTAAAAAAATTCTGTGGCTCTTTGTTTGTTATTTTTGTGCTGGGTGCACTAGCAAATTTTGGTAGAGTTTACCTCTTGCAAGTATCTGGTCAGAGAATTGTCAAACGTCTTCGGGAACAGCTTTTTAAGAGGGTTTTATCCCAAGAAGTAGCATTTTTTGACACGACCAAGACTGGTGAGTTGATCAATAGGCTGTCATCAGACACCCTGGTTGTTGCACAATCTTTGTCACAAAATATATCTGATGGGCTACGTTCTATCCTGCAGACATTGGTAGGAATCAGTATGATGGTGAGTTGTTTTTTAAATGTACTCCCTAATGTTTGTGTGTGTGTTTGTAAAAATAAGTAAAGTACCCTTTTAAACTAATGGTTCATGGGGACGATAAAATACCTGTTTTTTTGTTTTTAATTCTAAAAAAGAGTTAACTGTAGCCAAACTTGACAAACTTTGTTTCTCATTTGATTACTACACACTCTTTTCATCCTTGGTTTGCAGACTTTCATCTCTCTGAAACTAACTCTGATTTCTATGGGCATAGTACCTCCTCTTGCTGCCGGTGCCATTATTTATGGACGCTACCTGAGAAAAATAACTAAAAAAGTTCAAGATTCCCTGGCTGAAGCCACTCATGTGAGCTAATTAACAAGTTTTTTTGTAATAATTTACCTTGATAGCATTTGAATGAACCATTTATTTTAATTTGTAAACTGATGAAATGTTGATAAAATGATGAAAATTGCAATGTTTAGGTTGCTGAAGAGAGGATAGCTACCATCCGCACAGTCCGTGATTTTTCCCATGAACAGAAGGAGGCGCAAGCCTATACAAAAGAAGTGGAAAAAGTTCTACAATTATCTTACCAAGAAAGTTTAGCTAGAGCTGTATTTTGGGGTTGTGTAAGTATCATTTGTTGCAATCTATTAATCAACTTCACACGTAATTGTATTTTCTACATTTTTGTTTTAAAATGAACAAAGTAAATGTAAAAAAAATCTGAGATACTCAAATACTTGTCATGAAAGATAACTCTTTTTGCAGACTGGTTTTTCAGGGAACTGCGTAATTATTTCAGTTTTTTACTTTGGGAGTTACATGATGATGGAATCTAACATCACTGTTGGTGACTTGTCTGCCTTTATTATGTATGCTGCATATGTTGCTACATCTTTGAATGGTATAGTTTTGCTACTTTGTCTCATACATTGTTCTAGTTTTTAAGATAATAGATAGTTTTGAAGTAAATAAGTATTCACCTATTATAGGAAAATTGTGTTAAAAATTATTTTGTTTTATTGCAGGTATAACGACCTTTTTAACTGAGTTTAACAGAGGGATTGCAGCTAGTGAAAGAATATGGAATCTTTTGGACAGAAAACCTTGTATAGGTAAAGACATTCTTTATTTTACCTCAGCATGCTGTCACTGTTCATTTTGAAATATACATATGTATATATAAATATGAATATTAAAATGATTCATTTTGTTATTTCTTACCTGTTGCCCCCTTGGAGCTAGTGGTCAATAGGGCAGATGAAGTAGAGTTCACCTGTTTCTTTGACCTTGGTTTATGAAAGGATAGTATGCCCAGTCACCCTTTACTTTCCTAACGTATGTCAAGAACTTATCAAAGCTGGGCAGACTCAGGGACATCTGAAATTGAGATTTTTGTCTTAGCAGCCATATGTTCTACTGTGCAACTGTAACATCACATTTTTCTTACCTGTTATACATTTTTAAAGGTGTTCTGATATATAGCTAAGGGTTAATTTGGTGTTTATAAAAAAGTGTTTTTTATTTTGTTTCTTTTGTGTTGATTTTAGAACTGGACTATCTGACAAAACCACAGCTACAGTTACCCAGTATAGCCGGTAAACTGACATTCCACCAAATGTCTTTTAGCTACCCCTCAAGGCCTGATGCCCCCATCTTCACAGATCTAAGCCTGGATATCCCTGCTGGATCATTTACTGCTTTAGTTGGCCCCAGTGGCTCTGGGAAATCTACAGTTGGAGCATTACTCTTGAGGTTTTATGATCCCACCAAGGGTGAGAATTATGTGTAGTAGTATGGGTGTAGGCTGCATTTTAAGATGGATGAGAGCTGTTATATGAACTAGATCCTATAATATGTACCTCAATCCTCTTTTTATCGTCTTCATTAGCTATCTAGCTTACTGTATCAATTCAGTTGCTAAAATAAAATGTTGAAAAAACCCAAACAATTCAATTTAAAACTGATTGACCATCTGTTTTAAAAAAAAATTAGGACATATAACGCTGGATGGGCATGATATTCGAGACTTAGATCCTCATTGGCTCAGAAGAAAAATCGGAAGAGTTAGTCAAGTAAGGCAAATTTAATATATAATCAATTAAACTTTGCTGAATTTTTTTTTTGTTGCTATTAAAATATAATGGATGCTACATTGTAAATCTCACAATGCTAACATATATTTTTTTGTATTTAACTTTTAAAAATGTGATTGATCTGGCACTGTTTGTACTTTATTTCAAGGAACCTACTCTTTTCTCTACAAGTATTGCTCAAAATATTGCCTATGGAGCTGAGAATCCAGAGAATGTAAGCTTGGAAGAAATAATAGCTGCAGCTAAAGAAGCCAATGCTTATAACTTTGTGAAAGACTTTCCTGATGGCTTTAATACTGTAGTGGGTGACAGAGGATTATTACTCTCAGGTAAAATTGGTTAATACAATTAATCTTGGCAGTCCCAGAGAGGTTAAAAGAGGAAATTATTTCCTATATAGAGGGTGCTGGAGGGTCCCTTTTAAATAGAGTGAGTGAGATATCGTTAGTGCTTTATTGGTTAATGAAAGGATGTGAAGGGGTGGGGTGTGATTTAGGTTGATGTTGTCAGTGCTACATAGAACTTACAGGTACAATAACTATACCTCTTTATATCTCAGGTGGTCAACGACAAAGGGTTGCTATAGCTAGAGCCATATTAAAGGTAACAGTTGCTTTTTATATCTCGTTTCAACTGAATATCAACCCTTACAGCCCTGGGCATATACTTTTTCCATTTTCCTTCCTTCGTGCTCATGTGCAGTTCAACTTTTCTAAGTCCAGTTGTGTTAATTTCCATCAAACATGCGTAGTTTACAAGTATTTGACCTTTCATTGCAGTACTAAGCTGAATATTTATTTGAACTAGGATTATGTTACTTTTGCTTTTTAAATTATAAAATTTGCCTGATTTTTGAGGTAATAGAGGTCAAAAAGTAGGTGCTTTATGGGTTAATCCTGTTAAGAATTTAAATATTCAATTGTGATCATAATCTTAATTGTCTCAGTTCTATAAGGATGTTAATCTACTGAAATGTTAATGAAAAATAATTAATTTAGAAAATGCACTTTGATAATGTAATGACTTGTAGTATAATGATGTACTCTTATGTGTTATTGCAGAACCCTAAAATTCTTATTCTAGATGAAGCAACAAGGTAAAGTCTACTTTTCAACATTTTTTTGCAGCAAAAAATTGTCTTTTTCAATCTTAAAATAACTTGCCTACCAGTTTAAAATATTTTTTGTTCTTGCTGGTATATTTATTGACATGTAACTTTTACTTACTGTTTTTAAAATAATTAATTTTGACACTGGAAGGAAAGTATTTTAACTTCCTTTTTATTTCTAGTGCTTTGGATGCTGAAAGTGAATACCTGGTGCAAGAAGCCCTGGAACGTTTACTAGTTGGACGAACAGTTTTGACCATTGCTCATCGACTGTCCACTATAAAGTCAGCAGATAATATTATTGTCATTGATGGAGGAAAAGCAGTTGAAAGTGGAACATACCAAGATCTGATGACTATTAAAAATGGACTTTTCAGGAAGCTAGTGGAGCACCAAACTATAAGCAATGGAGCTTCTTAGGTGTTCAACAACTCTGTAAAAATCATTGCATTTTAATCAGATTAGATAGATAGCTTGCATGTTGCTTATACTTGTATGCTTTGAATGGGTTGGGTCTTTGAATGGATTAGTTTTTCTTTGTTATGAATTTAAAATGTTTACTAGAAACCAGTAGCCTACAACTTTGACTAGTTGGTTTTTTTCTTTTTGAATATGTGTTCTAGTCAGTAAAAGATTTTAGACAAATTGGAGGTATTATAAGAAATGGCATAAAATACTCAATGGTTTTGTTAGGTTGAATAATTTTAGTTTTATGTACCTGTATTAGTAAAATAAAATTACAATCATGTATGATTGGGTACATTTTTTTTTCCATTAAGTCCTTCAAATACTAATTCATTTTTATTTCTGCAAGATTAATCAAAATTTATGTTAGCATCATTCCATGCTACATGTTGCTGTGATAAGTGCCTGAATTTTTCATTACTGTCAACAACAGTTGATAATGTATTATGTAGTGATATCTCATTGTTGTGGTATTGTCATTTAATCTAGTTTAAAATATATTTTTTAAAATGTGTTCAAAAAGCAATATTCTATAATCTACATTAGTATGCAAACATTTCATTCTTTAGTTATCCTAAAATTATAAACCTTTAATGGCTATTAAATTATTAGTTAAATTATAGCTTGTAATAAAATTCATAGTGGTATGTGCATTTTTAGAAAAATAAAAAACTTGTTCATATTTTGTTTTCCCATTTGTAATATGTAATTTTTATATGGGATTGTAACTGGCTAGTGTCTGCTTTTCTGACACTGTAGTCTAAATTTATTTATTAAAAATGTATTAAATACAAGCAATTTACCCCCATTCCCTGTATATTACTCCTGTCAATTATTAAACCTTGTAGGGTTTAGGCTAGGTTTACGGATAGGAACAGGGTTTGTGATAGTGATAGATTTAGGTTAGTAATGTTCTGAATGCAGTAAACTAATTTGCCTGTTGATACTGTAGGCCCATTTCAAAGGCATTTCATACATACTTTATTTAATGATAACATATATAATATGTAAAGTAATGTCCTAGACCCATAAGCTATTAATATATTAAATAACTTATGTCCAGTCTTTACCTGCCTTAGACATGTTCTCCATATAAAATACAAATAAGCTTGTGATTAAAATAATTATGACACTCAGACAATTTACATTTTTAGAAATATAGCTTTTAAACTATTGAATGCTGTGTTTGTGTAAATTGTTTACATAGAGATGACTTTGTGTTCAGTGACCAGAAATCTTAAATACAAAAAAAAAAGAAAGTTAAGAAGTAAGATAAAAAACATAATAACCCATGTCTGCCCACAAAAGGTTGCTACAAAATAATTCTCAGTCTTTCGTTTGTGTTAAAAAATTGTGTTCTCCAGTAATTAAATGATGTGACTGGAAAAAAAAAACAGATGTAATTCCCAAGTAATTTTTTTTTACATTTATTTACTTTCACTCGTCATAAAATTTGTATTACTGTACATGTTACAATGTCTTCAAGGTTTCCATCAGCTAAAAAATCACAATAGTAGCTAAGTAAAAGCAACCTCATAAGAAACTGACACCAGAACATTTGATGGAGACACTAAAGAGATCTCCAGAGTAAATTGCTCTGAGACAGCAACATCACTATGGTTCACTTTTAGTTTTGTTCTATTTTTCATCAACTTATTGCTATAAAAACTACTTGCAAAGTTGAAGGATTTAAATGTTATAAGAATATAAACCCTGTATTTCAAGGAGAAATACACAAACATGAATCAGTCTTTATACTGAAAATTTGAGTGATTCAATTTTTATTAAATACCAGTACACAAAAACTTATTCAACACTTCTCAAGTATATATAAAATAACAAAATTTTTCAAAGAACAATACAAAAGCTGCTGCTAGCTAGTCAATTATGCACTTCTAAAGAACATTGTCAAGGCTTAAAGCTTGACAGAAATATCTATACATGCATTCTAAACTTAATTATTACACAGATATTGTTTGACTTCTTTGCATGATGTTTGTTGAACAGGATTTATATTAAAACAGTTATTTATAATTAAGGACAAATCTAATTTTTCTGCTGGCTTTGTAAATAAACCAGCTAGTTAAAACTAACATATCTCTTCTACAATTTTAGACACTTTAGCGTAAATAGCATCTAATACCTGCTATTTACAACAGCAGGTTTAAAAAAAAAGGTATGTACATAATATCTGCACAACTTAAAGAGACTACAATTTTTTAAAATAAAAATCTAAATCCACATGAAACTAGAACTTCCTTCTACCAGGTATGAAGGACATTAAATTTAAAAAAAAATTTAATCCAGAAAGAATCTTGCAACAATTCATACTCAAAAGGTTATATATTTTTGTTTAATATTTGTTTTCAACTTAGTTTAAATGTATGTTAGTGACTAATTATTAGTTAGAATTTTTCAGCAGGTAAAATTGATGAGATTTTTAAATTAAAAGTTCACTTTTGTTTCATAAGGAATTAGATGTCAAATAAAATAAAACAAAGTATCAAGAAACAACCGACAGAATTGATGACAATTATCTACATGTGAAGGTCATAAATAAATATCACTTTATCATTATGATTTCAAGTCAACAACCAATTATTAAACACACTGTTTTACTTGGGCTTGCAGCCATAACAAGTTGCTCCAACTTCTCAGCTAGCTATTCTAGTATTTTATATTCTTTAAATTAAGGTTCAGTTTACATTTTATAATCAAGCCTAATGTAAATACAGGCCTGTCATGGCACATAAATAAATTGTTATTTTATTTAACAAGAAGTACAATAAATATGAACACTAAGTTCTCCCTAAAATTTAATCTGAGTATGAAAATGTTAACTTAAAGTAACTTCAGAAACTCTTAACCTAAAGCACTAGACTTTAGCAATCATCTAAGAAACACTTTGGTTTGAAGTTTTTTTTTTCTCTATTTAGATTTAAAATGAAAATTGTTTTATATAAAGCCTAATGCTGCTATAAACTATACGTTTATTTAAAATATTCAATTATCATATCATTTTGTGGAGAATTTACTGTCATAAGATTTGTAAGTATTTATTAATTATACTTACAAAAAAATTTAATAAGAGATTTAAAAAAAAAGATAAATACTTTTAAGAGTAAACAAATTATTTTTGAAAAACTGAACACATGCATTGTACATAAAATAGCTCATGTATACAATTAAAGAAGGCAATCGCCTCCAAAGACTTTTTAAATTCAAAATTTCAGTGCTTATTATTTGGTCTCCCTATTGAAGTTAACTGGCATTTTGTAGTTCTGAGTGAAGTCTAGTGACTTCTGGTTGCTAGACATTTACTACTTGATTCCCCTCAAATAGTTATCAAGCTGATTTGATCACACACTGGGGCTCAGCAACACAAGTTTTAAATACTGATGATAAAATATGATGCTAATAAAGAACAAAATCAAACAATGTAGAACCAGTACATTGAGGGCCTAAAAAAGTGAATGAACAAATAAGCAATAGCAAGAAGATGGAATCTGTTACCAGGCCAGGAAAAAGAAATGGAATCCTGCTCTGCAAGGATTTCTTGTCTGTCTTTGGAGTAGAGAAGTCAACAAAAACTTATGATACACTTTACATTGAGGTCACAAAGTTCTATTTAAAAAAATTGAACTTTTAAAGAATAAAGTGGATGGCAGCATATTTGGATCTAAAATAGTTATTTTGATTACCCAGAGATACACACTTTATTATTCTATGAACATCATTTCAAGTTCAAATTGGTAATAAAATGCATATTTCATTTGTCATGTTAATCATAATGCAAAACGTTAAAGAGCTAACTACTTACACAAAAAGCCATCATAATTTTCATTCAACTTTCAAAGCATCAAAAAGCAGTAAAACTAATTAAGAACTTGGAAATTTAAATAAATTGCTTCAGAAAACAACAAAACTCAATAAATAAATTATGTTATCAGATTTATAACAGATGACTTAGAACATAGCCCAGTATAAATACAACAACTACTGTTTAGTCCCCAAAGAATTTTAAACATACAAAAAGAAGAGCCAATAATTTTAAAATCACATAGAAAAGTAACACCTACGCCGGCAATCATTTGAGTACAATTTGTATCGTAACATTTATTCAGAATGATATTTATTTAACCTCTCAAAATCATAACAACTATTCAGCATTGGACTTAGACATTCAGAAATGTAAAACAAATTTACCTGAGGATCTTTCAAAGCTGTTAACGCTCAATCTTCCATCTTAATTCCATAAAAATATGCAATGTTATTCCTTTTTATTTGTATTGTCCTAGTACTAAAGCAAGAAAGTAAAACACTTTAGAAGTCAAAACTAATTTTTACTATTTGAATTTGGAACTTACTTTATTAAATCAAATGACATTGTTTAGTCTGTAGATGTACTGTCTTATTCAGTTTAAACCGTTTCATTATTTATTGTAATGATTTTGTTGAGACAAATTAGAGTGAATATATTTTGGTCAGACAAAAATAAGTTAGCCATTATGCAAACACCCTCTGCAACATTGGTAGCTATGCTAATGTACAGATGAAGATGTCAGTAAGGTAGTCCAGGGAGAAGACATATAATGAATGCAATGTTCTGTTGACAAAACTAAACTAATGATGGATGTTAACAATCTATCCAAACTGTACAGATATATAACAAACAAAGTTTAAATCTTAAAAAACCACCCAAAACTTATTTTGGTAACATACATTGATATCTGTTTATTTTCCCTTCTAAAATATTGTGAAAACAGAAAGATTAAGTTTGTTGCTAAAAAATATTAACTGAATACTTTTTTACACTAAAACAAACGCAATTTAAAAAACTTTGAAAATTTAAAACCTTTTTGCGGATTTGCTTTTTAAAATGATTTTCCCCAATAAAAAGAACCAATAACATTCCAAAGAAATACATTGATATTTTTTCCAATATTCAAATTACTACAGTGTTCAAAATGATGTTATTCTTTATTTTTCATCTCCCAGTGCTTAATAGACTACAAAATGAGAAGCCATTTTTTTCTGTAAAGAGTAAACAAACATAATTATGGGGCCATATGTTAACTGTTAGACAATCAAGGACAAAATCTTCTCCAGCTGCCAACTGTTATGCCAGATCTGTAAAACTAATTCATATCACACTGACAGGTTCAGAGTTCAAAAGTACATCGTTCACTTACTACAAGCTTAATATCTGCAGTGAAAGAGTTTAAACAACTTACAAAACTAAACCACTGGATGAATATGCACAATAATTTTATTTTAATTTACAGTTCTTAATTTGTTAATCAGCTTCAGCTTGCAGCTCTTCTGGGTCATAAGATGGTAGTTTGATGGTACAGTAGCCTACGCCAGTCAGACTTCGAGGTAATGCTCCCACGGTCTCCCAGATTCCAGAGAAGACATCATACTTGCTAACTAGCTTTTGTCCAGTCTTTGTCTGTACATTATAGCCTCCAAGCACATATATATTGTCCCGGTAAACAACGCATGATGCTTCTTTATGGGATATGGACAATGGAGCCACAATGGTCCATTGGTCAGTTGCAGGATCGTAACATTCTGACTGCATAACTGGCTGAGCCTGTTGATTTACATTCAGATTACAACCACCGAAAACAAACAGTTTGTCATGAGATGCGCACATGACATGCCAACCCCGTGGTGTAAGCATGGGCGCCATATCCTCCCAAGCATTAGCTAGGGGATCATATCTCTGCATGTCTGGGGTGAAATGGTTGCCTGAGTAACCACCCGAGATGAAGATGTGATTTCCAAATGTAGCTCCAGCATGGGCATGATAGGACATGGGCATAGAGGAAATCAGCTCCCATGTGTTCTCAGCTGGGTCATAGCATTCTGCTGTGGCTAAACTGCCGTCTTTGAATTTGCCACCAACAGAGTAGATTTTATTGTTCAAAGCTCCTGCGAAGAAGTAAGCTCTTTTGTTCAACATAGGACAGACCTGGAACCAAGTGTCAAAACGAGAGTCATAACGAAGGACAGAGTTGACCGCGGACTCGCCATGAGCGCACTGTGTTGTGCAGCCACCCAAGACATACAAAAAGTTGTTGTACACCAAAACTTGCATGTGGCTGAGGGCACTGGGCAACGTGGCTATCTCTTGTCTGTTGAGTAAACTACTAGATGTTATCTTTGAATCAAAGACCAAAAGCTCATCGTGAAGACAAGGATTTGGATGTATTTCCCTACCACCGACGCTCACCAGCCTCTCCACATATGAACGTAGACGAGTGGAAGATGTGTTGAGTAAGGGTTGTGAATGTGGAACAACATGGTAGTTTAAAGCTGTCAATACCATTTGACGCAGCTCTGAATTGGACATCATCAAGTCCACTCTCTGTACTTGGTGAACCAGGTCAGCAGGGTTGATAAGAGGAAAACGAATGAGTTTCATCAAAGTTGGAGCATGACACAAGCGTTTGGGATCCATTCTTAACCACTCCCAGGTAATGTGAAAAATATCCATCTCACGAAAGCACAATTTGTCACTGTTTAAACAGCTCACCATCTGATCGTATGTGAGAAGGTTTAAAGTGTTCTCTTTTGCAATCTGCATTAAGTTTCTTGCTATAAAGACATCTATTTGTTTCAATGCATTTTGCATGCTATAAAGTTTAGCAGTGTTAATAAAATCATAGAAATTTGTTGTGTTCATTCCGCTTAAAAAGTTTCTTTCACAAAATTCAATGACTGGCGTGACTTGCAAGTGTGTGGCTGCAGCAATGACATCAAAAATATCATCACCCTCTAAGGTGGTGGTAGATGTGTATACTACTTCAATCACCTTCTCTAAGCCCTTTGCTGTTATACCTTTCAGTTCAATCTCCTTTTGGTTGCATTCACGCATACCACTTGTGAACATAGAGAGAAAATAATCAGAACAAGACACCAAGATAACTCGATGGCAGTTGAACCTTGTTCCTGAAAACAAAATTGTTTTATTAAGAAACAGGACACTTTCAACTTTCATTTAGAATGGTATTTTATAACCAATTCATACATTTATTTATGTAACAAAGATGTGCGAATAAAAAGTAAAATACTTTTAATAGGCCTACATACTATTTTTATTCTGCCTAGACAATTTCATGTGAACAGAAAACTAACCTTCTGCAATGAGTGTGACATCACATAATATTCCATCTTGCTTGAGCTTGTTGAGTCCCTGTAAAACCTTCATGCCATGCTCAGGTCTCTCTTCCATACGAAATACATCGTTGGTAGAGCCACTTGACATTTCACCTCCCTCTGCCATGTTATTGGTAACCTTGCGTTTCTTCCTCAGATCTTGAATCACCAGTTTACCAGGCATCTAACATTTCTGAAAAATCCAAGTAAGCTTTTAAATTATCAGTAGTTACACAAACATTTCTCTACTTAACTAAATAACCAACTATACTTAAATCTCTGTCTAGTATAGATAAAAATATTAGCCTTAAGTAAAGAAAATTATTTGTCAAGATTTTATTACAACGTAAAAGCAGAATTAATTCACACTGATATATGTTAAAATAATTGTACTAACTTCAACAAGTTTGAAAATAAATGAATTAACAAACCAAAAATTATTACACAGCTTTCATTAACAAATGTGTGATAAATACTAACAAAATTTAAGTTAATTAGTTGCATTATACTTATACACAAGGTCTGAAAGTGTACAAATTTTTTTATTGCTAACCTAAGCATAAAAACGATACAACAGAGAAAAAAGATCATTTTTAAAGGCTATTAAGATTGCCTTGATGCATTATTAAACAATAATGTTCTAAATTTAATGAAAGATCAATAGAAGACTCGTCTTTTAATTTCTGGTTAAGATATCCGATGGGAGTTTAAAAACTACAAAATCAAGATAGTTATGATTAAATCTAAATGAGATGATAAGGCTTATATTAAAAAATAAATAGATCTAGCTCTAATCCTGGTGGTTTCCTAACATTTTTGTGTGTTTCGGTTGTGTTTATAATAAAATACGCTCAACTGGAGGTGAACGTGAAGCGGGGAATAAAATATGCTAGAATGGAGTTTTACAGGCATATTAATTATTATTAATGAGTCACCTTTCTTTCACGTAGATCTAGTGTCGGCTGATTTTACCTAGATTCTAGATCTACCTAAAAGTAAACCAATAGCTTACCTAGTCTAGCAGCTAATGAGCTAGTCTAGATTTTAGATCTAATGACAATGATCTAATCTAGATTTCTACTTTATCTAAATCTAGCTAGATCTTTAGACTAGATCTATTCTAGATCTAGATCTCTAGACCAAATGGCAAATAACATTTAATAGACATTTTTTATTTATAAAATAGTTTTGATTAGCCAAAATAGAATTTTAACGTCTAACTAGCCTAAAAAAACAATGTTAAAACACGGGTCAATACAACTGTACTGAAAAAGTTGAAAAACAGAAGACTGCAGACTTGCAGTTCCAAACGGCAAACGAAACCTGACTCATTTTCCTTCTTAATATTGAAATCAATATCGTGCAATACAAATAATAGAAAAACATACTTGCAAAGGATAATAGGTTAAGTCTAAAACTGTTGATTTGTTTTGAGGACAGAAAAGATTCTTTATTGGTATTTTTTAAATTTAATAAGAAAAATTTGTAAAAAATGAAAGACAGGCATCGAAGGAAGTAAACACCGGAAGTACACATGCAACAACTTCTAAGATCATGCGCAATGTTGCTTTTACTTCAATAATCAGTTCGTCGTTTTACTAATGAGCTCACCAGCGAGACCTAGATCTAGAATATAGATTCTACATTCATAGAGATCTAGTAAACTGACTTCTACCAGATCAATAAAAAATGGACTAGATCTATATTGAAATGAGTCTATGTAAAAATTAAAACAAACATCTAATGTATAAAGATGCTACTAACCGCACATATAGGACAATATAGGTTAGAGCGTAAAAGTTATTATAAGGGACCAATCATAATTCATCAAGAACAGAGTTTCTTCCAAGCATCTCTTCGAAAGGAAATTTATATAGAAAATATATACTTTTAACAGTGTCCGCATGTCTACCGCCCGCCCCCCGAACGAAATGAAATTTATATGGAAGATATATACCCCCCAGAAAAAAATCCACCCCCTCCGAAAATTTTAAGTGCCCCCCCCCCCCCCCGGAGAAAAAAGTCTGGAAGAAACACTGATCAAGAAATGGACCAAGTAATGGACACAAAAAAGAAAAGCAGAGGATTTAAGAAACAAGAACTCGTCAACTAAGGCTTACTAAGGTTTTTTGCATATACCATACAGCTCGAAATGATAAGGGTCGGTTTATAATTTAGTTACATTGTGTTATATGGTGTAGGAATAGAATAGAGCATTGCCATATCTTCATGTTTATATTTGCTATTTATCATACAATGGTTGGATATGCCTAAATTAACCAAAATACCTGGACAAAATGTAAGTTTTGAAATTCTCATAATTTATTTTTAAAGTTTTTGTTGTTCCTTCGTGTTTTCATGAAATATTAAAGACCTTAGAGGATATTGGAGGCTGGATGGGGGGGGGGGGGGGGGGGGGGGGGGGGAAACAACGGTTGTTGTTTTTTTCGGACTAAACATTTAAAGCAAGGTTCTACTGAAATCTACTGGGCATATGGGTGTGTATGCTGATATAGCCGACAACTAAGCATTTAAAAAACACGTTAGAAATCGTATTTTAGCCGTTATTTCACGTTCTTTTAAAAAAAATAAAGTGCCATTTTCGGAGGACATTATTTTAGGGACGTGTTGCTTTTTATGACCAAATGTAACAATGAGGAATGGCAAGGTAAAAATTGTTTTTAAAAGTATGGCGTTTTTAGAGGTGACCCATAAGAAATAAATGTCCAAAAATGACGTCACGCTTTTTTGACGATTTTTACCTCTCCCCCTCCCCACCGTCACTCATCGTCACAAAAATCCAGCCCACCCCCCCCCCCCCACCTCCAAAAAAAATCACATCACACCTCAGCCTACACCCCCTCTCAAAATTGCAGTTGAATTTTTCTTCAAATACGATATCTTCCAAAATCTTGTCTGAACTCTGTCAACATAGAGCATTTAAATCAACCTATTACAGTTTATTAAAACAGTTTTCTAAAACTCAAAATAACGGCTAAAATTCGTTTTCTAACATTGCTTTTTTATAATGCGAAAGTGTGACGTCACACCATCAGACCCCCCCCCCCCCCATCACACACTTTCACACGATTACGGCCCCCCCCCCCCACCTTCCCCCCTACATGTGTGAAGTTATTTATGGACGACCCCTAACACCTTTCGTCAACGATGTTTGATCTAGTCCACTTTGAATGCTTTTTGTTTTTACCTGGGAAGTCGGAATTATGTGCCGATGGGGACGTGAAGTCAGAAAGTGAGACGACATAATTTTGCATTTTAAAAAGCAGTGCTAGAAAACTAAATTTCAGCCGCTATTTCGCCTTTTAAATGGCGTTTTTTTTTTTTTTTTTTTTTTTTTTGCAAGTTGCTATAGAAATTGATAAATAGAGCCTACACAATGTTATTGTTAACCTAGCTAACGAAGTTTTTGAGCTGTCAAATATTGGACATCTGTAATCTGTTGCTTTGAGTTAACAACTGAAATGTTTTTTCAAAAGAAATAAAAAACGATAGAAAAGCATGTTTGTTCACCAATTAGTAATAGATGAAGTAAAGTAGTCTACTAAAAGTATTTTTTTTAACTATGTATTTCTATTGATAAAGCTAAATTAGTATTTCCTGATACGCGGGGAAAGGTGGGAGGGTAAAAGCGGTGAGTGTGAGATTGGAACGTGACAAGAAGGGGAGGTAAGTTTATTGGAGAATGCTTAATTTGTGAAAAGGGGTAATTAAACTAAGTGCAATTGCTTTTGGAGAGCTACTGATGACTAGCATACAAAGAACACAGTATATGGATTTTGTTTTCTGATAGACTACTGCTTTTAAAACAAATCATAAAATTGAAATGGTTATCTAAATGGGGTCATACAGTGGGCCTTAAATGCGTTTTTACACACTAAATAACTATTGTTAAGTGCTTTATTACTTAGTTTCTTTAATTATATATATTAACTCATTGAAAATTAATATATTTAATAGTTGTGTAATCACGTGTACAGCAACCAAAAACAGGCTTACGATTCTTCTGTTTCAATAGTGTTTCTTCCTTGTGCTCTGAATTTCATCCAATATTTGCCTACACAACTAGTTAACTTGGACGTAAGTGCTAACTAATAGGTTTAAAACAACAAGATGGTTGATTAGAGGAAACGATGCCGTTGTGCTGTTTGCTTATATTAGTTATGCTAGACAGATTTGAGCTCGGTGTAATCAGCAGTAGGGGGTCATCTAATGTTCACTGTGGAGGGGCTTCAACTCATGTGAGATATGTGTGGATACTTACATAACATGGGGTGGGGGATAGGGTTTCACGTTCATGGGGAACTCTATAATTCAGATTTGAGATCTATTTGCTTCACGTGTTCTACATGGGTTATCAATACACAATTTCAAGTTTTCTGCATACTGAATGAACACATTTAAACAGCAGAGCTAGTGTTTAACATAAGTGATGGACAGGGTTTAAAATGTTATTTTTTTTGGATGTCATTAATTTAACGGATAAACAATAGGATGAAAGTGATAAGTGTAAACACAACAGTTGGAACAAAAGAATGCTCAAGGTAAACCTATAATGAATGAAAACAGCTCATACTTTTACCACAGCAGTATTTTATTACGGATCCTACAAAACCAATGTAAGTTAGTAGACTAAGTTAAGTAACCCTAGGTAGTTATCACATCAGGCCATTCATTAATAAATAATTATAATACAGGCAGTTTTGTGCATACAACACATACATACAACCATATCACATCAATATCAAAACATAAGAGTTTAAGTGTTGCCAATTCTGGTACTGAGGTTTAATAAATAGTTCTTACCTCAACAGATGATTCCAGCTCTATATTTACAAATTAAGTTTTTCATTTTACTTTCTTATACTTTTGATCATGATGTATAGCATATGATATACACTTCAGTTGATATTTTATTTTTGTCTATTGACTCAAAATGTCTACACTGGACATTACCAGCTTAGATCATTTTCACATCAACATTTTCTACTATACTGACCTGTTAAGATCACTTGTGTAAGAACTGGGTAGCTATACAATGGCTATGTGACTTATGAATTTTTATTTTACATGTTTTGGAAAATAGTATCACATGCACCCACTATAAATAAACTGCTTTTAATCAAGAATAATAGTTCATTTGATAAAGTGAATTACTTGTATATATGTACATTAAATCTAAGTAAAGAAAATATGTAAAATTCACATTAAAAGTGCAAAATGTATAAAGTATTTATCTACAACAGGATTTCTAAAAATACATAATCCCTAGTAAACTATGACAAACAAGTACTTTATAATTCAAATATGGGGGAACAATTTCCTAATGGAGATGTTACCATGAATTTCAAGCAGCACCAATTTGTGAATTGTAAAAATGTTGGATGCAATCATAGTAAACAAAAACAGACAGAAGTTAGGTGGTGACTAAATAAAATGTAAAATGTGATATGGCTGTTTGGTTTGCACCACCCTATTTATGTACTTTATTTACACTTATACAGGATACAATTTTCAAATGGTTTAAACACTAGTAAAATATTACATAAAAATAGTAATAAAATAATTAAAACGAGCCGACCCGCGGTGTATCATACGCCGCTATTTAGTTGTTTTTTCTACTTTTCAGTAATTCATAATTTGTGAATTCGACAGTACCAATGCTGCCACTGAAAATATTTGCTTTAAAACACTAAACCCCATTCCCCCCCCCCCCCTCCCCCGTGAAAGCAGCCTCCTCTTAGTTACCTCCTCTAAGTTTAAAATAGTTTCAAACTGAATTATCTGCCCCTAATAGCCGTCACCAAACTAAACATTTAGCGTGAACTACAACTCACCTGACTATGTGAGGGGTGGGGGGGGGTGGGGGTGGTAGCGATAGAGAGGAAAAGAGGGGACTGCAAGGCGCGCGCTTGCAGCTTGTTTTCTAACGGCTCCCAGAAGAGAATTATATATATATAGATAATAGTTTTAGTTGAATCATGGTAGAGCCAGCAGGTAAGAAATAATAAGAACTAGCAGTAAAAAATTAATTCAGGAATTTGTCCTCCCTGGACGCCAGTTCCATTGGTGCTGTCAGAGGAACACTGGAACTGAAATGTTACTTTACCGCACTGAATCTCTGCAACTCCCTCTTGACCAAAGTAGCTCAACTCCTTCCCATCTAAAATCACACTAGCTGTATAGCAAGTGTCAGGCTCTATCTGCACAGGGCTTTCAAACAGAACAGGAAAAGTATTGCTGGATCCATCAGACAAAAACTTGGTACTGCACTGACCTTCAACCAACCCATTACGTTTGAGCTCCAGACTAACTTTATATTCAGAAGCTGCGTTACTAGATCCATATAAGCCAAATCCTGCAATGAAAATTCTCCTATCTACAGAAAATTGAATACTATCGCACCTGCCCCTGTAGCGCCACTGATTGCTCCGATAAGCAGAAGATTGAAACCTATGAACACGGTATTGAGACAGTCCTTTTCTGTTCAGTTTGTTGAAAGGCAGCTTTGGTGTGTTTAGAGCTGTAAAATGCAAGAACAGATCATGACATTCCTTTAAGGACAGGATGCCAGACTGAGCCGGGCCATTGGCAAACTCTTCCAGAGACATAGTTGGGAATCTTACTAGCTGGATGCAGTCTCCCAGAACATTTCTTTGATTCTGGGGAGTTGTATCAAGCTCTTGACGAACACACTCAGCCTTGGCCCACTTGCAAACTGCATGAAATATACAAAGCTCTCTAGTGTTCAAAGTTTCTCTAGATAAGATGGTTTCCAAAGTCTTCTTATCAATGTCAGTGAAGCCCTCTGATTGTAATGATTCTTCTGCTTGTGCGTCAATGACCTCCCAACAGCGCTGCATCAGCTCAACTTCCTCGAACAGCCTGCCCTGGCTGAGGAGAACACAGGCATTCTTGGCGCTTAGACTGGTCTCTAGATAACGAACACAAGCTTTGGCCAACTGAGGAACAATGTACTTCTTTGCTGCATACAGCGTAGCTAAAACGGTATCGGCCTCAATGCAGATTTCATCACAATATAAAAACCTGAAAATGCAAAAAGAAATTATGTATTATTATAATCACTTAGAACATGATTAACGATAATGTATGCTTTGATATATAATTGATAAAAGAAAGATTAATGAAATATACCTGAGCAAATTAAGAAAAGCAGCAGGTTCAACATCAGGTATGTTTATCTCCATAACCTTAACCTCTTCTGCCAAGCCTCCAAATAACATGGCATAGAAGACAGAGCTGCCAGAACCTAAGATCACTTTGTGGCCAGGAATTTTCTTCTGGGTGCCACTGATGCCCACAGTAAAAAAGACATCAGCCATTAGAGGATTGTTGAACAAAACAGCATTTCTTTCATGTACAGTATTGACAGTTGCTTGCCAGTTGTGATGTTCACTCAACTTGGCAGTGGGTAGGGATGGGGTTTGTGGGGGTTGGGAAATCCTCTTTGAAGGAAATCTTGGTTGCCATGATAAAGGGGATGTTTCTTTGTGCCTTGAAGGCTGGACCCTATTGGGATTGGACTGACTTGGAGGGACAACATTCTGTGGTACCTCTTGGTTTACTTCTTCTTCATCCTTATCTTTGGCTGGTATACAAGACTTCATTCTTTGATTTGCTTAGAAGGGAATAAGACAAAAAAATTAAAGAAACAGTATGTTCAATATTGAATTTTTTTTTATGAATACTGAAAGACAGTAAAACATTTTTCTTTTAAATTGTGGAAGATATATTATTTACTTTCTAGCAAAGCTAGAAACATAGAAATGATGGTTTCATACTATGGAAACTCACCTAATTTCATATGATATGGCATTCAAAGACTGCTGTAGCTTTAGGAGTTATAGACACTTAAGATTATTGTCATGACTACATATCCTCAATCAACTCACTGTGTAGACCTATCTGTTGAAATAAGAATAAGCTATTAATTTTGTTTTACAATATATTACAATCAGTGATCTAGAAAGAGCACAATGATGAGCCAATGGAATTCAACAATAGAAAAGCACTGTGAATTCTAACTACTGAAATAAAAAGTTTTGTAGGTCCTAACTTAAACTGCTAGACATTAATTACATTACCACAGTAACTTAGAACTAGCAGTAGAGTAAAATCTGGCTTGACAAAACTATAGTCCACTTAAACAGCAATGGACTGAAAAAAGACTCATTATAAAATAGTGATAAAAAGATAATGCAGTTGCCAAATGTAAGCTATTTTCTGACAAATGTGAAGGAAGTCTTACAAATGATTTAAATTTAAAGGTAGAACTTTTCCTGAAGAGTGCCACCCAACAGAAGTTATTTGACAAAACAGAAAAGATGTGAAAATTATTAAATCACACTACATTTGATGATTCCCCCCCCTTCCCCGTTGACTATTGTCAAACCATAAGGCACAAGACCTGATAATATCTTTTATTTTTTTTGAATCGCGTTCGATCAAGAGACCAGTTTTGGTGGACTAGGGCGTTGCACACAAATGCTGCTTTTTAAAAATTAGCTAGATCTAGACTAGTAGAAGCCCTAGGCCCTAGCACTAGATCTAATAGTAGAGATCTAGAATTCATAACAAAAGCTGTGACAGTGTAGTGTTAAGTAATACTAATAAGTAGAGCGCTGAGTGAGTACTTTGAGAAGCCAGCTCAACTCACTGCACTCAGTAACTCAGCAGCTATTTAGTCTTACTACCAGATCTAGATCTATTACTTATTCTAATACATTTAACTAGATTCTCTTCTAATGACTCTGAATAGTAGAATCTATCACTAATCACAATCAGGGATTCAGTGCAGTTGAGTGCAGTAGTCTGAACTGAGTACTGCCACAACAACACAGAACTACGCAAAAGATTAGAATAGAGGCCAATGTGTAAGTGTAAACTAAACTTTACTGTAAACTGGAAAAACTTTACGTTACCTTTGACCTATAGTCAGTTGTAAATAGCTCAGTTATTTGATGTTTGTAGACTTGTACACAGAAACTAGATCTAGAATCTAGAATCTACTTTTGCTTACTCTCTGGATCTTTAGCTGAACTTAATTTTATTAACAAAGCACAATAAATGCTAATCATGCCAGATAAATGTTATTATCAAAGCTAAAAATACAATTCAAATAAGCAACGAAACGAAAATCAACGTTTATAAAAGTTGATATGATATAATTAATTATAGTATAGGTTAGTAAATAAACGTTCGCAGAATCGTTTTACTTATTAAGGGCATTTAATAGATATTAAATAAAATCAACATTCAATGAAGATTATAAGATAATTAACATTTGCTGTGAAGGTTTCAAAACACTGAACAGTAATTTAAAATGTGCAAACTAAGCGGTGATTGCTATTTCACACACACAAAAAAAAACTATTCAGTAGGCTAGAGGTCTTCCTTACACGACTTCATGCAATTTTGGTGCCAATTTCTATCCCTCCAAATCACAACGAAGTCTGACATTCCCCTCCTCCCCTGTTTTATTTCATTTCAATTAAGGGATGTTACCATGCTGGGATGCTTTTGCTGAAAGTATTAATTGAGTATTTTCCCTTTGTAATGAATTTTTTAAAGTCCACCCCCCCCCCCTTCAAGAAACACTGGAGGTAATGTCTGGCACTTGGCAGCCATGATGGATTTATCTAGCCCCACGTGAGTTATGGTATTATGAACATCAGCATCCATACAATATGATAGCTCTGATTTCTGAGCCTCTGTGCACAGTTGAACGGTGTGAAAATGGTGTCTTTCGTGGATCATTGTCAAGTAAAACCACGCTCAATCAACACAGTTCTGAGTTTCCCTACAGTGTAGAGTGTAGACTATAACATTAACAATTTAGTGTCTCTATGACGAATTTACCGTAACGAGCATTGCAGGCTACCGGTATCATATAGAAACAGTTATTCCCAAAAAGTTAAGGTGTCAAGTAGCCGAGGTAGCCTACAGTAACGGCGTGTGACTTTAGTTTTTCAGCCTAATAATATGCATTTGCACTAAACTCATTTATTCTTTTTAATTCTGAATTTCTAATTGTAGCCTACATCATAGTTAAATTTGATGTAAAATTGTTATGTAGCCTATTTAGCTTGAAGTTAAAGCTTAACAAAAATAAAATATGACAGCCTGGAGGAACCTGTTGTAAACAGAGTTTCTTCTGGTCATCTCTTCGGGGGAGGGGGGATGGCGGAGCTTCCCCGAAGAAGACCGCTTCCCGGAAAATTTAGTCCGCCACCTCCCCCCCCCCCCTGATAATTTTAAGTGCCCCCCCCCCGGAAAAAAAGCCTGAAAGACTGAAAGTAACACTGTTTGTAACATAAGTGGAAACTCTTTTGATGTTACCATAATAAAGGGGGGGGGGGGGTGGACTTTCCGTCAGAGTAAGCAGTTAGTGCGACTTTAAGTGCCCTTGATAAAAGACAGCAGAATCAGAAAGCCGAGTGTTAGAATATAGATATTGTTGGGACTGGCATATATGTCGACATAGTAGAAGTAAAGGATAGGACAGCAGAGTTAGGCAGTTAGGATTAGGAATAGATGGATTGTGTGTGTGTATGTTAATAAACATTGCAATTTAAACTGTATAAGATGTTATATATGTTTATATCCAACCGGAGAATTTTGTACATGATTCACACCAGAAGGTTAGACACCCCTTATACACATTGCCGTGTAGAGATATACATAATTGAAACATTTAACTCCTCCCTCACCCCCCCCCTTACTGCCTGGTATTACACCTAGCTGTAGCACGTAAAAGCACCCTCTGATCCCCATTCACCTGATAGCACAGCAAATCTTGTTCAAACAGAACCAACAAGTACAGCAACGAATGCGGTCCTTGTAAAACTTCATTTGTGAACACGAACAACTGGCTCAGCTGCTCTATGTGACCCTCTGCCGCCTAGTCAGGGCGTAGTCGGGGGTTGGGGGGTTAGGGGAGGTGTGGGGTAGGTGTGGGTTACATACAGAAAATGTAGCCTACGTGTGTCTGTGTACGTGGAGTACACACGTACACACATACGCACGCACACACATATTAAACATTTTAAATAGCATCGCCATTAAAAACCTGCCTACGTTATTACCCAAAGAAACTTATAAATCTTCACATAAAAAAATGACAAAGTTTTACATTTTTGGTAAAGTGTTGTTACCTCCCATCAATAGAAACAGCCCAGTTCAGGGGCGGGCACTCATTTTCGATAACAAAACTATTTTTGTGTGTTTAAAACTGCCTCATAGATTTATATTGGCTTTTTTTTAAAAGTTAGTTGTATCAACTTATGTATTCCAACCTTCTATTTGCGAACTTACTTATCCTGCTATTCTATTATGAGCACATGTTTGCAACAATAAGAATGAAGACCAATATATAACACTGCTCTATAAATCTATTCCACCATCCAGCCCCACCCGTATAACACAGTATAACAAACCAATAATCTACCACTGCACCTGCTTCGTTTTATATGTTTCATAGCAGAAGATATTCGCAGTTTTTCTATAATTCAACAATAAATTACAAAACTGGTGTGAATAAAAGGATCTCTATTTGCAGGTTACCTCACATACATATTTGTCATCCCAATTCAGTGTCGAAGATTTCAATACAAATCAAAATGACCTTTCAACCGCCTACGTCACGGAAAACACACCGCTCTGTCCATTTGTATTCAGTGAAGGTGTTTCATTCCAGTAGAGGGCGCTATCATGTAAGTATCAAAACTGTGGATGTTCTGTGGATGTTTGTTATTCACTTTAACTGGCAATAACTTGATATATTTTTGTTTTTCGTTAAAAAAAAATAGCCGATGTTGTGTGCATTTAATCGCCAGGTTATTTAAGACACTATTTAAAAAAATCTAGCTTATGTAATTTATGTAAGAAACATCTTGAATGTTTTAAATATATATCTTGTGTTTATTGTTGAATATTTTTATTGCATGTTTCTAATACGTACTGAACATGTTTTTGTATTGGTTTCCTGAAAAGATTAAGTAGTTAAATCATTCCAGGTTCAGAAAAGTTTTTATATACCTAATTGTAAATCCACTTTATGAGCAAGAACATATGTGTTCGCATAGGGTAAACTATTTCGCAATCAAAGCCAGAAAAATCATTCTATAACTTAAAACTAATTTAATTATTTAATAAGCGTATTTGCGGGGAGGGTGGGGAACAAGTCACATAGTAAGTGGTATCAAACACATACTGACGTCATGTGACATACATGAGCTAGCCTCAGATCAAATCGAAACTTTTTTAAAATTTTGGTGAGTCAAGCTATAGCATTGACTGAAATCCTCTCTCTGTTCTCAGACTTTCACTGGAGTCTTGTCATTAAATTTGAAAGGGCCCATACACACAATTTCTAGCTTAGGGGACCATACAAGACTGCACAAAATGCCATTCATCTCTACCCCCTCCCCAGCTTCTCGAAACAACAACCACTTATAAGACGCTAAAAATCGAGCAAAAATAACCATTCTTCTAACGAAATAATCTGTTTAATTTTGATTAGGAAATACCAAACATAGTTTGCACATCTTCATTTTAAGTCTCTGTCCCCTTTCACACACTCTTCAAGTTATGTGACGTCATTTAGAGGACCCCAGCTCCCCCCCCCCTCCCCAATAGCGCAGTTCGTGTTACCTGTAGTCAGACACGGACTGCTACTTTACCAGGCCGGGGTACGAGTTGTCCTCCCACCATCTCATTATGAGACACCTAGGCCTATGTTTGACCCGGCCCTAATCCAACATTGACATGAGTTCATTGCTCCCCACATATTTCCTCTATCTACCATCCTTGATTTCTATACAGTTTCTCCGTGTGGCAACATTGATTACTAAACGTAGCAAAATCACTTCAAACCGTTTCCCGTTCCGCTTCGTTGCAGATTTGATTAAGATTTTTATCAGATATTCCCCTTCCTGATCTTACGTTTGAATTAAAAAGTTGAATGTCTAATCTTTAGCCTATCAAGAGTTTGTGCATCCACCTTGTTTGATTGTCAGGACTATCCTTGTCTTTCTACAGGAATGGGAAACAATGTAAGTATCGACACATCACACGTGAGATAATTATTTAAAACGTTTTAAAACATTGACGTGGTAGTTCGTGTAATTTAGAATGTCTTAACATTCATGGCATGACGTCATCGTTCGGCTGGAGGCGGGTTTGTGGGGGATGAAAGTTGGATGGTGACGGTGCGTGACGTCATTCATGAGTCCAGGGTAACGAGTATTTAGAAATTCATTAGGCTGCTATACACTATACTGTTATCATATGCAAGATACTTTTGCTACCTCATACGTGAAATTACGATGAATGTCTCAGGTATTCGTCATCATTCATTAGATTTTTGTTAGATATAGGTATATGACAGTAGCTTACAGTAATACAGCAAGTCATCCAAATATGACGACATACTTTTTGAAAGTTTCTAACCAGTTCGATGGGATTCGTAAAAAAAAATTCCGACCTCATAAACTGAGGTTACACATCCTCTCATCCACCTTTAGGTTTTCTTCAGTTAAAAATGATGTATCCAACAATTCCCGTAAAATTGAATTATTTCCCCTGCCAGATCGCTCTGCCGTATTCAGGTCACATTCCAGGTGGAGTACAGGTGGGCAGTGAGGTTGTCATTACAGGGAAAACTGCGCCAAACTTTGAGAGGTGAATTCAAATCCTATTTCTTAACTCATTCCCATTTGCCAATTACATTTTTTCCCCTTGAGACATCACCACTGTTGAATCCCATTATTTGTTTGAGTCTTGAGTGTTGTTTTACCTCCCAGATTCAGCATCAACCTGTGCACCGGAGCTAACCTAGACCAGGATTGTGCTCTCCACTTCAACCCCAGATTTAGTGATGGGAAGGTGGTCAGGAATCACAAGCAGGCTGGGAACTGGGGTGGGGAGGAAACGAATGGAGGGATGCCATTCAAGAGAGATCACAGTTTTGAAATCTACATCAAAGCCACTCAACAGGGGTATGAGGTGAGCCTGACATGGCCTTGACACTGGGTGGTAGATATTTTAGACTGTTTGGATGTTAGCTGTATCAAAAGTTTACTCAAGTTGGCCTAATGTTAGTTCTAATTAAGCCATTTGGTTAAATTAAGTATTTAAAGTTAAGGGTATAAATATGCTTGAACGAGAGTAATCACCCTTTTATGTAATAAAATGATAAAATGTAAGGAGAAAAACACACATTATAATGTAATATTTCATAAACTGAAAATGTGTAAAGGAAATACCTAAAATATTATATAATTAAAATATGTAGTAGATCTAATATAAAATCATAATCAGTGCAAAGTTGATTATTTTGGATCTATCTAGGTAAAAGTGAACCACGACCATTTTTGTAACTTCAATCATAGAATTCCCAAAGAGAGTGTCCAGTTTCTCCATATTGCAGGGGACTGTATAATCACATCAATCCAACCACTGGGAGGACAATCTGTAAGTCTATAAGGCTAATTTTAGCCCAAACTGTTTTCAAGTTTTTAATGTCATAAAAAATTAGTTTGTTTGTCAACTTTTAAAATGATATGCATATTAATAATGGATCTCTCATCCCAAAATTAGATTCTGTTCATTATAATACACATTAGCTACTGTTAACAATTAGAATTTTTTCCCCCTGTTTTAACATATTTTCTAAACCAAACAATACAAGTATTTTTATTGGATGCCTAAGTAAAACAAGGGGAGACTAATCTTTATAGTGAGTTTATTTAATTTCTGGATGAAACTTTGTCATCTGGTCCAGGTTTAAATTGTATGCAGGGGCTATACAGAGATTTAAGTTTTAAAACTGCTGCATTTGGTTCAATTACAAGTGTTTTACCATATTGTTGTTTTGGTATTCTATGGGCCAAAACTACTACATTAAGTTCAATTAAATAAGTTTTCCATATTGTTGTTTCAGTATTCTATGGGCCAAAACTTTCCACAAGCTCAAGGAGTAAGTTCAAATTCATTAAAATAGGCTACATTACATCTCAAATTACTTATTTTATTACAGTATGCTTATAACATAGTCTTATGATTAAAATAGGCTACATTATATCTCAAATGACTTATTTTATTACAGTATGCTTATAACATAGTCTTATGATATTCTCTGTTTGTTGTAAATGACCAGCAATTCTTATTTACACAGTATGCGGCTCCAGCTGCTCCCATACACAATCCTGTAAGTTTTCATTTACAACTTATTTACTCTCATATTTAGGTGCTTAGCTAATCCGAACATTTCCCAGAACTATTATGCAAATTAAATATTGTTCTATTTACGTTAAACAAAAATATTATTTGTATTAAAAAAAAACAACAAATATTTAAATTTTTTTATTGAATATGTTTAAAACAAAGTAGATATTTTTTATGTCCATTAATGTATTAAAGTGTAATATTTATGACCTCTTTATATTTGTCTACCTCTGTATTTGTGCAACTGTTTGTCCTTGCCTCTGCTGTATAGTTAACTTTATTCTCTCTTCCAGCCTGTGCCATTTTCAACTTCCATCCCAGGGGGACTGTACCCTGGAAAGATGATTTTTATCACAGGAGTTCCTTCCCCTAATGCAAACAAGTAAGGCGGCATTAAAAAAAAATTCCATGTGTTTTAATTTCATTGCTTTTCTATTTTAAATTTAAAATTCTGTTAAAATTGAAAAAATAATCTTTTATTCTTTAAAAGTAAATATGTCAAAAGTGAGGCAAGTTTCTAAAAAGATTTTTTGAAAGTTACTGACATTAGTTTATTTTGGGTATATTACAGCGACCTAACTGCATCTAAATTTGAAAACAGTATGGCATTCTGTTGTAAAATTAGTTTGATTACAAACCCTCTCATTTGTTTAAGTCTTACCATGTGTAGTTAATCTGTGTTTTTTGTTACAAGGTTCACCATCAACCTGATCTGTGGCCCAAGTGATGCATCTGACATCTCTCTTCACTTTGACGTTAGATTTAATTTTAATGGTGAGAGGAACCTTGTGGTCAGAAATCACAAGCAGAATGGATCATGGGGACAAGAGGAAAGACAACAGAGTCACTTCCCCTTCATACCTGGTACAAGCTTTGAGCTGGTAATCCTGACTGAGCCAAATTGTTTTAAGGTTTGTTTCGTTTTTTTTTTATGTCTTAAAAAGTGAGTTCATAAAATAATGAGAGTCTTTTGAATTTATTATTACAAACAAATAAAAATTATAAAATATAATTTGTCTTACAACGGACAGGTGGCAGTGAACAACCAACATTTCATAGAGTTTGCTCACAGAGTCCAACCATTTCAACGAACAGACCATGTGACCGTCAATGGTGATATCAGCCTCAGCCAAGTTCGCTTCCAATAAATTTAATTCAGTTTTTAAATGGTGGTAGTAGAGAAATACATAATTTATTTTTCCAGCTAGTTACTTGATAGTTAGATTTATATAAACTTATGTTGAAACAATAATTAGATGATGTTCTTAACTAGCTTAAAATTTAGGCCATTATTTAGGCATCGATTTTGAAAAAGAATTAAGATTACTAATAATAAAACTTAATCACTACATAATAATTTGAAAGAGTTAAATATTAAATAAACAATATGCTTGTTTAAAATAATTTTAAAACACAATTGTATCAAGTACTATGACTAGGATGTTTTGAATATTGTTTTATTCTATGACCAACAAACTTAAATAACAAATTAAGATCCAAACATATGTCTGGCAAGTTGGCCCATGTAGGTATTGACCAGTGGATAGATCCAGTAGGATGTGAGCAATAGATTTGTCTGTAGTGTCATATGCAACCAATCGGATGAGACTCGTGAAATATTCTTTTACTTTACTCCTATGTTTTAGAATTCATTGATTATAATTGCTTTTGTAAATCAAGGAATTATATTTTTGGTATGGGTCTAATGAATAAACACATAATGTCTGAATCTGTGCGTTTGTTTTTTTAGTTGGTCTACAACAAAGTGTAATAAATATTGAACATGAATAAATCTTTGGGGGGGGGGGGGGTGGTGTTGTTTGGGATGTATATGTTATAGAGATGGAAGGTGATACGGATGCAGTTGATCAGTTTTAGTGTTATAAGTGAAAGCGATTGTATAAATCAATATATATATATATATATATATATATATAATATATATATATATATATATATATATATGAGTCTGAAAATGCGATATTTGAGCGTCACGCCCTGACCAATGGTTACAACTTAGCTACTGAGCCTGAAGTTAAACAATTCTTAACGCACCCTCTCCATTATGAAAAAATACAGTATAACCTGACCGTGGGACTATACATTACTAGAGTTCACATTAGTCCTATTGGGTCGTGGGTTTCAAGTTTTTTACCTTTTTTTTCCACCAGTAAAAAATTTAGTTATGGAGGTTAAATGCGTTAAACCTCAGTCACCAAAACTGTAAAAAAAAACTTGTTTAAAAAGTAACGAGTTGAAGTTCATCATTTGTATATGTGGAAACGCCCCTCTTGTATTAAACTGCTGACGTGATGCCCCCCCCCCCCCATGTTTCGCCCCCAGCAGCAGATTGTGTTCTCACCTATATGAGGACACACTTGAAGATTGAGCCATACGAGTGGGGAGATATTTCAAGATGACGTCCACACTCGTGGCATTGTTGAACCACGTCCTTGGTGTTTGGGTAAAAATAATCAACTTGGTAGGATAAAAACGTGTTTACTGAAACGAAGCCAATAGGTTGCTTTGTGTTTGTGGGGTGGGGAGTGTGATGGCAGGGGAAGGGTGTAAAAAAACCTCTCAGCAGCCATGGGGCCAATTAGGAGCTGTCACGTATTTCACACGATATTTGTCCAATCAAAATAAACAGGAGATGTCGTTACGCCCTCCTGGAGCTGAGAGTGAGTACTTGACTGAAGGTCAGATGGTTTTTGCTATGTCACCCACGTGATGACCGTTTGTTCTCCCACACCTCGTGTACAGCTTCAACCACTTGTGGTTACAACAACGAGCTAAAAATAAATTTTCAAGTAGCCACAAACACATCCCGAAGTGAGTGATTATAAATTCAACTCGAGCAGACGATCAGGTATCAACACTTAGATTCTCACTTTTTCCTTCATCACTAAGACGACCACCAAGAAAGCATGTCCAAAAAGGTGCGTTTTACTTTTATAAAACCAAAACTAAACATTTTTGTACCAAACTGTTATAGTTCTTCAAACATTTTTTAAAAGTTAAAGATGTCTGCGAGAGTTCCAGTTTCTTTTAAAGTCAGTACAAGCTGTGCTGCACGTAATCACAATACAGCCCTAAATGTTAAATTTAAAATAACCGGTAATAAAAATACTTTAGTGGCAAATTTGTTAGTTAGGGCAGTTAATTTTTCCCCAGAAACTATATTTTAAAGCTAATATATTGAACTGATACATTTGAGAGAAAGGCTTGCTAGTCTAAACACTGTAAATGAATACTGAAGATTCAGTATTTCTGCAAGCGTTCCACGGAAACTAAACTAAAGGAATAACATAAGCGCAGATATTGTAGATTTTTTAGAGTTCAAACTGTGTTTCTATTTCGCCGGTTACGAAGCCACCAAATGAAACTGCCTCTCACACATACGACACTGACGTAGTTACTAGAGTAATAGTTTAGTTTTATAATGCTATGTAGAATCAGCTGGCTTCATTCAGGTAATGTTCACCTGAATGATGACCACTGTCCAGTTTACAACAGGCAGTGTTTTTTTAAATGTGAAAATAACTGTTTATATCACTGTAAAATGTGTAGATAACTCTGCTTAACTTTGTAAACCGTAAACAAATTTAATATTTTCCAGTGCTGTAACTCCTCTTGTGGTGCCCAGTTTGTTATAGTAAGTCAATTCTTTATTTTCCTTGGTTTTTCTCTCATATAATCCTTAACAACTTTTGGCGAAATGAATTCAACGATACTTGTTGAACTGAAATATCTATTTGCGTATCATATATGTACAGTCTTTTCCCTTTGTATACTTAAAAGGAAAACTATTTGAAATGTCCTTACCATTTCGCTTAAATGTTTAAAATAGTTGGTTTTTTTTTTAAAAGGTAACTATCAAAATAATGTAAAGAAGCTGTACTGATACAAAGTCCTCTTGAACATTTCAGTGTCCTACACCAGTGACGCCCATCTGTAACCCGGTAAGTTGATCTGTGTGGTTGTGTGAAATGGTCAGTGGTTCACTACCAAGGTAGTGTGGCCTAGCTGACCCCTGTGGCCTAGCTGACCCCTGTGGCCTGGCTGACCCCTGTGGCCTGACTGACCCCTGTGGTCTGGCTGACCCCTGTGGCCTGACTGACCCCTGTGGCCTGACTGACCCCTGTGGTCTGGCTGACCCCTGTGGTCTGGCTGACCCCTGTGGCCTGGCTGACCCCTGTGGCCTGGCTGACTCCTGTGGTCTGGCTGACCCCTGTGGCATAGCTGACCCCTGTGGTCTGGCTAGTAGCTATGGCCTAGCTGACCCCTGTGATTTGGCTAGTAACTATGGTCAAACAGCGTCTTTAGATCCTTGTAAGTAATATTCTATATGAAATCTAATGTTAAAGTTTTATAGTTGTAGGCCCATATTGTACTGTACGGTCCCTAAAACAACACGAACATAACAGATATGTCAGCTTTTAATGTCCGCAACAACAGACTGACAACTGACATAAAACTACCATCATAAACTAGCAGTATTAGTTTGTCTAAAGTATAAATGATGTTTCATTTTTATGTGTGCTAATTAATGTATAATTTATTTGTATGCACTAACTGATGTTAAATTAATGTGTATACTAACTGATGTTTGATTTTTGTGTGTACTAACTGATGTATAACTTACTTGTGTAACCACCAGCCGGTACCATTTACCACAACCATCCCTGGTGGTCTCTACGCTGGGAAGGAGTTTCACATCAGTGGCGTCCCTAGCTGCAGCCCTAGCAGGTGAGGGAAGGGTTTTTTTTTTACTGGGGACTTTGGCTGGTTTGGTCCATTCGATAGTTGGTTAGAGGAGTATAGGCTAGTTGTAATGTGGGTCCAGTTCTAAATAAGTCTGAAACAGCAAAGCAAAGACTGATTGCCGTAGGCCTATGTTAAATTAAAAAGTTGCATGTTTCCAATGTTAGCACTTGAAATCTGGATTCTGCACAACAGGCTAAACTAATTAGAACTTTAACGCTGCAAGTTAAACTCAGGTTATTATAAAAATACGTTAAAACGACTCCTTTTAGTGACCATTCATTGATAATAATGAGAGTTTAAGCTTTATGAGCGGTGGTTTATATCTTTACCAAAGTAATGTGCTATAGCTTACACGTGTTTCTACTGCCATGTTCATCATCAACATATTGTGCTATATTATACACATTTCCTACTGCTAGCTTCTCCATCAACCTTATGTGCTATAATTTACATGTGTTTTATAATGTCAGGTTCAACATTACATATGCTAACGTTTACATGTGTTTTCTACTGTCAGGTTTACCAGCAACCTAATGTGCTATAGTTTACATGTGTTTTCTACTGTCAGGTTCACCATCAACCTAATGTGCTATAGTTTACATGTGTTTTCTACTGTCAGGTTCTCCATCATCCTAATGTGTGGTGCCTGTAACTGTGCTGATATAGCCCTTCACTTTGATGTCCGCTTCTGTTACGGGCCCGACAGGAACGTTGTGGTGATCAATGACAGACAGTGCGGGACTTTTGGTAAAGAAGAGAGGAACCAGCGGTGCTTTCCCTTTTGTCCAAATGTGGCCTTTGAAATAGTTATTCGAGTGGAGGCCAATTGTTTTAAGGTAAATGTGGATTGTGTTGGTAATGTGGATTGTGTGGGTAAATGTGGATTGTGTGTTAAGGTAAATGTGGATTGTGTGTTAAGGTAAACGTGGATTGTGTGGGTAAATGTGGATTGTGTGGGTAAATGTGGATTGTGTGGGTAAATGTGGATTGTGTGTTAAGGTAAATGTGGATTGTGTGTTAAAGTAAATGTGGATTGTGTGTTAAGGTAAATGTGGATTGTGTGTTAAAGTAAATGTGGATTGTGTGTTAAGGTAAATGTTGATTGCGTGTTAAGGTAAATGTGGATTGTGTGTTAAGCGTAAAAGGTTTTTGGTATTTTTATGTTTTAGTTGTCTTTTTGTAGTTGTGCACTTAGTGTTTAGTACAGGGGTCTCCAAACTACGGCCCGTGGTCAGTTGCTGGACAGCTATTCCACATCTCAACTGCTTATGTTCATTAGAGGTGTGGATGATGACATAAACATGACACAAGAGCTGGCTTCCCTACATAGAATGTATGGCACTGCTACAGGAGAGAATATAGATAGTTCAAAGACATGTTAAAAAATAGAAACACAGAATCGCAAGATTTACCATATTTCACAGCAGTAAGATGGCTAATTTGCGAGAAATTTTTCTGAGCAGAGTATTTAAGTTAAGAAAGTCAAATTGACTTCCTTGAAAGTAAAGGCAAGCCACAAGCTGATGTACTTACTGTCTGGTCAAGAGTGGGTATAGAAATGACTAGTCATTTACATTTTCTGAACCTAAAACTACAAGAGATGGAAATTTAGTTTCTGATCTACACACCCACCTAAAGGATTTCAGATCCAAACTTGTCATTTTTTGGAACAAGTACAATCCAGCAACTTACGCACTCTCAGTAGTTCAAGGTCTTTACGGCTGAAGCAACCACTGAGTTCCCCACGTCATTTGCATACGAGATCATCAAAGACTTCAAGCTGCAGTTTCAGTAGCGGCTTTTTGACTTGGATTCAAAGGCAGAAAAAAGTGAAACTGTTTCAGAACCCATTTGAAGCAAATGTGGCCAGTTGCAAAGGTGAACTGCAGCTGGAGGTCATTAGAGACACGTTCAAAGAAGGGCGGGTGGGTTTTAATTAGTTTTTGCAAAAGGAAGATTTTCCTAATATTAAAACTTTTGCATCAAAGTACTTTTCAAATTTTGGAACAAGATACCTGTGTGAACAAATATTTTCAAGATTGAAATACGTGAAGAACAATTTGAGAGCAAACTTGGACCTCGAGTGTGATTTTGGTCACCGACAGTGTTTCTTTCATACTTTTTCCTCCGGGGAGGGGGGGGGGGGGAAGACGACACTTGAAATTTGTATATATTCCTATATAAATTTCGTTAAGGGGGGGGGGGGGAAACGGTACACGTTCTACGGGGGGGGGGGGGGCGCTGCCATCCCGAAGAGATGTCTTGAAGAAACTCTGGCCCCCGAACTGATATTTGATTGTTAATGCGGCCCTCGTGCTGTAAAGTTTGGAGACCGCTAGTATAACAAGTTTTAAGTGTTGTAGTATGACGAAATTAACACAGAGAAAAGTTTGTAACGTGACTCAGATATATATATATATATATATATATATATATATATATATATATATATATATATATATATATATATATATATACTGCCTTGAAAATTGATGTGACACTGTCACAAATTGATGTGACACTATCACAAATTGATGTGACACAGTCACACATTGATGTGACACTGACACAAATTGACGTGACACCATGTCTCCTGATGTTCCAGATATCAGTCAACAACAGTCATTTCTCGGAGTTTTGCCACCGTGTCTTCCCCTTGCAACGTGCTGACCAGCTGAACATCACAGGCGATGTACGCCTCACAGAGATTTGTTTTCAGTGAAAATATCCAGTTCAACGTGACAATATCACGTTCATCAAAAAAGAAATATGGCTCAGTGTGAAGATGTCACGTTAAACTACACGTTAAAGTACACTCATTTATACATGTAATGCACTTCAAATAATATCCCATTTTAATGTCAAAATAAAATAAGAATTAAAACAAAACTGAATTTTCAACTTTTAATCTTAACTTTGTGAAAATATGTCTAGTATTTTTATATCACACAAGATTAATAACAATGATTACAATATTGAAAAAAATCTTTAAAATACAATTGGAAATTACACCCAAAAGCGCGTGTCGACAGTATTCACCCACATTTGCCTCAGGGAAACAATACATCTAATGACATCGACTGAATACATTTACCTTAATTAACACCCACATTTTTGTTTCAACAAGTTACACAACTGCGTCGTCCAATAAAGACAGATAAGCAGTGGCGTAATTAATATACATGAATTTGCTAGAGTTATTTCTCTTGCCTCTTGTTAACATTGATATGAAATATGTTTGGTAAAACGTACATTTAAATTAAGATGCATAGAATCGTGCAATCTTTTTTTCTTCCAATTATTTTTTGGGCTAAAGTAATCCATAATGTCAAACGCAGATGGCGTTACCCCCTCCTTGAATACGCCACTCTTGCTTTAAATATTCGATGGTATTGTAAAAGAGGAAATTGTTGGGGAGAGGATGAGGTCATAAAAAATCAACTAAAAATAGCTTGATGTGTTTAATAGACAGATTTTTAAGAATGGCAGATGTACATTTATCAACATAGTTTATCGCTGAAGTTAGGTATTATTGTTAGTATAGCAATACATTTTAAAAAAATGAAACAGTAAAAAAAAATGATTTAGATCAACCAAACATCAAGCGATCGTACGGTGGATGTGGAAATCGTTACTGTACAAGTTTACTGTACCGCTAGCCAGCGTTGCCCACTCTCGCTCGCTGGAAAAGCTGAGAGCGCACGAGTGACCCACATTTGAGGGGGAAAATAGGATCTTAGTCGTTCATTAGGTACGAAACAAAAGGAATTCCCGATCGCTAAAAACAAAAACAGTAAGTAGTTGATAAGAATTTAATAGAGAAGCTACGCATAACTTAATATCTTACACTTAGGTGGTTACAAATGGTATTACAATACGTAATAGATGTAGATGTAAGCTATGTCTAGATATTGTGGGCCATAGCCATATTTACAAAGGTCAGCAGACAGCTGGTAAAACTAAGCAGACAACTGTACACTAGCCAAGATGACTAATGTCTCCTTGTGTCTGTGTGTCTAGCTCACTTAAACTATCATACCTACATACATATATAGGCCTATTTAAAGTATATAAGCCTTTATATATATATATATATATATATATATATATATATATATATATATATATATATATATATATATATATATATATATATATATATATATGGTTATATCTGGTAACATACTATTTATAGCGCAGAGAGGTGTATGCAGGAGTTGAGGAAGTGGAGAGGGGGTGTAAGAACCCTCATGGATTCCCCCGAAAATATGAATGTGAATAGTATCGTGTTTCAAGTTCCAATGTAAAAACGCCAACGAATGATTATTGTATGATGGCCTCGGAGTTTCCCAGCTGCTATAGGCCTACCACCTTCCTGTATCCCCCCCCCCCCCCACGCCCAATTAACTTCTTAGTTGTAAACTTGTAAAGATTTAAAGGGTTCTAAATTACTCAGACCAGTGGCGTAGGCAGGGGGGGGATGGTCAAAACCCCCCATAGACCCCTCGGTATATATATGAAGTATGAGGGGGGATGTAAATCGAAAGTTTGTAGGGGGAGGGTGCAAATCGAAAGTTTGTCCCCGGGTAAAAATTTGAACCCCCCCCCCCCCCTCCCCATGAGACGATCCTGGCTACGCTACTGACTCAGACATTAACAATGTATAGAACACCATGTAACCACGCCAGTAACTGCGAGTGTATTAACGCCGTGTATGACAAGTGGTCTCAGCGATCTCACATAACGTCCATTACATGTTGTTAGTGTTTCTTTCAGACTTTTTTCTCCGGTGGGGGGGGGGGGGGCACTTGAAACTTTCGGGGAGATCTATATTTTCCTGGGGTAGGGGTAAAAGTATATATTTTCTATATAAATTATATTTCGTTGGGAGGAGGGGGTGGCGGTGGTCTTGTCTTTGACAGGGGGGATGCCAGAAAGAAACACAGCATGTCGTCATCTTGGGACCGCAACAAGCAGGTTAGGATAAATAATCTCAAATCACGTCGCTAGTCATCATATGGTCCACTACATGAGTGTCCTTGAGACTCGCTCTGTTGTCGAGAGGTCACGCGAGTATAATCGTAACAAAACGTGTAAACACACTCTACACGACACACTGTCTTCAAATTTATCAACGGAAGTGATTACAATAAGAGATTGACGACTCGACACTAACACAGATTGTGTTTATTAAAACTACAAAGTATCCCTTTTTAAATCAGTGAAATTTGATGTTTTCCCACATGATCCATGCCACTGTTCTGTGACCCCTAGTCCACAGGCTGAGAACCACTGGCCTGAAAATATGTTTTAACCATGTTAGAAATCGTGATCTAACCGTGACGTTAAAGAACCTGTAGGACCTGACCCAACACATCCTGGTGGTAAAGTTACAGACATGTTTCACGTTGGCTAGAGGTTAAGATTAGCTAATAAGGACAAGCGCTGAAATGCAGTGTCTTAGTCAGTGTTAGAGAACTGTCGCTCGTAATTTAATAGATACATAAACAAAAATCCTCCTCAGTATCAATAGTCAAAGAATCAAGCAGTAACTATACACGGTGTCTGGTTCTCATGATGATCTCTGACCACATATGATGTTGATGTTCTATGAAACACCATTATGTTATCTTCAACATAAAAACCAACGAATACGGCTAGGTTTGACATCACATCAACACATAAACCAACTTATATTTGAAAACACATTCACAGCTGTGAGTGTAATGCCCTTATGTAATACATAGCCCAAGAATTCGGCTAGGTGTTTATGTGTATGTGTTACAAACGTTATGGTTAGGCTTGTATCGACATACGAGATAGTGACATAATAAATGAAAAATGCGATTTCAGCACAGTTTTAACTGTCTTTTAAAAGCCTTATAAAAATTCTTACACTTCCTTTGAATTCCCTGTAAAGTAAATACGCCTCCGTGCGGTCTATTTTTAACGGGCGTGGAAAGTACGACCTGAACAGCGATCTATGTTCATATTGTGTCCACTCGACCAGAACATGAACATTGCTATGGGGACATATGGACTGGTTTACCGTGTCGTTTAGTTTAGTTACCAGTAAACTGTAGTTTTCTGGCCATCAAATCCCGATGTCCACTAGCAATACACCATTTACGTATTTAGTAAACGTGACACATCTGTGGGTGTATGCAATGCATGACATCATTTAAGGACAAGCACTTAGCTTGTAAACCAGTGGTTGTTCTGCAGTGACGTAGTGTTACAACCACAATCGACCAGTTTGGTGCATTACTGTGCTGTGACTTGATATTATCTTTGCGACACCCGTGTTTTGCTTCTATAAAAACATGTATCGTTGTATGCCTCGCTTAAGGTAGACATTGGGTGTTTCAATTCATGTAACATTTATTCAGCACTTCTTGCATTTGCATTGTCAATAGTGTTTCTTTCAGCCAGTGTTTCTTCCAGACTTATTTCTCCAGGGGGGGGGGGGGGCACTTGAAATTTTCGGGGAGGGGGGCGGTAGACTTTCTTCGGGGGGGGGGGGGGGGGGGCGGGCGGGCGGACGCTGTTAAAAGTATATATTTTCTATATAAATTATATAAATTTCATTTCGTTCGGGGGGGGGGGGGGGGGTGGCGGTAAAAAAATTTCGAGGGGGGGGGGGGCTAGAAGGGATGGCTGGAAGAAAATCTGCTTTCAGCGTCTCTCCGGGGGTGCACCGCTCCCCCGGAACACGTCCACCTCCCGAACGAAATAGAAAAAAAAAATATAATCATAAAAAAAAAATACATAATTTAAATCCCCTTCCCCAGAAGTTTTAAGTTCCCCCTACCCCCACACGTACAAAATTGTCTGAAATAATGGTCTGATTATGAACAGAATAGTTACAAGCAAGAGTAATTCGACCATCATTAACAACTGATCATATCAATAAAACTTGTATAAAAGTCAGTTGACTGAACGATGACTGTACTTAAGTGTCAATGACTTGACCCTCAGATGTCAAGGTCATCAACCTCTATGCAACTGGAGAGCCACCCAATCTCGTTACGCCTGAGTGAATCCAAACACAAACTGATCTTTCCACTCCCTGCCCTCACCCACCCCTGTACCACCACTTGCATTTTTTCTCTAGGCGTTGGTGGCAAGCAGGGGGCTATAAATAAAACGGTTCATTCCTATGATTGACTGAACTTCTACGGAACACCGTTCTGAGTTGGGTAGGTGGTAGTTAATTATTTGCACCGTGCACAATTGGGTAGGTAGTTGGCAGTTATTGATTATATTTTTTCATCAATGAGGTTTATGTAGTTAATGATTATATAGATTCGTTATTGACTATAGATTTTAAATGATAATTATCATCTGCAGTTGTTTTTTGTAGCTAGTATGTGTTAAATGATCTTATTCTTGGACATGCTTAAAGTTTTAGGATAGCAAGCAGCTAACGAGTCACTAATGACTAGGTTTTAAATCACAGACTGTTGTAGCGTACACACTGCAGTGGTTGTATTTCAACCAGTTGGTAAGAGCAGATGTAGAATAAAGCACATTGTGTCACAGTGTAGACCCACTGGTCTAGTTTAACTGGTCACAACAACCTCTCTAGTGTTTCTAAACACACAACCTGTTGGAAATATTCACCCTTTCACAGTTCGCGTGTTTGTGTGGGTGTGTGAAGAGGGGTGAGTATGGGGAACTGAGCACACCACTAATAAATCGCTGTGCTTTTTACCTGTGCTGTGTGAACACATTTTTAAAGAGGAGCAGAATGCTGAAGGCACATGTGTCCAAGCATGGTTTTGTGTGTAGTTTATTGTCCGCACATTATGTGTCATCTACTGTCCACACATTTCTTGTGTGTAGTTGGCACATTTCTATGTCACTTGGGCATGTATGTGTACAGTCCACACATGGTTATATCTAGTCCACACACTTGCTTGATGTCAGTGCTGCTCTATGTGAATTTAATCACATTTGCATTTGTCTTTGTGATGCTAGCGTGATATTGGACAACCAAATAATCTTACCCCCCCCCCCTACACACACATTCTCCTCTGTATTAAAACTGTTGCTGTGAGGCCTGTGCTGTAATTTAAATACGTTTTTATCTAGCTCACTCCTCATCAAAGCCCAGAAGGACAATCGGACCAGCCTTTAACTTCCACAGGCCAGGTACAAGACAGCACTGACCAGTAGTAGCTATGGGTAACAATGTAAGTACACACATGATTTCTTGCAGTTTTAACTGTTTGCGTTTTTGAAATAGAAAAATCTAGTAACTTTTAATTATATTAGTGCCACTATGATTAAACGTTACTTTCTACCCCAACTCTTCTATCTATTGAGTTATATTAGAAACGTGCTTTGTTTCCGATGAGGAACGTCAACACACTGTGCTTACTTAAATCAACAGCTGAGAAAGCAAGCGAGTCCTGAGACATTTTTTTGGGTTAGGCTACATTAACATTTCTTACAACACAGTAGTTTGGGTTGTAGGCTACCGATCTCCCGAAACTTCCTGTATGTTAATTTGGCCTATTGTAAATGTAGTTTTATGGCTTTTACAAAGCCGGATGTCGCCCCACACACTATCGCATGATGGCGTGTAAAAAAAGGACTAAAATAATTATTAAAAATTAAAATTCACGACAATCAAAAATGTTTCACCATTGCGACCATGTAATGAATTTTATAATGCACATTTTAAGACATCATCTTACATCCTTGTCCAAAGAGGAAAAAATACCATCCCCCTACCCCCGAAAAAGAATAACCCCAATCGCCTTCGTATTTTTAGTGTTTCATTTCTTTGACGTGAGGATACAATAAAATTAAATTAAAAATCAAAATGAATGGGAGGCGACGTCAACGTCGGTACACGCAACATGAGAGGTGACGTCTGTACACCCAGAAGCGTAACGAGGGCGGGGTGGGGGGCGCGGACCACACCAGGTGACACCCTTGGGGGGGCGGTGACACCAAGGCAAAAAATCGCAAAATATACAGAGGAAAAATGCTTTTTGTCGGTTCCATAAATGATTAATTAAAGTTAAATAGTCTTTTATGTTCAAATGGACAATTACTGAAAGGGCGTGGGGGTGTCACCATGACATAAACGTGCTACCTATAGAGAAAACAATGCTACATCCAACTATATTATTAACAGACTATAGATAAATATCGTTACTATTAAGTCAACAGTGACTAACGCGTGTACATATACATGTACGCGTATGCGGCAAATATTTAAAATATAGGCCTATGTAGGCCGACACACCCATGTACTTATATATATATATATATATATATATATATATATATATATATATATATATATATATATATATATATATATATATATATATATATATATATATATATATATATGGGGGGGGGGTGACACGACGAAGTGCCGCACCGGTTGACACCCGACCCGGCGACGCCACTGGGTACACCTACGCTTTTACAACGTCAACATTCCAGCTAACGGGAGGGAACAATATAAGCTGATGTGGCAATTCAATGGTGTAAACCTGCAATCTTACTGGCAAAACAGGTCCTGAGGTAAAGTGCCCCCCCCCCCCCCCACACACACACCGTTACGATGACGAGTTATGGCTATTTTGAAACTAGGATTCTTCCTATTCCCCTGTCAAGGTAGACACATTTGCGTGTATAATTAGTTGAACCAGTTGATACTATTGACAACCTGTTCTCATAGAAATGGAACTCTTACACTGTAAGGGTCGACAACCCAGTGAGACGAGACGGTACATTGCAATCAAAGTTGGCGTGGTTGATCTATGATGATTTCGTGAACTATTTTGTTTATCATTCAAGTTGCAGGGCCTAGTGGGTTAATGTTCTAGCATGACCTAGTGGGTTAATTATCGAGTACATGACAGCATCTGGCTGTCTAGTGTGCTGATGAAGGGGCTACTTCAAATACCATGTTTGAGAACCGCTATCTTTCGGTGCCTCGCTATTTAAAGCCTTGTTAGCTAACCAGTTAATCCACCAGCGCTAGACATTAACTTTGAAGGATCTAGTTATTCTATGTGCTAACCATTCACAGTAAATGATCAAAGTAGCTGATCAAAGTGTAAAGTAATTAGCCCACATAGAAGGACGAAATTTGTAACAAACCACCCCCCATAGCAAATATTTAACACATACGATGCTGTATGTGCATTGGCCACCTAAGCTGCTTCACCCATGCACCTGAACACGATGGCTTTATGAGAACAAATGACACTGAAAAAGCTTTAAAAAATAATAGAATGAATTTCCCCCACAGATCCAGGTGCCATATTCAGGTAGACTTCCAAGTGGAGTCCAGGTGGGAAGTGAAGTTGTCATTGTAGGTAAAACCCCACCACATTTCGACAGGTGAATGATTAGTCCATTTCAATCATCTATTGTTTTATAATAACTTATTTAACAAATAAGTAAAGCAATTAGGGAGCGTAACTAAATAACCAATCTAGATGAATGTTTTTTCTTCTAAACCTGTATCTAAAAGTATGTTTTAAAATTTCCAGGTTCAGCATTAATCTGTGTACTGGACCTAACCTGGACCAAGACTGCGCCTTTCACTTCAACCCCAGGTACCATGATGGCCGAGTGGTCAGGAATCACAAGCAGGGTGGGAACTGGGGTGGGGAGGAAACGAATGGAGGGATGCCATTCAAGAAAGATCACAGTTTTGAAATCTACATCAAAGCAACTCAACAGGGGTATGAGGTGAGCCTGACATGTCCTTGACACTAATATTAAAGGGAGGGTCAAAGGGTAGCATAGTTATAAAACTTGTAACTTGTGTGCAGCTTCTATATTGAGTAGAAAATAATTGAAATAGTGAAATAAAATAATAAAAAAAAAAAATCTTTATTCTATTTTAAATTCAGTTTTTCATTATGATTTTATGTATGTTCTCTCTAGGTAAAAGTGAACCACGACCATTTTTGTAACTTCAATCATAGAATTCCCAAAGAGAGTGTCCAGTTTCTCCATATTGCAGGGGACTGTATAATCACATCAATCCAACCACTGGGAGGACAATCTGTAAGTTATAATTATGATATTGTTACGGTTGCCTGACTTTTTCAGAATTTATTTTGAAATCCAAAATTACATTTCCTTATTTCAAATAATAAAGTGCTACAACAAAGCCTCCTCAAATTACATCAAATTTTAAATTACTTCCCTGTATATTACTTCCCTTTAAACTACTTCCCTTGAAATTTATTCCCTTTAAAATTTGCCTGATTGGAATTTTTTTAGTTAAGAAAACCATACTAGAGATCTGATATGTCCAACTATTGGAGTAATATGTAGTCTATTTATATTTAGAGCTGGTCACCAAAAATATACATTCCTGAATAGTTCAATTTTTTAAAATATTGAAGCTCTTCTATGGGTGGCAGGGTTTTAAAATAAACTAAAGAAATTTTCACAATGGACTAGTACTAGCTACTGATGAAGTACACCACCATGGCTGCACATGTCTGTATCACATGATTTTGGTCATGTGTTTGCAAGGCGTCCATACTTGCGCATAGCCAGCTGTTAACAACATGATGATCATGTGACCCATTTAATTTTACACCATGGGATTTCTATATGACTCAAGAGCACATGACTCTGTTGACATGACCTAGATTTTACATCAGCATGTTACACAAGGGGAGTCTATTCTTTTGAAATAAACATTAAAAAATATACATAACCTTTTAGCCAACGTTAAATAAAATATAAGGACATAATTTTATTCTAATCATCTAATCAACTCTGAATTTAAAATTGTGATATTTTATTACAATTATCTAATCTAATTTGAATTACATCTATATATATATATACTTTTTGTGAAATTTTAATAGATTAAGTTATTAAGTAAGGAAATGATTTATGTTATTAAATCCTTGTTTTCTCTATTTCAAAGTATCATAATATAATTTGTCACCATAACTGTTTAAGTTAAAAATAAATCACTTTCAAATTATTAAAATTATCAGTTTTGCAAATAATAATGACTTAAGTTAATAATATTAGAAATGGACATGACCTAACTTAAATACATCTGAAGAATTGTATTCACAACTTCTTCTCATTTAACTTAATTTCCTATTCTACCAAGTAATTGCTCAAACTCCAGCTACAAACCACAACATTTTTGCTGTAGTTTTAATATCAAATTGATACAATGATCCCCTGCCCCCTCTATCTAGCTGGTTTAGAGACCAACATAGTGTACATTTGAATGTAACTTAAGATTTACTTTTCCTATATTACTAATTTTGACGCATCAACAATGCATCTAATCCATGTTTATCCAACATTTCTTTACAGTTTCCTGGCCAAAACTTTCCACCTGCACCAGGAGTAAGCTATGTTTTTTTTTAACCCTTGAGTGTACAGATGTATTAGAAAATAAATTCAAGATTTTTAACTTTTAATCTACAGACTTTGAAAATGATCTATTAATAAATAAAATCATCCCAGAATTTGTGTAAATATAAATGTATCTGTTTCAGTACCCAGCAGGGCAAAATTACCAATCTGCACCGGCACCAGGAGTAAGTTTTTGTTATTTACTATTTTGGATTATTAAATTTCAATAGGCCAATAGTATATTGTTTTAACTAGATTTTATTTTTCAAACATTTTTTAAAGTTTAAACTTCAAACTATTAATTTTTCAAACATTTTTACATGTTTTACAGTATCCTGCAGGACAAGGTTACCAACCTGCACCTGGGGTAAAATGTTATTGTTGAATAATTTTAAAATAAATTAGATTATTAAATTTCAATTGGCCTATAGTTAACTATAGTATTTTGTTATACTAGATTTTATTTTTCAAACTTTTTAAAAGTTAAAACTTCAAATTATTAATTTAAACATTTTTTTTGACCTGTTTTCAGTATCCTGCAGGACAAAGTTATCAACCTGCCCCAGGAGTAAGTTCAAATGTTTGACTATTTGTTTTCAAAAACTGTTACATGTTTAAGTTTTAAATGTTTAGTTTTGTATTCTTATAAACATTACAACCAAATTAAATTTACAGTATCCTATGTTTTCAAAAACTGTTACAAGTTTAAGTTTTTAATGTTTAGTTTTGTATTCTTATAAACATTACAACCAAATTAAATTTGCAGTATCCTGGTGCGCCAGGCTATCAAGCAGCTCCAGGAGTAAGTTTTTTTACTCTTCATTATTATAGATAGCAATGTGAATTTATGGCTTTTTGCTTTAACTTTATAACGCAATCTTGTCAAATTTTTTTAGCGACCCACTCAAACACTGGGTTTTTTTCAGACATTTTTCTCTGCGGGTGGGGGCGGAATGGTTAAAGTATATATTTTTATAAAATTATAATTTTTCATTTTTAATTATGGGGGTAGTGCTCTGGGGTGAGGGGGGGGGGGGGGTTGCACTGCCTTCTGAAGAGATGCCTGAAAGAAACTTTGCTCAAACATGATCACCAACTCTACACCCAAACCATCCCAATACATACTGCTTAACAACAACTCAGCTTCAAATAACATTTTCTTTTAATGCTTTTCTAAATTCCTTTCTGTAGTATCCCATGGGCCAAAACTTCCCTCCAGCACCTGGTGTAAGTAGACTAAATGTCTGACCCTAGTGTAAGTAGACTAAATGTCTGACCCTTGTGTAAGTAGACTAAATGTCTGACCCTAGTGTAAGTAGACAAAATGTCTGACCCTAGTGTAAGTAGACTAAATGTCTGACCCTTGTGTAAGTAGACTAAATGTCTGACCCTAGTGTAAGTAGACTAAATGTCTGACCCTAGTGTAAGTAGACTAAATGTCTGACCCTAGTGTATGTCTGACCCTAGTGTAAGTAGACTAAATGTCTGACCCTAGTGTAAGTAGACTAAATGTCTGACCCTAGTGTATGTCTGACCCTAGTGTAAGTAGATTAAATGTCTGACCCTAGTGTATGTCTGACCCTAGTGTAAGTAGACTAAATGTCTGACCCTAGTGTAAGTAGACTAAATGTCTGACCCTAGTGTATGTCTGACCCTAGTGTATGTCTGACCCTAGTGTATGTCTGACCCTAGTGTAAGTAGACTAAATGTCTGACCCTAGTGTAAGTAGACTAAGTGTCTGACCCTAGTGTAAGTAGACTAAATGTCTGACCCTAGTGTATGTCTGACCCTAGTGTATGTCTGACCCTAGTGTAAGTAGACAAAATGTCTGACCCTAGTGTAAGTAGACTAAATGTCTGACCCTAGTGTAAGTAGACTAAATGTCTGACCCTAGTGTATGTCTGACCCTAGTGTAAGTAGACTAAATGTCTGACCCTAGTGTAAGTAGACTAAATGTCTGACCCTAGTGTAAGAAGACTAAATGTCTGACCCTAGTGTAAGTAGACTAAATGTCTGACCCTAGTGTAAGTAGACAAAATGTCTGACCCTAGTGTAAGTAGACTAAATGTCTGACCCTAGTGTAAGTAGACTAAATGTCTGACCCTAGTGTATATCTGACCCTAGTGTAAGTAGACTAAATGTCTGACCCTAGTGTAAGTAGACTAAATGTCTGACCCTAGTGTAAGTAGACTAAATGTCTGAGCCTAGTATAAGTAGACTAAATGTCTGACTCTAGTGTAAGTAGACTAAATGTTACCCTAGTGTAAGTAGACTAAATGTCTGACCCTAGTGTAAGTAGACTAAATGTCTGACTCTAGTGTAAGTAGACTAAATGTTACCCTAGTGTAAGTAGACTAAATGTCTGACCCTAGTGTAAGTAGATTAAATGTCTGACCCTAGTGTAAGTAGACAAAATGTCTGACCCTAGTGTAAGTAGACTAAATGTCTGACTCTAGTGTAAGTAGACTAAATGTTACCCTAGTGTAAGTAGACAAAATGTCTGACCCTAGTGTAAGTAGACTAAATGTCTGACCCTAGTGTAAGTAGACTAAATGTCTGACTCTAGTGTAAGTAGACTAAATGTTACTCTAGTGTAAGTAGACAAAATGTCTGACCCTAGTGTAAGTAGACTAATTGTCTGACTCTGGGTTTAAAGTCTTGGTGCTTTTCATTTATTTCTTTTCATGCTCAAAGTTATGATAGTTCTCATTGGGAACATTGCTTGTTTTAATAGTAGATTTATCTAAAATTAACAGCAAATTTAGGTAATCTAAAATTAATAGAAGATTTATAATATGTAAAAGTAATATGTCTTATAATTAGTCTATAATTATTAAAATATTGATTAACTAATATTTAAAAAAAAACCAAAAAACAATTTGACTTTCACTATTTTGTTTTCCTTGTTAAACATGAACAATTAGTTTTAAAATAATACAATTTAAAAAATCTCACAGAATTGCTATACAAAAGACTTAATGATAATTGTTAAACTAAAAATTTTTTTAAATTCATTCTTTGTCTTTCTAGTTCAATGTCGGTCAAGGCTTCCCACCTGCATCAGGAGTAAGTTAAGCTTTTTTTTAAATATAGTTTTTTTGGTTCACTTCCAGGCCAAAGCAGCAAGCTATTGTGACTTTCACATTTTCACTGGACTGCTGTTTCAGAATCCATTAGATCCAGTTTGGGATTACATCAATTTTTCAGTTTCAGTTATATAGAAATCTTTAAAAATAATTTCACTTATGCCTATTACTATTACTTTTAAATATTTTCTAACTGATTTATTGTATTGTTAATAAAATGCTCAGCACTTATAATAATTGTGTGTTTCAAATTTATGATTATTAAATTGTTTTCAATTAGTTTACTTTTGCTTGTAATAAACTTAATTGTTTTGGAACTTTAATACTTTCTGACCATCTGAAGTATGCTCCAGACTTCCAAATAATTGTAAGCCTATATCTCTTCCAGCAAATACCATCATCTGTTCCAATCCAAGGGGGATTGTACCCAGGAAAGTTAATTTATATTTCTGGAGTTCCTTCCCCTAACGCAAACAGGTAATTTAAAAGTTGAATTTTAGCAAAAGGTGTTGTTAAATAGACCATTTATTTTCATTTAGTGTTTACATTTTTCATCAAACTTTATAGCTGAAAAAGTAGTTAATAGTTAGCCCATTAATTATTTTAACAACAAATGCATTCAAAACTACCAACCATTTGTCTTCTAAAATGTAGCCATTCTGAAAAACTAAGAAGCAATTTCTTTCTTTTTCAATCAAACAAATTAATAAAAAAAATTTGACCTATAACAGATATATCACAGGATATATATATAACTCAAACTAAGTGTTATTAAAATTCTTCACATATTGTGATGATATGTTTTGTTTATGCTCAATTTCTCCAGGATAACCAATTCTTCACATATTGTGATGATGTGTTTTGTTTATGTAACATTTCTCCAGGGTAACCATCAACCTGGCATGTGGCCCCAACGACGCGGCCGACATTTCTCTTCACTTTGACATCCGATTCAACTTTAATGGTGAGAGAAACCAGGTTGTCAGGACTCACAAGCAGAACGGAACCTGGGGCCCAGAGGAGAGACAGATGAATTATTTCCCCTTCATGCCAGGCACAAACTTTGAGTTGATGATCCTGGTTGAGCAAAATAGTTTTAAGGTCTGTAGATCCTGGCTGAGCCAAATAGTTTTAAGGTCTGTAGATCCTGGCCAAATAGTTTTAAGGTCTGTAGATCCTGGCTGAGCCAAATAGTTTTAAGGTCTGTAGATCCTGGCCAAATAGTTTTAAGGACTGTAGATCCTGGCTGAGCCAAATAGTTTTAAGGACTGTAGATCCTGGCTGAGCCAAATAGTTTTAAGGTCTGTAGATCCTGGTTGAGCAAAATAGTTTTAAGGTCTGTAGATCCTGGTTGAGCAAAATAGTTTTAAGGTCTGTAGATCCTGGCTGAGCCAAATAGTTTTAAGGACTGTAGATCCTGGCTGAGCCAAATAGTTTTAAGGTCTGTAGATCCTGGCTGAGCCAAATAGTTTTAAGGTCTGTAGATCCTGGCTGAGCCAAATAGTTTTAAGGTCTGTAGATCCTGGCTGAGCCAAATAGTTTTAAGGTCTGTAGTTCCTTACAAATACCTTAGTTTTAATAACATCATAGACTTGAATGTTCTACAGATTCTGACAAATACCTTTAGTATAATAATATTATAGATTTGAATGATCTACAAATGATAAAATAGTATTAGTGATAGTGTAGAATTAACTGTAAAATCAACAAGACCTGAGAAAGACACTGTCAAATAATGTCCACATTACTTCCTCCAGGTGGCGGTCAACAACCAACACTTTATAGAATTCGCTCACAGAATTCAACCATTTCAAAGAGCTGACCATGTCCTAATTTCTGGAGATATCACTACCAGTCAAGTTCGCTTCCAATAAATTAAATTAAATTTGGTTTCTTTAAGTAGGCAATCTAAAAATATTGATGAAAATATTTGAGTTTGGCGCAGTGCAACAATTAAAATAAGATGAAATTTTTATTGTTACATTTTATTTGTTTTATGCAAAATATTTATGATTAAAATAGACTGAAATTAAAACATTTTAATAGAATATTATGCTTTCACAGTAATTATTATACTGTTCATTTCTACTGTTGTATGTATAATAATATTGCATTCAAAAGAACTATTTTATTATTTAGAACTGTTTAATATTTAAAAAGTGTTTATGTCTTCACAAATGTTTATTTGTATTGTAGATAGTTAAATTATATAGAACTCACCCATTTCTAGATCTGTATATGCTTTATCTTGATACTTGTGATATTATTAAAAAAGCCTAAGATATAGGCCTAAATATATTTTTATTTTTGATTGAACTTAAAAAATGTATTTAAAAAAAAAATTGTGAATTCAACTGTACCATTCATTAAACTTGAAGCTCAGGATCTTTAACAGAAATGTATAGTCTGTTCACTATACGTTTGTGTTAGTCTGTTTCAGTATAGTTTGTAAAACAGACTATACATTTGTGTTAGTCTGTTTCAATTCGTTTGTACCCCTACGGTCAAGCCGGGTACTGGACGGTGGGGTACGAGTTTACCCTGTGTCCAGTGGGGTGGAAGATAAGCCTGGTGAGAAAAGAGGACAGAAGGGACCGAGACACGGTAATCAAACCGATATCCAAGCCAGTTAGTCGGAGTTTGTCGTGTTGAGGCCTGCCTGGCTAATAGGAGACACCTCCTGAGCTGGTGATGTCCGTAAAGAAAGCAAATAATTTGTGGGTGTTCAGTTTGTGGGGAGGGGAGAGAAGGGTAGGAGCAGGGGCTTATACATGTTGTGAAGATCTATGGTTTACGTAAACAGCAGATCTACAGATGCTCAAGTCGATTGATCCTGTGACGATAGGACGCCCCGTTCTGACTGGCACTGATATTGTGATCAGTAACAATTTGGGAAATACAGCACTGCAGTGTGTAGTCTTAGCAGCCCAATGAGATGTTTACATAACATACAGCTACAATGGGCATATAGTAGCCAACAGTTTAAAATCAGTGTTTCTTCCAGACTTTTTTCTCCGGGGGGGGCACTTGAAATTTTCGGGGGGGCGGTAGACTTTCTTCGGGGGGGGGGGGGGGGGGCGGACACTGTTAAAAGTATATATTTTCTATATAAATTATATAAATTTCATTTCGTTCGGGGGGGGGGGGGGGCGGTAAAAATTTTTCGGGGGGGGGGAAGAGATGCCTGGAAGAAACTCTGTTTAAAATTCCCAACTTCTTCAAGGTGGTAACTTGTGTAGCTGAAGCTATGTTTTCAATTGTATTTGAATTATCTCAGAAAAGCGTTGCTATGCTAAAATTGGTTCTAGGAGGAGCGAAACCCCCCCACCCTCCCCCGTCTGGTGAAGGTGGTAGTTTTATGCATGTATTCCTGAGGACGTGTCTGTAATAGGTCTACGTTAGATAACGTGAAGTCAATTATCAATTATAGAAATGGATTCACAAAAAAGTATGTCGTGAATAGTGCGTGTGTGGGCGTTCTTGTGAAGAGGGGTGAGGGTTTATGTTAGGATTGTAGGAAAAAAAGAAGTCACTTGAAAAAGGTCACAAATTTATATTTACTTTGAATTTATTAATACTTTTATACATTAAATATTCAGAGAGTGCAAGTCAACTTACAATTAATTAAATGTAATGTAGTGTGCATAGGTTGTATAGGCCTACGCATAGTAATTTTTATAACATTTAAAATATTTAGTATGAAGTATGTTTTACGTATATCATCTGACTTGCTGCCCTCAGCTCATTGCTACAATCTATATATATATAATTCTCTTCTTGGAGACGATAGAAAACACCAAGCTGTAAGCGCGTTCCCTACCACCCCCACCCCTACATGGTCTGGTGAGCTGTGGTTCACGCTAAATGTTTACAATCGTAGAGCCGGGCTTAGTGACGGCTATTAGGGGCTGATAATTTAGTTTGAAACTATTTGAATCTTAGGGGAGGTAACTAAGAGGAGTTTACTTTCACGGGAGGGGGGGGGGGGGTTATCGTCCTTAACGAGCTACTGATTGTGTTTTAAAGCAAATATTTTCAGTGGCAGCGTTGGTACTGTCGAATTCACAAATTATGAATTACTGAAAAATAGAAAATAAAACAACTAAATAGCGGCGGCGTATAATACGCCGCGGGTCGGCTCGTAGTTATTATTAGTTCAACCACATTTACTGCCCACATTTATCACGCTCATTACTGTCATTACATAACAAAGCATAGATCAAAACAGAAAGCCGACAAGGTTTAAAGGCTGTCATTGTCGCAAAACGTCAACAACACACACTATGGTCGAACTAGGCCGATTGAGGAGAAGCCGACCAGAGAATGGCCTACGGCGAAAAAAAAACATGCAAAACACAATGATGTGCCTATATTTCTTTTATATTTAATTTTTCTACCGAGTATTTGACTAAATACGTAACAAAAGTTGAGACTATTGTGTAAAATTATCTTAGAGTATCTTAGAGTATTTTTACTTACAATTGTTATAAACCATAATGCTTTTGACTTTTATAAATATGCTTTAAAAATACAACCCAAAGCAATAAACATCCAAAATTTTACAATTCTTAATAATTAAATCAAAACACATCCTATTTCTCAAAATATTTTTGTCACTTTTTTCCCGATTAAATTTTTCTTTGTGACTTTTTTGTGTGACTTTTTTTTCCTAGCTAAAACTAAAACTGACTTTTTTTCTGTTTTTTTTTTCCCTTGTGCCATTTTTTCCCCCCTTTCACCGAAGTTATAGGGCGTGGGTGGGCGAAAGTTAGGAAGAATTTATGTGTGTGTGTGTGTGGGGGGGGGGGGGGTATGATGCTTTTTCTTCCGAGTATTGTGTTCAATGAATTCCATCAGAGCTATACATTTTGTTTTGTATGATCGTCTAATAATCAAGTCTTATGCGACACAGTATCTAGGTATTTGAACAAACACAGCGTCTTCTACTCCACGCAGACATAAACAAGCACGTCCTAGCAAGCACGTCCTTGTTCACTGATACGCATGACTTGCTTCAACTCGCCCAGCTCCGCGTCCTGCGTCACCGTGACATCTGAGTCACGTGGTGCTGCTGCTACTTTCATAATGACTCAACGGCGTTCTAATTGAATTTCAAAGCTATGAATAGAACTGCACACATTCGAGGAAGAGATTGGGAGAATTTTAGAACGTAATACCAGTCAATAACTTTAAAAGCAGAACCCAATGCAAGCGACACGAGCGCGTGGTCGCCTATAGCTGTGGTGTAGCGTCTGACAGCTGCTGTTTTTCGGTCCATGGTGGATGGACTCTGACCCTGACTGCTAGTACCACCCTGCTAATTGGGATAACTCTACACATAGCAACAGGACAAACTAGCTTGCGCCAATTGTAAGTTTATAAAAATGGTCTCCTTTTAAATTTTTTTTCTAACCCACCTTATTTAACAGTCAAACTTTTAAAAACGTCATGTTTTGATGATAGTGGCGTAGCTAGGGTATTAGTATGCTGATGCGGACGTGCCACTCCCACCCCCCCAATAATTGATGCCGTTATGAAATGTTGCAGCATATATGGGTATAACATCAAAGAGGTGTCACTCCTCCCCCTCCCCCAATAGTTGGGTTGATGCTGTTATGAAATAGTTGCACTGTGCATGGGGCCCGCATCACACACACACACACACACACACACACACCCTTGCTGTGCTACTGTTTGATGGCATGCGGTGATAAGAAATTACGACTGTAACTTTATACTTAGATCTATGTGATGGACGGAGATGCCCTATTTTAAAATATTTATGCCATTTTATACAAATATGACAAATCGCGCTCAGTGTTTCTTTCAGACTTTTTGCCCCCAGGTGTGAAGGAAGGGGGTTGAACAAATATTCCGGGAAGGGGGAGGGGGCACTGGTAAAAGTATATATTTTCTAAATCAATTTCGTTCAAGGAACGGTACACTTGTTTCGGGGAAGGGCATTGCCCGTCCCTCCCCCAAGAGATGCACGAGAGAAACTATGATCGTGACCAGCCACCTTTCTTATTCCCCAGTCACCTTCGTTATTCCCCAGTCACCTTCGTTATTCCCCAGTCATCTTTATAATTCCCCAGTCACCTTCGTTATTCCCCAGTTTTCTTTAGTATTCCCCAGTCATCTTCGTTATTCCCCAGTCACCTTCGTTATTCCCCAGTCACCTTTCTTTATTCCCCAGTCACCTTTCTTTATTCCCCAGTCACCTTCGTTATTCCCCAGTCACCTTTCTTTATTCCCCAGTCACCTTTCTTTATTCCCCAGTCACCTTCGTTATTCCTCAGTCAGCTTTCTTATTCCCCAGTCAACTTTCTTATTCCCCAGTCACCTTCGTTATTCCCCAGTCACCTTTCTTTATTCCCCAGTCACCTTTCTTTATTCCCCAGTCACCTTCGTTATTCCTCAGTCAGCTTTCTTATTCCCCAGTCAACTTTCTTATTCCCCAGTCACCTTCGTTATTCCCCAGTCACCTTGCTTTATTCCCCAGTCAACTTTCTTATTCCCCAGTCACCTTCGTTATTCCCCAGTCACCTTCGTTATTCCCCCAGTCAACTTTCTTATTCCCCAGTCACCTTCGTTATTCCCCAGTCACCTTCGTTATTCCCCCAGTCAACTTTCTTATTCCCCAGTCACCTTCGTTATTCCCCAGTCACCTTCGTTATTCCCCAGTCACCTTTCTTTATTCCCCAGTCAACTTTCTTATTCCCCAGTCACCTTCGTTATTCCCCAGTCACCTTCGTTATTCCCCAGTCATCTTTATTATTCCCCAGTCACCTTCGTTATTCCCCAGTCATCTTTAGTATTCCCCAGTCATCTTCGTTATTCCCCAGTCACCTTTCTTTATTCCCCAGTCATCTTCGTTATTCCCCAATCCCTACTGATGAGAAATGCCGACTAGATACCATCTGAATAATTAAAAAAAATTAAATCAATAATTTCCCAGAAATGATTGCAGATAAATAAAACTGAAACTAACTGGGTCAACCAGTGTACTTCTACAGCCTGAACTGTGCATTCCGGATGTTATAGTAGTTGTTTTTCTAGACTGATGTAGATGTAGTTGCAGAATGTGACCTACATATTGTTTACAATTGGTAAGCTGCATTTTGTTCAATATAAATAAAATATTTTTTTAATCACAAAGTAAAAATATAACATGTGGTCTCAGGGGCGTAGCGAGGGGGGGGGGGGGGGGGGCGGGGGGTGCGGACCGCACCGGGTGACACCATTTAGGGGGGTGACACCAAGGCAAAAAATAGCAAAATATATACAGAAAATCTTGAGGGGGGGTGCAAATCGAAACTTTGAGGGGGGGGGGGGTTGCAAATCGAAAACTTAAGGGGGGGGGGGTGCAAATCGAAAACTTGAAAGTTTGTCCCCGGGAAGGGTACAACGCCTCTGGGGGGTGACACCATTAATTTGACGCACCGGGTGACACCCGACCTCGCTACGCCACTGTGTGGTCTAAGTATACGTTGGTTTTCTTATTTTAACAAGTCGATCACAATAAATAAATAAGTATAAAAACCTTTAATAATAGATTTTTTAACGCAGAAAATAATAAAGATAGGTGTGCTATAAACAGTGCCGGCACCAGGTTATTTAGCGCCCTAGGCAAAACTTATTAAAAGCGCCCCCCCCCCCTCAATTTTTTTTCGTGCCCCCGTATTATCAGAGGCGTAGCGACCCTTCCCGGCGCCCAGGGACCAACTTTCTATTTGCACCCCCCCCCCCCCAACCCATTTTGTCGGCAAGAAGTTAGTTTCTAACGTCGGATACTTGATCGAACAGGAAATTTTCTCCAAGGAAACACGGCATTAGTGCTAGCATCATATGAAGTCACATTAGAAATTGCCAAGCAAAAAAAAAAAAAATAACCTTACTCAATAATTAGGAGAAAGTCTCATCAAACCCTGCATGTTGAAGATGGTGAAATTAATTCTTGGAGATTCCAGTGCAGTAAAGATGCAACAACTAGCTCTGAGAAATCATGTCCTCAATTTTAGGGTCCTAGGGGCGTAATTTAATTAAGCTAATTACGGTCTCTAATTGCTAGTTTTTATGATTGTATCTGAAATTGTTAGGCGAAAGTAGCCTGCATGCCAAATTTCAGATCTCTAGAGCAATCAGAAGTGGGCTAATTTTCGATGTCAATTTTAACAACAAACAAACGCGAAGCTGAGTTAAGAAAAACGTGTTAAAATCAATTTTTCTTCCGACCCTAGGGGATCTACCAATGACTGCTCGTAGATTTTGTGCTTCCTCGAGCTGTGCAGGTTCTTGTGATGACTGTTCATACATTTGATGACAAAAAACGTTGGTCGGGCAGATTTATGATTAAAGCGAAAAGCACACAACACACGAACTTTGGAAATTTGATGGTGAACGTACACAAAATCTACGAGCAGTCATTGGTAGATCCCCTAGGGTCGGAAGAAAAATTTATTTTCTACTTTTTAGTCCACAAGAAAAACGTGGTTTTTTAAAAAGTTTTTTTAAAGTATTTTATTGTGAAGATATCATGGAGAAAACAAATACGTTTTTTTTTTAAACTGGATCATTAAAATGGGAAAACAGCTGTGGGGTTTGTACGGATAAATAAAAATTTGAAAGAGATGTCTGGGCATCTCGAATCTCTTGAAAACGCACTGCTGCGTTATTTTCCTGAGCTGAAAAAAGAAGAAACTGCATTGACACGTAACCCATTCTCTACTTCCCTTGATGTTGCCAACATTCCAGATGAATTACAAGATGACCTCTTACATTTGCGGAATGATTTCGCGTCAGATGAAAAACTGCTCACACAATTTTAGTGTAGTATGCACCATTCATTCCCAAAAGTTGTGTCTAGATATCTTTGCGAGAATAGATTTTTAACACTTCTCCAATTAAAAACAAAACAAAGAAACAAATTAAATGTTGAGAATGCCATGAGAATGACATGAGGTTGGCATTAACAAAAACTCAACCACGAAATTTGAGACTAGATAATAGCATGCGAAATTTAACTCATCGTATTAAAACAGTTATCAAGAATAATTCATATTGAAAGTAATAGAAAATCTGATTTTAGTGCTAATTGATTTTCCTTACCAATTTCGACTTTCCAATTCTATGGGGGTGACGGGACACTCGAAAAAGTATGTATATATATATATATATATATATATATATATATATATATATATATATATATATATATATATATATATATATATATAATATAAAAAATAAAAATTGTGAACTATAAAAAGCTTATTATTAAAGCAATATACTTATGTATTTTACTTTTTAGTATACACATTTTATGTTATATTGGGTTTCAGATCTTCTTTTCACGTATATTGATAGAGGTAAACAACTGGCCACAACAACATGAACGGGCTTATCCTACCCGGCACTGGGATAGCTGTAGACGTCTTCAACATAAAAGGAAGGAGAAAAAACTTCGTCCATTTTTTGACTCATCTTCACGGCGACCACACCGTCGGGCTGACCTCCACGTGGAGTAAAACCATCTACTGCTCTGAAATCACCGCTCTGCTCCTGGTCAACAAATTCCAGCTTCCATCTCACCTGATATCAGTTCTCTACCTGAACCAGGAGACCACGGTCCAGCTTGGTCGCCATGGCAACATGACTGTCACAGCACTAGACGCTAACCACTGTCCAGGAGCTGTCATGTTTTACTTTCAGGGCAGCTTCGGCCGTATCTTGTACACAGGAGACTTCAGAGTCTCCGAACATCTTCTCCAAGACTGTGGCTATTTGTCTGGAAAGATAGACCGGCTCTATATTGACAATACGTTTTGCAATCCAAAGTGTAATTTCCCAAGCCGGGAAGAGAGCATGAATGAAATGGTTCGGATAATCAAAGAACACCCCAGACATGATGTTTACATTGGTGTGTATAACTTGGGGAAAGAAGACATGTTGGCCAAACTTTCTGATATTTTCTCAGAGCGGATACACGTTTTACCCGAGAGGTATAAAATCTGTGAGATACTTTTCCCCAGAGATTATCTGTCACAAACTTTCACAACAAGCAACATGTCCCTGTGGTCTCGAATATTTGCAGTACCCAGATATCAAATCAATACTAAAATGATAAGAGATCGTAATAACTCTTCGCCAACAATTGCAATAATTCCGACTGCCATTTTTACAGGTAACATTGAAGAGTAACTTCTTTGAATACACAAATCTAATATATAAAGTTGAAAATTCTGTATGTATGTAATTATGTTTGTCGTGGATTACAAAGGAAAATAAGAAAATACGATACTTCCATGGATTCAAAAGTTAGATAATTAAAGTACTCATGGTCTAAATGCATGGTTTAAAAAAATAATACTGAAAGTGTTGTGAAATAATTTCATTTTTCAAACTGATAGTAATTATTGTCGACATGTTCATTTTTAACAACATTTTAAAAAAATATCATCTTTTACAAAAATTCTAATTATGTCTGAAAATTATTTATATTTAGTCCTTTAGCACTTATTTCCCTTTGATCAATTAGGAAAACACAATTACTTCCCTTTAAAGGCATTAAATCGGGTGGAAAAGAATTTACTTTTTATTACTGTGGTTTGGTGTTGGGGAAAAAAAAATTACATAATTAGCACAGATTAATCAAGTGCATATGGTAGGTATTTTTAATTCTGCATTTTATTTATTTCATACACTGAACGTAATGTTTACTAATTATTTTTTTAATCAAAGACATTTGACGTAAAAAAAGACATCTTTATTCGGGAACGGGAATTTGTACTTTTTTGCGCTTCGTTTTTGTCTGTCTTTTTTTGCGCACGAAGGGGAATTCGTTTTGGTCGGTCGCACCAGAAAGCTCTTTTATAGAGACCTGCTCCAAACTACAAGAAGATATACACTTTTATATAATAATAGCCATTAAGGTTTCTGTTGTGTTGTGTTTATGTTGTGTTTGTGTTGTGTTTAAGTTGTGTTTGTTTTGTGTTGTGTTTGTGTTGTGTTGTGTTGGTATTGTGATGGTGTTATGTTTGTGTTGTGTTTGTGCTGTGTTGTGTTGTGTTTATGTTGTGTTTGTGTTGTGTTTAAGTTGTGTTTGTTTTGTGTTGTGTTTGTGTTGTGTTGTGTTGGTGTTGTGTTGGTGTTGTGATGGTGTTATGTTTGTGTTGTGTTAGTGTTGTGCTGTGTTGTGTTGTGTTTGTGTTATGTTTGTGTTGTGTTTGTGTTGTGTTTGTGTTGTGGTTGGGTTTGCGTTTGGAATTGGTTTGTTTTCGTTTGCTTTTTTTTGTTTGTTTTTTTTTCTTGGTATTTATGTTTGTGGTTGTGGTTGGGTTTGTTGTTAGGTTTTTGTTTTCGTTTGTGTTTGTATTTGTAATTGTGTTTGCGTTATGTTTGCTTTTTTTTGTTTTGGTTGGTTGTGGTTAGGATGGGCAATGCCGGGTATATGATGATTACTAAACACACAGGTTATGGTCCTTAACAGATAGGTTTTTCACAGAGGCCAGAGCAGGGCCTGGCCCGGACGGCTAGTCTAATATATAAAGATCAATTCTGTATGAGTGATGTATGTATGTAGCGGACAGCGGATTCCAAAGAAATATGAGAAAATAATAGAATTCATCGTCATGGTGATATACGTCTAAAGTTCTCATCGTCTAAATTCATAATTTAAAAAATTAATATTGAAGGTGTTGTAAAACTATTTTCATTTTTCAAACTTAGAGGGATAATTGTCGGCATGTCTATTAAACAAAATAAAAAAAAAAACTGTATCACCTTTCACAAAATTTCTAATTGTTTCTGAAAATTATTTACATCTAGTTCTTTAGCACTCCTTGCAATGTTGTAGGTATTTTAAATACTGCCTTTTAATTATTCTATACACTAAACGTGCTGTTTACTATTTAATTTTTAAAATCAATAACAGTCAGGAAGCCAGCCCCTAAATGTCCTCTATGTTTACTTCTTTCCATTGTCGGATAAGCTTGTGGTTTTAAAATTGATGACTAAATTAAAATAGGCGCGTACGCCGGCGCCCCGCCACGGTTCGATTTGGCGCCCTGAGCTATCTAGTGAGCGTTATGCTGCATAATTTCGTTTTAAACAGTGCGATAGACTATGGATAAGAAAGGTTACTATAGTCTTTAAGTGAATCATATCCGGGCGTCAACCCCCCCCCCCTGTGCCCTGACAGGGTGCTATTTTGCGCCACGGGCCTGCCCGTGTTCGCTATGGCGCCTAAGTTCGTTTAGGTGAGTGCAAAAGACTATGAATAAGTTGGGGTACTATAATCCTTTGCTGAGCTGAAACAGGCGGTTCCGCCGGCGTCCCAGCATGGTGCGATATGGCGCACCGGGCTAGACTGTGAGCACTTTGCGTTTATGTTTATGTTAATGTTTGCGTTTGTGTTTTCTTTGAGTTTGGGTTGGGTTTGCGTTTGTAGTTGGGTTTGTGTTTGTGATTGGATTTAGTTTGCTTTTTTGTTTTCGTTTGTGTTTTCTTTGTGTTTGTGTTTACGTTTGTCGTTGTGTTTGCGTTTGTTTTTGTGTTATCGTTTGTGTTATGTTTGCGTTTTTTGTGTGTGTTTTGGTTTGGGTTGGTTGTGGTTAGGGTGGGCAATGACGGGTATATGCTGATTATTAAACACACATGTCATGGTCCTTTACAGATAGGTTTTTCACAGAGGCCAGTGCATGGCCTGGCCGGGACGGGTAGTAATTCTTTTTTTGTAAAACTTACAAATAATAATCTTTTATTTTCAGGTTGTTCCAAACCCTATGCACACAAAAACCTAATCTACGAAGTCCCATACTCTGACCACTCCTCCTACCCAGAACTGATGAAGTTTGTTGCCATGCTAAGGCCTGTCGTGGTATATCCTATTGTTAACACGCGTCGAGGTCCCTACGGTGAAGATTTTTCTGATAGGATTGATATGCAATGTTTTAACAAATTTCTCTCCCCCAAGCCTGTAAACAGTGTGGCCATCACAGGTTGGGACCCTAGCACGGTATGTGGTGTAACATACCCAGCTCCTAACAATGTTGTGACTTCTGGATTGTCACTAGACTACATTGTATGGAAAAACGCAAGACGTCGTCGTAAGTTAAGGTATCAAGAACTCGAAAGAAAAAGGAGAAAGAAAGGAATATATTATACTGACGAGATATTGCCTAATGATGAAAGAAGTGACAGTGGCCAAAGTATGCAACAGATGGCCCATATAATCAACACTGGTAGTGGCCAAAATATGCAACAGATGGCCCAAATAATCAACACTGGTAGTGGCCAAAGTAAGCAACAGATGGCCCCTAGTTACCACACTGGCCAAATTATGCAACAGATGGCCGATATAATCAACACTGGTAGTGGCCAAACAGATGGCCTATATGATCAACACTGGTAGTGGCCAAAGTATGCAACAGATGGCCCATATAATCAACACTGGTAGTGGCAAAAGTATGCAACAGATGGCCCATATAATCAACACTGGTAGTGGCAAAAGTATGCAACAGATGGCCCATATGATCAACACTGGTAGTGGCCAAAGTATGCAACAGATGGCCCATATAATCAACACTGGTAGTGGCCAAAGTATGCAACAGATGGCCCATATAATCAACACCGGTAGTGGCCAAAGTATGCAACAGATGGCCCCTAGTGACCACATTGGCCAAAGTATGCAACAGATGGCCCATATAATCAACACTGGTAGTGGCCAAAGTATGCAACAGATGGCCTGTACAGACTATATTGTGATTGACTAAAGATTCATTCACCATGAGATGAAGTTTGTCTTTAGAATTTTTAGTAAATATTCAAAAGATGGCCATCCGTCTGCTCAACGCTGCCGTCTTCACTAGCCCTGATCCAATAAAAGTAATGGTAGTGATAAACAATCTAATTAATCTAATTTACATGTACCCTACCTTGATAGAAAGATAAAACTTATTTTTCGGCTAGATGAAGAAGTAAGTGTTTTCCTGTCCTGTACGCACACCAGACTTAAAGACTACCAGGAACAAAAGCTCAACTAAGTAAGCAGTCTTTAACACTACCATTCGACCAAGCTATATTATTTCTTTGTGATTATCGGGGCAATTAAGCGCAAGTGGGCGTCTTTATAATTTCTGACAAGGCTATATATTTAAGGCATTTTTTTTTACACACATACGTTTTTAAAACTATTTTTTTTTAACTTATTATTTAAAACGCCGGCATTAACATATATGTCACGGCATTTTATAACATGTTATAACTTTATATAATAATAATAATACATAATTTTATAAGCAAACTGCAATTTGTTGGTTGTTCATTAGCTTTATCAATTAAAACATTTTAAAAAAGGTGAATGCTAATGGTACATATTTTGAATGACTGATACGTGTGTATACGTGTGTCTGTATGTATCTGCGTGCAGGGTGTGACACCCTCACTTACTGTACTGGGTGATACTGGACCTTGTGACGCCACTGCCTGTAGGCATCTTACGGTTTGACTGCAGTTAGATAAGTATGAGCTGGGTGCGTTTGTGTATCTGCATGTATATTTACTAGTTGTATGTAACCGCGTCCGTGTCTCTGCATGGTGTGTATTTTTATGCATGTATCTGTGTAGGTGTGTATCAGTATCTGTATCTATCATATACTCAAGTTACTCTACATCAAGGTGTACCCACCGACTTCTCGACATGGAGATGACCTCATGAGGTAAACAGACGTGATGTAGGTCACGTAATATCATACCAAAGTCAACTCATACATCTGGTATATCAAAATGTGAAGCTAGACATCTATATATATATCAAAATATGAAGCTAGACACCTATATATCAAAATGTGAAGCTAGACATCTGGTACATGAAAATGTGAAGCTAGACATCTATATATCAAAATGTGAAGCTAGACATCTGGTACATCAAAATGTGAAGCTAGACATCTATATATCAAATGTGAGGCTAGATACAACACCATATGTGTTTACTTAACGACTTATCAGCACGCGATAAAGCCAGTGGTCAGTTTTCTTGATACATTTTTGTAGATTTGTCGATTATCGATACTCTCGGATTTGATTTGCTGGTTATCGATACTTTCGGACTTGCTTTGCCCAGCTTATGCCGCCCACCATTACCCTTAATTCGACCAGTAAAAAAACAATATATATAAACCCCCATAAAACATATTTCTTATGCTTTAATTCTAGAATATTAATTATTCCTTTCAATCGGCCCTGCAAACGGTTTCAGTAATTTTACACGTGTAGTATCGCATACAATATGTCTCTGTTGTTACCGAGTAAACAATCTGTTAGAAAATCTATTATGTAGCATATACCATCTATAAACCAAGCTAAAAAGTATTAAGTAGGCCTACACCAAAAATATTTTTAAAATATTAATTGAGCTAACCTAAATAGTTAGACCGGAGTTGTAAAGCGGATACCTGGTGCTTAGCCACCACAAAAACCTGACAACGCCACCATTAAGAAATTCCCCCCCCCTCATATTCCCCCCCCCCCCCATTATGTTTGTATGGGATTAACCTGCAGGTTTAGTTAAATTTTTTGTTTTTCAAATTTGTCGTAATGTCTACATATGAGGGGAGGTAACAGGACCAAAGACAGATTTTACATTTTATTCTCCCCTGTGACCCTTAAATCTAGATTTTAGTTATGACTTACAAAAAAAACACATATTTTTCTCCACGGAAAACTGTTTTCTGAGAATCAGTTAATTTATGCGCAGTGTTTCACCAACATTTACTACACTTTGAGCGGCTATACACGAGCAATATCAAAAGCACGTGAAGTCGGCGTGTGAGTCGAATTTAGCCCATCGTTTATTATATATATATATATATATATATATATATATATATATATATATATATATATATATATATATATATATATATATATATATATATATATATATATATATACTGACTAGGCATACTGCCTAACTTCGCATAGGTATTCGAAAAAACCAAAGCCGAATATATAGCCCTATAAATAACCCCTATACTAATACTAACCTATTCTAAATGTAACACTATTTCTAATTAAAAGCGAACGTTTCAATTGAAGATTGTCATTCCACTTGTTTGCTTACTTTGTTTTCCTAACCGATGTGTACTATTTTAAGTGCAAAGGCGTGGATCGGGAGGAGTGGAAGGGGTTAGCTGTCCCAAAAATATCGAGTTCGAATACCGAACCGAGACCTGTAGGATGTACCTCAACCCATTCAGCCGTGACGGGTTTATATCGTTAGGGAAAGCAAAGGTGGCTGAGCATGGATCTTAACAGACTATATCTTATATGCCGAGGACAATATAGAAAGATGAGATCTACTTCACCTACCACGTGAATTGCAAGTTCTGAAATCCAACAAAAACATATTATAATTTAAATAACCACTTAGAAGAAAATTGTTTTCTGATGGGAAAGGCTGATTATTTTGTTTCTCTTTGCTAGTAACTGAATGAATTGGTCGGAAAATTGTTACTTAAATCACCAATGTTGAAAGATTTGTTTAATCACTCATCTAAATGATACATAACTAAATAAGTAAGTTTTACACCTCCCTGATAAATTATAACAAATCGTCCCCAACCAACTGCGCAATTATTTCGTCTGAATCGCATCCTGAAATCAATAATTTCCCGGAACTAAAGCCTGATGAAATGAAACAGCAAAGCCTGAAAAAGCCAGTATAGTTCGAAGTCGTGGCTACGAGCATCTCCCAATGTAGCACTGTTTTTAGTGTTTATATCTTATTGGATAACGCAACTTACATCTTGTTTACACGCGGTAAGCTACATTTTTTTAAACAAAATTTAAACACAAGCTAAAAATAGAATATGTCGATGTGGTCAATATTGTAAAGGCGCCAGCACGCCGCTGGTGTGCGGATGAGCGCGCCATGGCACGTTTAAACAAAACAGTAAACAGGTAACAAACACAACACTAACACCAAGGCTCGTCTATTGTAACAACGATTAGGTTAGGTTTGCCTGTCGTACCTACCGGGACATAGGCCGCTAACAACGTTTACGATCTTTAATAAGCAATTTACACTTCACAGAACAGAGAAACACAGTCTGTTGTAACTAGCACACACCTTGACACACCGTGATTCCTTTACACTAGGATGTCTCCTACTGGTGTTTAGTCTACCTACTAAAATTCAGTGGCGTCGACTAGATAACCTATTATCTAGCATAAATCTAGGGTGGGTTTAACAGGCTCCAACAGTGGAGTGAGGCCCCGACTCAAACACTTTCACCCATCCTCCTAAACTTGAACTGTCTACCTGAACAAACTGGGGGACAATATGACGACTGACATCTCATAGCAAGGGAAGTGAACAGTAGTGATAGCGAGGTTAACCAGTTCACATTAACCCAATCACACTTAGTCTATCTTTCTCTACAGAATGTTTTTAAGTGACTGGTATCTTATGAAAAACAATGTGAACAAAAAATCTCTGCAAGAAATTAAAACATTTTGACCACACATAAAAAACCACAACAAAATAATAAAACAAACAAACAAACAAACAAAAAAGAACTTTTGAATTTTTGAATATAATATATTTAAAAAAATAAAACTTTTAATATTTCTTGGTAAACAATACGCAAAGCTCACACTATTCTTATTGGTTTCAGGTCTTTTAACACCCACAAGTTGTCTCTGTTTTGTTAGCCACATCGCCATGAATGGGCTTATTCTACCCGGCACTGTGATAGCTGTAGACGTCTTCACCATAAAAGCACGGAGAGAAAACTTCGTCCATTTTTTGACTCATCTTCACGGCGACCACACCGTCGGGCTGACCTCCACGTGGAGTAAAACCATCTACTGTTCTGAAATCACCGCTCTACTCCTGGTCAACAAATTCCATCTTCCATCTCACCTGATATCAGTTCTCTACCTGAACCAGGAGACCACGGTCCAGCTTGGTCGCCATGGCAACATGACTGTCACAGCACTAGACGCTAACCACTGTCCAGGAGCTGTCATGTTTTACTTTCAGGGCAGCTTCGGCCGTATCTTGTACACAGGAGACTTCAGAGTCTCCGAACATCTTCTCCAAGACTGTGGCTATTTGTCTGGAAAGATAGACCGGCTCTATATTGACAATACGTTTTGCAATCCAAAGTGTAATTTCCCAAGCCGGGAAGAGAGCATGGATGAAATGGTTCGGATAATCAAAGAACACCCCAGTCATCATGTTTACATTGGTGTATATAACTTGGGGAAAGAAGACATGTTGGCCAAACTTTCTGATATTTTCTCAGAGCGGATACACGTTTTACCCGAGAGGTATAAAATCTGTGAGATACTTTTCCCCAGAGATTATCTGTCGCAAACTTTCACAACAAGCAACATGTCCCTGTGGTCTCGAATATTTGCAGTACCCAGATATCAAATCAATACTAAAATGATAAGAGAACGAAATACCTATTCGCCAACAATTGCAATAATTCCGACTGCCATTTTTACAGGTAAAATTGAAGAGTAACTTCTTTGAATACACAAATCTAATATATAAAGTTGAAAATTCTGTATGTATGTAATTATGTTTGTCGTGGATTAAAAAGGAAAATAAGAAAATACGATACTTCAATGGATTCAAAAGTTAGATAATTAAAGTATTCATGGTCTAAATGCATGGTTTAAAAAAATAATACTGAAAGTGTTGTGAAATAATTTCATTTTTCAAACTGATAGTAATTATTGTCGACATGTTCATTTAACAACATTTAAAAAAAATATCATCTTTTACAAAAATTCTAATTATGTCTGAAAATTATTTATATTTAGTCCTTTAGCACTTATTTCCCTTTGATCAATTAGGAAAACACAATTACTTCCCTTTAAAAGCATTAAATCGGGTGGAAAAGAATTTACTTTTTATTACTTTGGTTTGGTGTTGGGGAAAAAAAATTACATAATTAGCACAGATTAATCAAGTGCATATGGTAGGTATTTTTAATTCTGCATTTTATTTATTTCATACACTGAACGTAATGTTTACTAATTATTTTTTTAATCAAAGACATTTGACGTAAAAAAAGACATCTTTATTCGGGAACAGGAATTTGTGCTTTTTTGCGCTTCGTTTTTGTCTGTCTTTTTTTGCGCACGAAGGGGAATTCGTTTTGGTCGGTCGCACCAGAAAGCTCTTTTATAGAGACCTGCTCCAAACTACAAGAAGATATACACTTTTATATAATAACTAGGCATGCTGCCCAGCTTCGCTTAGGCTTTCGAAAACATTGAGAATTTGAATGCTTAATTAATTCGCCCGAAGGTCGGTCTACGACCTCAAGAGTTATGAAGAGGTTCCTCCGTGGACATTTTTTTTCGATTTATAGCTCATATAAGGTACCGGTCAGTCGAGGTCAGTTTTGACCCCCACATCGTAGACTTTTCGGCCAACCGGCCCCCGTGTTCTGTCGCACCAAGGCAAGATCATGCCAAATTTGAAGTGCCTGCGGCGCCGGGAAGTGCCCTATCGGACACCCGACAATCTAGAATCTAGATCTAGATCTAGATTCCTAAAAGAATTTTTTTTTTAAGTTTAGCCCGAGCATAATAAAAAAGAATACATTAACCAAGTTGACTTGCTGTGTCTCGAACCCGCACCACCTGCGTGGTTTAATGTACACTAACATCTCCGCTATTTAGGCACCTTATAAAATACGGAGAATGAAACACGTATTTTAAAATCTTAACTTACACGAATATGCCTATTCTTTCAAATTATTTTTTTATCCCAAATTAGCCAGTTCATAACAAAGATTTTGTATAAAATAAATAAGTCTTGAAATAGTTTAGTCCTAATATAGAAATTTATTTTTGGAATAGATTTTAGAGAAGTTAGAGTCTAAATCTAGATCTTAGCGTCTACGTCTAGATTATAGATCTAGTTATTGCGTAGATTTAGATTTAGTCTAGATCTAGAATCTCTAGATCTAGAATCCAAATAAATAAAATAAATTTTATGAGTTTAGGCCGGAAAAACTGTATTGTATACATTTCATAGTGTACGTAGATCTAAATCAAATTTGAATGAAATAGTTCATTTCTTTTTATTCAAAACACAGCAGATGACGTCATTAGTTAATGTATAAGCAATAGCGACGTCACAGTTTTATGCGTTCTTTTTCACATGTATTAATGCTTTTCCGGTTGCATAAATAATACTGTTTCTCTACATTCGAATACGCCTTTAATTTTTATTTTTCTTCTTTAAGTAAAATTGTGGTTATACATTTAAAACATCTAACATATTATTTTCAACAAAAGTCCGTAAAAAGTTCTCGATATATCGCTGCCGATTCTGACGTGATGTCCGGCGAAAATTTTTTGCGGACAGAGAAAGAGAGAGAGAGAGAGAAGAGCGCACATGGCCTTTTATAAATTAGGATAGCCATTAAGGTTTCTGTTGTGTTGTGTTTATGTTGTGTTTGTGTTGTGTTTAAGTTGTGTTTGTTTTGTGTTGTGTTTGTGTTGTGTTGTGTTGGTATTGTGATGGTGTTATGTTTGTGTTGTGTTTGTGCTGTGTTGTGTTGTGTTTATGTTGTGTTTGTGTTGTGTTTAAGTTGTGTTTGTTTTGTGTTGTGTTTGTGTTGTGTTGTGTTGGTGTTGTGTTGGTGTTGTGATGGTGTTATGTTTGTGTTGTGTTAGTGTTGTGCTGTGTTGTGTTGTGTTTGTGTTATGTTTGTGTTGTGTTTGTGTTGTGTTTGTGTTGTGTTTGTGTTGTGGTTGGGTTTGCGTTTGGAATTGGTTTGTTTTCGTTTGCTTTTTTTTTTTTTTTTCTTGGTATTTATGTTTGTGGTTGTGGTTGGGTTTGTTGTTAGGTTTTTGTTTTCGTTTGTGTTTGTATTTGTAATTGTGTTTGCGTTATGTTTGCGTTTTTTTTTTTTTTTGGTTGGTTGTGGTTAGGATGGGCAATGCCGGGTATATGATGATTACTAAACACACAGGTTATGGTCCTTAACAGATAGGTTTTTCACAGAGGCCAGAGCAGGGCCTGGCCCGGACGGCTAGTCTAATATATAAAGATCAATTCTGTATGAATGATGTATGTATGTAGCGGACAGCGGATTCCAAAGAAATATGAGAAAATAATAGAATTCATCGTCATGGTGATATACGTCTAAAGTTCTCATCGTCTTAATTCATAATTTAAAAAAATAATATTGAAGGTGTTGTAAAACTATTTTCATTTTTCAAACTTAGAGGGATAATTGTCGGCATGTCTATTAAACAAAATAAAAAAAAAAACTGTATCACCTTTCACAAAATTTCGAATTGTTTCTGAAAATTGTTTACTTCTAGTTCTTTAGCACTCCTTGCAATGTTGTAGGTATTTTAAATACTGCCTTTTAATTATTCTATACACTAAACGTGCTGTTTACTAATTAATTTTTAAAATCAATAACAGTTAGGAAGCCAGCCCCTAAATGTTCTCTATGTTTACTTCTTTCCATTGTCGGATAAGCTTGTGGTTTTATAATTGATGACTAAATTAAAATAGGCGCGTACACCGGCGCCCCGCCACTGTTAATTTGGCGCCCTGAGCTATCCTGTGAGCGTTGTGCTGCATAATTTCACTTTAAATAGTGCGATAGAATATGGATAAGAAAGGTTACTATAGTCTTTAAGTGAATCACATCCGGGCGTCCCCCCGGTTCCCTGACAGGGTGCTATTTGGCGCCACGGGCCTTCTCGTGTTCGCTATGGCGCCTAAGTTCGTTAAGTTGCGTGCAAAAGACTATGAATAAGTTGGGGTACTATAATCCTTTACTGAGCTGAAACAGGCGGTTCCGCCGGCGCCCCAGCATGGTGCGATTTGGCGCACCGGGCTAGACTGTGAGCACTTTGCGTTTATGTTTATGTTAATGTTTGAGTTTGGGTTGGGTTTGCATCTGTGGTTGGGTTTGTGTTTGCGATTGGATTTTGTTTGCTTTTTTTTGCGTTTGTGTTTTCTTTGTGTTTGTGTTTACGTTTGTCGTTGGGTTTGTGTTTGCGTTTGTTTTTGTGTTTTCGTTTGTGTCTGTATTTTTGCTATCGTTTGTGTTATGTTTGCGTTTTTTGTGTGTGTTTTGGTTTGGGTTGGTTGTGGTTAGGGTGGGCAATGACGGGTATATGCTGATTATTAAACACACATGTCATGGTCCTTTACAGATAGGTTTTTCACAGAGGCCAGTGCATGGCCTGGCCGGGACGGCTAGTAATTCTTATTTTGTAAAACTTAAGAAACAAAAATTGAAATAATCTTTTATTTTCAGGCTGTTCCATGCGCAATGCACACAAAAACCTAATCTACGTAGTCCCATACTCTGACCACTCCTCCTACCCAGAACTGATGAAGTTTGTTGCCATGCTAAGGCCTGTCGTGGTATATCCTATTGTTAACACACGTCGAGGTCCAAATGGGGAAGATTTTTCTGATAGGATTGATATGCAATGTTTTAACAAATTTCTCTCCCCCAAGCCTGTAAACAGTGTGGCCATCACAGGTTGGGACCCTAGCACGGTATGTGGTGTACAATACCCAGCTCCTAACAATGTTGTGACTTCTGGATTGTCACTAGACTACATTGTATGGAAAAATGCAAGACGTCGTCGTAAGTTAAGGTATCAAGAACTCGGAAGAAAAAGGAGAAAGAAAGGAATATATTATACTGACGAGATATTGTCAGATAATGCACGCAGCGACAATGGCCAAAGTATGCAACAGATGGCCCATATAATCAACACTGGTAGTGGCCAAAGTATGCAACAGATGGCCCATATAATCAACACTGGTAGTGGCCAAAGTATGCAACAGATGGCCCATATAATCAACACCGGTAGTGGCCAAAGTATGCAACAGATGGCCCATATAATCAACACTGGTAGTGGCCAAAGTATGCAACAGATGGCCTGTACAGACTACATTGTGATTGACTAAAGATTCATTTACCATGAGATGAAGTTTGTCTTTAGAATTTTTAGTAATAATTCAAAAGATGGCCCTCCGTCTGCTCAACGCTGCCGTCTTTACTAGCCCTGATACAATAAAAGTAATGGTAGTGATAAACAATCTAATTAATCTAATTTAATTGTACCCTACCTTGATTGAAAGATAAAACCCATTTTGCGGTTAGATGAAGAAGTAAGTGTTTTCCTATACGCACACCAGACTTACAGACAACCAGGAACAAAAGAACAACTAAGTAAGCAGTCTTTAACACTTACATTCGACCATATCATTTTATTATTTTTGATAATCGGAGCAATTAAGCGCAAGTGGGCGTCTTCATAATTTATGACAAGGCTATATATATATATATATATATATATATATATATATATATATATATATATATATATATATATATATATATATATATATATATATATATATAGTTTTTTTTTTTACACACGTACGTTTTTTTAAATATTTTTTTTTCAACTTATTGTTTAAAACACCGGCATTAACATATATGTCACGGCATTTTATAACATGTTATAACTTTACATAATAATAATAAAACATAATTTTATAAGCAAACTGCAATTTGTTGGTTGTTCATTAGCTTTATCACTTATAACTTTTAAAATAGGTGTATGCTAATGGTAGGCCTACATTTGAATGACTGATACGTGTGCATATGAGTGTCTGTACACGTGTGTCTGAATACGTGCAGGAGGTGACACCCATCCTTACTGTACTCGGCGACACTGGACCTAGTGACGCCACTGCCTTTAGGCATCTTTCTGTTGGTGTGGAAAAGCTTGAGCTGCGATCAGCTTGGGTGAGTTTGTGTTTCTGTGTATTTATTTAGTAGCTCTATGTAACTTCGTCGGTGTGTCTCTGCATGGTGTGTATCTGAGTAGGTGTGTATCTGTCTCCAACATATACTCAATTTACTCAACTTTAAGGTGTAACCACCGACTTCTCGACCTGGAGATAACCTCATGAGGTAAACAGACGTGATGTAGGTCACGTGTTGCTATACCAATGTCAACTCACACATCCAGTATATCAAAATGTGAAGCTAGACATCTAGTATATCAAAAAGTGTAGCTAGACATCTGGTATATCAAAATGTGAAGCTAGACGTCTGGTATATCAAAATGTGAAGCTAGACATCTAGTATATCAAAAAGTGTAGCTAGACATCTGGTATATCAAAAAGTGTAGCTAGACATCTAGTATATCAAAATGTGAAGCTAGACATCTAGTATATCAAAAAGTGTAGCTAGACATCTGGTATATCAAAAAGTGTAGCTAGACATCTAGTATATCAAAATGTGAAGCTAGACATCTAGTATATCAAAAAGTGTAGCTAGACATCTAGTATATCAAAAAGTGTAGCTAGACATCTAGTATATCAAAAAGTGTAGCTAGACATCTGGTATATCAAAATGTGAAGCTAGACATCTGGTATATCAATATGTGAAGCTAGACATCTAGTATATCAAAATGTGAAGCTAGACATCTGGTATATCAATATGTGAAGCTAGACATCTATATATAAAAAAAAGTGAAGCTAGACATCTGGTATATCAATATGTGAAGCTAGACATCTGGTATATCAAAATGTGAAGCTAGACATCTATATATCAAAATGTGAAGCTAGACATCTATATATCAAAATGTGAGGCTAGACATCTGGTATATCAATATGTGAAGCTAGACATCTATATATCAAAATGTGAAGCTAGACATCTGGTACATGAAAATGTGAAGCTAGACATCTGGTACATCAAAATGTGAAGCTAGACATCTATATATCAAAATGTGGGGTTAGATACAACACCAAATGTGTTTACTTAACGACTTATCAGCACGCGATAAAGCCAGTGGCCATTTTCTTGATACATTTTTGTTGATTTGTCGATTATCGATACTTTCGGGTGTGATTTGCTGGGTACTAATACTTTAAAATATAATTTGCCGTGTATCGATACTTTCGGACTTGCTTTGCCCAACTTATGCCGCCCACCATTACCCTGAATGCCAAAAATAAAATAAACCGGGAGTGATCTCCCCTAAACTTTCTCGAATATTTTTATATAAAATAACAGGGGATGGGAACTCGGGCTATAGACATGATTTTTAATCCACTTTAAATACTTAAAGTTTTAAAAATAGAATAAAATCTCGTAGACAAAAGAATTGCACTCCAAGTGAACGCTAAATAAAAAAGCGCATAATAGTGCGCAATATTATTAGTACTTTAAAAATTTACATTAGTTTTTTGAGAAATCGGAAGTAGCGTAAATTACTACTTCCGTTCAACGGAAATGACTCAAAATTTAACAGAAGGTAGAGAATTAGATCTTTTACTTACATGTGAAATTTTGTTTATCTATCTGAAATAGTACTCAAGTTATAGGCTTTTGAAAATTTCAAAGTAGGAAAAGTACCACTTCCGGTTATCAGAAATCGCTCAAAAGTTGATACGGATTTACGATTTTGATAAAATACTTATATATGAAATTTCATCAACCTAGCTGTAACGGTACTCAAGTTATCGTGTTTACACACGGACAGACAGACAGACACACAGACAGACACACAGACAGACACACAGACATACGGACAAGATTGCAAAATTATGTTTTTCCGTATCAGTGAGATGTAAAACGTCGAGATTTGTAAAAATCTCGATTTTTGTTTTTTGCACGATTACAATACTTTCTCTATACTTCGTATATACGAGAAAGTAAATATAAAAACAAATTTATTATGCTTTGATTCTAGAATATTAATGATTCCTTTCAATCGCCCTTGCAAACGGTTTCAGTAATTTTACACGTGTAGTATCGCAATATGTCTCTGCTGTTATCGAGTAAAGAATCAATTAGAAAAATCTATTATGTAGCATATACCATCTATAAACCAAGCTAAAAAGTATTAAGTAGGCCAAAAATATTTTTAAAATATTAATTGAGCTAACCAAAAACAGACCGAAGTTGTAAAGCGGACAACTGGTGCTCAGCCACCACAAAAAACCTGACAACGCCACCATAAAGATATCCCCTCATATTCCCCTCCCCCCCCCCCATTATGTTTGTATGGGATTAACCTGCAGGTTTAGTAAAATATTCGTTATTCAACTTTGTCTTAATGTCGTTGGTCTACATAAGAGGGGAGGTAACAGGGCCATTGACAGATTTTACATTTTATTCTCCCCTGTGACCCTCCAGTGTAGATTCTAGTTACGACTTACAAAGTAAACACATATTTTTCCCCACGGAAAACTGTTTTCTGAGAATCAGTTAAGTTATGCGCGGTGTTTGACCTACATTTACCACACTTTGAGCAGCTATACACGAGCATTATCAACAGCACGTGAGGTTGGCGTGTGAGTCGAATTTAGCCCATCGTTTATTGTATATATATAAATATATATATATATATATATATATATATATATATATATATATATATATATATATATATATATATATATATATATATATATATATATACTGACTAGGCATACTGCCTAACTTCGCATAGGTATTCGAAAAAACCAAAACCGAATATGTAGCCCTATAAATAACCCCTATACTAATACTAACCTATTCTTAATGTAACACTATTTCTAATTAAAAGCGAACGGTTCAATTTAAGATTGTCATCCCACTTGTTTGCTTACTTTGTTTTCCTAACCGATGTGTACTATTTTAAGAACAAAGGCGTGGATCGGGAGGAGGGGAAGGGGTTAGCTGTTCCAAAAATATCGAGTTCGAATACCGAACCGAGACCTGTAGGATGTACCTCAACCCATTCAGCCGTGACGGGTTTATATTGTTAGGGAAAGCAAGGGTGGCTGAGCATGGATCTTAACACACTAAATCTCATATGCCGAGGACAATATAAAAAGATGAGCTCTACTTCACCTACCACGTGAATTGCCAGTTTTGAAATCCAATAAAAACATATTATAATTTAAATAACAACTTAGAAGAAAAAATTATTTTCTGCTGGGAAAGGCTGCTTATTTTGTTTCTCGTTGCTAATAACTTATGAATTGGTCGGAAAATTGTTACTTAAATCACCGATGTTGAAAGATTTGTTTAATCACTCATCTAAATGATACATAACTAAATAAGTAAGTTTTACACCTCCCTGATAAATTATAACAAATCGTCCCCAAACCAACTGCGCAATTATTTCGTCTGAATCACACGCATCCTGAAATCAATAATTTCCCGGAACTAAAGCCTGATGAAATGAAACAGCTCAACTAGAAAAAGCCACTATAGTTCGAAGTCGTGGCTACAAGCATCTCCCAATGTAGCACTGTTTTAGGCTGTTTATATCTTATTGGATAACGCAACTTACATCTTGTTTACACGCGGTAAGCTACATTTTTACTTTCTCGTATATACGTAGTATAGAGAAAGTATTGTAATCGTGCAAAAAAAAAAAATCGAGATTTTTACAAATCTCGACGTTTTACACCTCACTGATACGGAAAAACATAATTTTGCAATCTTGTCCGTATGTCTGTGTGTGTGTGTGTCTGTCTGTCTGTCTGTCTGTCCGTGTGTAAACACGATAACTTGAGTACCGTTACAGCTAGGTTGATGAAATTTCATATATAAGTATTTTATCAAAATCGTAGATCCGTATCAACTTTTGAGCGATTTCCGATAACCGGAAGTGGTACTTTTCCTACTTTGAATTTTTCAAAAGCCTATAACTTGAGTACTATTTCAGATAGATAAATGAAATTTCACATGTAAGTAAAAGATCTAATTCTCTACCTTCTGTTAAATTTTGAGTAATTTCCGTTGACTGGAAGTAGTAATTTACGCTACTTCCGATTTCTCAAAAAACTAATGTAAATTTTTAAAGTACTAATAATATTGCGCACTATTATACGCGTTTTTATTCGGCGTTTGCTTGGTGCGCAATGTTTTTTTTATGAGATTCTATTCTATTTTTAAAAGTTTAAGTATTTAAAATGGATTAAAAATCACAACTATATCCCCAGTTACCACCCCCTGTTGTTTTATATAAGAATATTCGAGAAAGTTTAGGGGAGATCACTACCGGTTTATTTTAAACAAAATTTAAACACAAGCTAAAAATAGAATATGTCGATGTGGTCAATGTTGTGAAGGCGCCAGCACGCAAGTGGTGTGCGGATGAGCGCGCCATGGGATGTTTAAACACAACAGTAAACAGGTTACAAACACAACACTAACACCAAGGCTTGTCTATTGTATGAACGATTACTATCTTTAATAAACAATCTACACTTCACAGAACAGAGAAACACAGTCTGTTGTAACTAGCACACCTTGACACACTAGCACCGTGGTTCCCTTACACTAGGATGTCTTCTACTGATGAGGAGCCCCCCCCCCCCCTACTCCCCTCGATCCTTATTGTTATTGACAGGGATAAGAAACGTGTTTTTATAATTTTTGCCTTCATATCGACAGTAGAAAAACCTAAACCTGAAACAAATTTATTATTTTAAGAATCAATGTTATAAAGTATACAACAACATAATACTTGGACATATTTTTTTGTTCATTTAAAGCTACATTTCTTTTTAAATCAACCCAACATTCTCACCTTGAAATTTCACTTTTAGTAATAAAAATTTTAATTGGCTATATTATTGGTCCGTGGATTTCATGTCAGCAGAAAATAAGAAAAAACTTTAATAAAAATTTCTACCTTTTTAAAATAAAATGAAATGTGCTCATTTAGTAATCTGGTATCATCAAAGCGAAAAATTTCAGCCCTAAAAATATTAGAATCTTTAGTTTTTGAAACAACAATATTTAAAAAAGATGTGCTTGGGTTGTTTGAAGAAATCTGTTTAGCCTACCTACTAAAATTCAGTGGCGTCGACTAGATAACCTATTGTCCAGCACAAATCTAGGGTGGGTTTAACAGGCTACAATAGTGGAGTGAGGCCCCGACTCAAACACTTTCACCCATCCTCCTAAACTTGAACTGATTACCTGAACAAACTGGGGGACAACATGAGAACTGATATCTCATAGCAAGGGGAGTGAACAGTAGTGATAGCGAGGTTAACCAGTTCACATTAACCCAATCACACTTAGTCTACCTTTCTCTACAGAATGTTTTAAGTGACTGGTATCTTATGAAAAACAATGTGAACAAAAAATCTCTGCAAGAAATTAAAACATTTTGACCACACATAAAAAAATCACAACCAAATAATAAAAAAAAAAAAAAAACAATCAAACAAAAAAGAACTTTTGAATTTTTGAATATACGATATTTAAAAAAATATGTTTTTAAATATTTCTTGGTAAACAATAAGCAAAGCTCACACTATTCTTATTGGTTTCAGGTCTTTTAAAACCCACAAGTAGACTCTGTTTTGTTAGCCACATCGCCATGAATGGGCTTATTCTACCCGGCACTGTGATAGCTGTAGACGTCTTCACCATAAAAGCAAGGAGAGAAAACTTCGTCCATTTTTTGACTCATCTTCACGGCGACCATACAGTCGGGCTGACATCGACTTGGAGTAAAACCATCTACTGCTCTGAAATCACCGCTCTGCTCCTGGTCAACAAATTCCAGCTTCCATCCCACCTGATATCAGTTCTCTACCTGAACCAGGAGACCACGGTCCAGCTTGGTCGCCATGGCAACATGACTGTTACAGCACTAGACGCTAACCACTGTCCAGGAGCTGTCATGTTTTACTTCCAGGGCAGCTTCGGCCGTATCTTGTACACAGGAGACTTCAGAGTCTCCGAACATCTTCTCCAAGACTGTGGCTATTTGTCTGGAAAGATAGACCGGCTCTATATTGACAACACGTTTTGCAATCCAAAGTGTAATTTCCCAAGCCGGGAAGAGAGCATGAATGAAATGGTTCGGATAATCAAAGACCACCCCAATCATGATGTTTACATTGGTGTGTATAACTTGGGGAAAGAAGACATGTTGGCCAAACTTTCTGATATTTTCTCGGAGCGGATCAACGTTTTACCCCAGAGGTATAAAATCTGTGAGATACTTTTCCCCAGAGATTATCTTTGGGAAACTTTCACAACAAGCAACATGTCCCTTTGGTCTCGAATATTTGCAGTACCCAGATATCAAATCAATACTAAAATGATAAGAGAACGAAATACCTATTCGCCAACAATTGCAATAATTCCAACTGCTATTTTTACAGGTAAAATTAAACAATAACTTCTTCTTTGAATACACAAAAAAATTCTTGTTTTGTAAAATTTAAAAAACGAAAATTAAAATAATCTTTTAATTTCAGGTTGTTCCAAGCCCTATGCACACAAAAACCTAATCTACGTAGTCCCATACTCTGACCACTCCTCCTACCCAGAACTGATGAAGTTTGTTGCCATGCTAAGGCCTGTCGTGGTATATCCCATTGTTAACACAAGTGGAGGTCCAAGCGGTGAAGATTTTTCTGATAGGATTGATATGCAATGTTTTACCAAATTTCTCTCCCCCAAGCCTGTAAACAGTGTAGCCATCACAGGTTGGGACCCTAGCATGGCGTGTGGTGTAACATACCAAGCACCTAACAATGTTGTCACCGCTAGAATGTCAGTAAACTACATTGTAAGGAGAAACGCAAGGCTTCGTTGTAAGTTAAGGTATCAAGAACTCGAAAGAAAAAGGAGAAAGAAAGGAATATATTATACTGACGAAATGTCAGATGATGAAAGCAGTGACAGTGGCCAAAGTATGCAGCAGATGGCCCCTAGTGACCACCCTAGTTGTGGCCAAAGTATGCAACAGATGGACCCTAGTGACCACCCTAGTTGTGGCCAAAGTATGCAGCAGATGGCCCCTAGTGACCACCCTAGTTGTGGCCAAAGTATGCAACAGATGGCCCCTAGTGACCACACTAGTTGTGGCCAAAGTATGCAGCAGATGGCCCCTAGTGACCACACTAGTTATGGCCAAAGTATGCAGCAGATGGCCCCTAGTGACCACACTAGTTATGGCCAAAGTATGCAGCAGATGGCCCCTAGTGACCACACTAGTTATGGCCAAAGTATTCAGCAGATGGCCCCTAGTGACCACCCTAGTTGTGGCCAAAGTATGCAACAGATGGCACCTAGTGACCACCCTAGTTGTGGCCAAAGTATGCAACAGATGGACCCTAGTGACCACCCTAGTTGTGGCCAAAGTATGCAACAGATGGCCCCTAGTGACCACCCTAGTTATGGCCAAAGTATGCAGCAGATGGCCCCTACTGACCACCCTAGTTGTGGCCAAAGTATGCAGCAGATGGACCCTAGTGACCACCCTAGTTGTGGTCAAAGTATGCAGCAGATGGCCCCTAGTGAGCACACTGGCCAAATTATGCAGCAGTTGGACCCTAGTGACCACACTAGTTGTAGCCAAAGTATTCAGCAGATAGCCCCTAGTGACCACACTGGCCAAATTATGGAGCAGATGGCCCTTATAATCCATACCAATGTTGGCCAAAATATTCAACAGATGGCCTGTACAGATTACATTGTGATTGACTAAAGATTCATACACCATGAGATGAAGTTTGTCTTGAAAATTATAGGGGCAATTCAGCGCCAGTAGGCGCTTTTATAATTTATGACAACGCTATACATTTAAGGCATTTTTACTTTCTCGTATATACGAAGTATAGAGAAAGCATTGTAATCGTGCACAAAAATCACTTGAAATTTTAACAATTTTCACCGTATTACCCCTCAGTCCTTCATCACATCCGAAGTATAGAGGACTTATTTTAATCGGGCAAATATTATCAATCCAGATTTATCCAAATGAAGAGGTTTTGTGGGTAATCCAGTCTGAAAAACGCGGCCTTGCAATTCTGTCCGTATGTCTGTGTGTCTGTCTGTGTGTGTGTGTGTGTCTGTCTGTGTGTAAACACGATCACTTGAGTACTGTTACAGCTAGGTTGATGAAATTTCATATATGAGTATTTTATCAAAATCGTAGATCCGTATCAACTTTTGAGCGATTTCCGATAACCGGAAGTGGTACTTTTTCTACTTTGAAATTTTCAAAAGCCTATAACTTGAGTACTATTTCAGATAGATAAACGAAATTTCACATGTAAGTAAAAGATCTAATTCTCTACCTTCTGTTAAATTTTGAGTAATTTCCGTTGACAGAAAGTAGTAATTTACGTTACTTCCGATTTCTCAAAAAACAAATGTAAATTTTTAAAGTACTAATAATATTGCGCACTATTATGCACTTTTTTATTTAGCGTTCACTTGGTGTGCAATTCTTTTGTCTACGAGATTTTATTCAATTTTTAAAACTTTAAGTATTTAAAATGGATTAAAAATCATGACTATAGCCCGAGTTCCCATCCCCTGTTGTTTTATATAAGAATATTCGAGAAAGTTTAGGGGAGATCACTCCCGGTTTATTTTTACACACAGCACGTAATTTTAGAAGAGTATTTTTAAAAAAATATTATTACGTAAAACACTGGCATTAACATATTTATCATGGCATTTTGTAACATATTATAACTTTATATAATAATAATACATAATTTTATAATCAAACTGCAATTTGTTGGTTGTTCATTAGCTTTATCAATTAAAACATTTTTAAAAAGGTGAATGCTAATGGTACATATTTTGAATGACTGATACGTGTGTATACGTGTGTCTGTATGTATCTGCGTGCAGGGGGTGACACCCTCACTTACTGTACTGGGTGATACTGGACCTAGTGACGCCACTGCCTGTAGGCATCTTAATTTTTGTGTGCAGTTTGATAAGTATGAGCTGCAGTGAGTTTGGGTGCATTTGTATATCTGTGTGTTTATTTACTAGTTGTATGTAACTGCGTCGGTGTCTCTGCTTGGTGTGTATTTTTATGCATGTATCTGTGTAGGTGTGTATTAGTACCTGTATCTATCATATACTCAAGTTACTCTACATCAAAGTGTAACCACCGACTGCTTTGACCTGGAGATGACCTCATGAGGTAAGCAGACGTGATGCAGGTCACGTAATGTCATAGCAAAGTCAACTCATACATCTGGTATATCAAAATGTGAAGCTAGACATCTATATATCAAAATGTGAAGCTAGACATCTATATATCAAAATGTGAAGCTTGACATCTATATATCAAAATGTGAAGCTAAGCATCTATATATCAAAATGTGAAGCTAGACATCTATATATCACAATGTAAAGCTAGACATCTATATATCACAATGAGAAGCTAGACATCTATGTATCACAATGTGAAGCTAGACATCTATATATAAAAATGTGAAGCTAGACATCTATATATAAAAATGTGAGGTTAGATACAACACCATATGCGTTTACTTAACGACTTATCAGCACGCGATAAAGCCAGTGGCCAGTTTTCTTGTTACATTTTTGTTGATTTGTCGATTATCGATACTCTCGGATGTGATTTGCAGGTTATCGATACATTTTGGACTTGCTTTGCCCAGCTTATGCCGCCCACCATTACCCTTAATTCAACCAGTAAAACAAAAAAAATATAAACCCCCATAAAGCATATTTCTTATGCTTTAAATCTAGAATATTAATTATTCCATTCAATCGGCCCTACAAACGGTTTCAGTAATTTTACACGTGTAGTATCGCATACAATATGTCTCTGCTGTTATCGAGTAAATCAGTTAGAAATTCGATTATGTAGCATGTACCATCTATAAACCAAGCTAAAAAGTATTAAGTAGGCCAAAAATATTTTAAAAATATGAATTGAGCTAACCAAAAACAGACCGGAGTTGTAAAGTGGATACCTGGTGCTCAGCCACCACAAAAACCTGACAACGCCACCATAAAGATATCCCCTCATATTCACACCCCCCCCCTTATGTTTGTATGGGATTAACCTGCAGGTTTAGTTAAATATTTTGTTTTTCAAATCTGTCGTAACGTCGTTGGTCTACATAAGAGGGGAGTAACAGGACCATTGACAGATTTTACATAATATTCTCCCATGTAACCCTTAAGTTAAATCTAGATTCTAGTTCCGACTTACAAAACAAATATTTTTCCCCACGGAAAACTGTTTTCTGAGAATCAGTTAATTGATGCGCTGTGTTTGACCTACATTTACCTTACAGTAGTGAGCGGCTATATGTGAGCATTATCAACAGCACGTGAGGGAGACGTGTGAGTAAAATTTGGACGATCGATATCTGTATATATATATATATATATATATATATATATATATATATATATATATATATGTTAGGGGTTCGTCGAGAAATAGATATCTTATCTCTTACTTCTGACACCAAATGTTAGGGGGGTTTAAACCGAAGAGGTGTTCTTATTCACTCATCCGTGCACCTTTGTGTGGTGGCAAAGGGGTCTAATAAGACCTGAGCAAAACTAATTAACATCTATACAACACCAATATTAAACTAAAAATAAAACATAGTAAACACACATAATATGCATTTATTTATCTTTGTTTGACGTCACAAAGATTTATATCTTAAAAGCAAAGACACAATACAAATAAGACCTGGCCAGTCTTTCTTATTCAAGAAAACATCACTTGAATTTCTAATACAAGTCAAAAAGACAAAAATAATCAAACTTACATTTCAATGCAGAATTAGTCACCGTGGTAACTGACATTAATTCATAGAAAACACATATATAAGTGTGAATAGCAAATCTACATTTACACAACTCAGAATTCACACATGTCATATCCTCTAGTCCTAACTTAAATACTTGCACTGCTTATGTAATCTCAGAATCACACTTGTCAAAGTTATTCTTTCTAGTCCTAATTTCACTGGTACTGCTATGTAATCTCAAAATCAAAAACGTAAAAGACATCGTCTCTAGTTCTAACTTTACTACTTGCACTGTTATGTAATCCCAGAATCACACGGGTAAATGTTATCATCACTAATTCTGATTCCACTAATCAAACACGGTTAAAGTTCATCTATGAATACTCATCAGTACTCACAACAATCTAGCTCGACACTAAAGCGGCAGGAAGTTTTCCAGCCACTGGAATACAACATTGGGCCACAAAGATAATGGCCACTGGACGAAGAACATATTTACACGGCAGGAAGATTTCCAGCCACTGGAATAGAACATTTGGCCACTGGTACAAACATCGGGCCACAAAGATAATGGCCACTGGAACGAAGAACATATCTACACGGCAGACGTTTGGCCACTGGTACAACATAGGCCACATGTATAAACATAGGTCACATATGTAAATATCTGGAACGAAACACATATGTACAGCAACAAAACATCGGCTGGGCCAATAATCCAGCCTTAGTGGCCAGCCATAAGGCTGCCACCATCCGAGGCCTAGACCATCGTGTCTAGCCTATGTGTCTGTCAGAGAAAGAGACCTCAACATAGTTGCCCTTCCTCATATATAGGTTAGTCTCACCCCCCTTATCATCTCCCTAGAGCTATAGAACCCGAGTTGGGCTCCGTCCCATCTCTCGACGTTCGAGATAACACCGGTCACTATGCACCCATGCGTTGAACACCCGATAACTGACCGCTATAGATCTTCCCGTAGTCTCAGGGCTAACTATCGTGTCATACACCGCTCGAGCTAACGTATGGCCACACGGCACTCCCGCCGCGTTTCACACCTAACAACTGACCACAACAGAGATCATGAGTAATGATTCTACCGGGACGTCCAGCGGCATGCCCGGACTCAACTTTAGACATAAATCACCTCGGGTGTCTTCCCATCATTACGTGCCACTCATGCACCTGCATAGAGCTCGTAGCCCTTAACGATCAGAGTGAGCCGATAACATTTTAATTAAAATTTAGATTTCCCTGGCCTGCTCATCCCCAATATCTTAGATTAACCCCTTGGGTTTCCGTAACTAGTCCTAGTCACCTTAGCCCCTTTAATAAGCACCCAAGTTACCATTTTACTTAAAAATAAACAATATAGTACCAGCCAACATGCTTACTTAAGAATCAACAATTTGGTACCAGCCAACATGCTTCCCCCGCAAAAATGATTGCGTCCCCGCAATCAACTTAACAAGGACAACTAATTGAGATAAACATTCTACTTTACTGTTCACCTACTGACACAACACACACCTCTAATTTACAGTAAAGGCCACTGAAGGCAAAAACATTAATGAGCATACTGAAATGTCTCAAAAATGAACATCTACTGAAACCAGGCATAAACACATACTTATCTTTAAAGGGTAGTTAACCAAAATGGACAAATCACGCCTTTAGGCTACAAATAAATGGCCATCAATAAAGATAAATACCAGTCAGTCACACATAATTTTATACCACAAGGCCTGATAATGTACGTCCAGTACCAATATCAGCCAAGTCTTCCCAGTCATAAAATTACGTAACAGCATGTTTCATCTACAATAATTACTATTCAACGAATACCATAGTTGCCAGTAATACGTTCAACACCATTAAAACTTACAAAGGTTGCATGTCAACTGGCTACCCAAATTCTTATAAAAAATGGTCTAAAAATAATTC